GCACTTCTCTCAAATGGCTTCAAGGCGCACCCGTTTCTTACACGCTTATTCTTTCGTTTGTTTGAGATCATCTCGTTTCGTTGCACTTACTTTTCGCATCACAGAGGGAATGCCATCATGTAGCTCTAAACATTGAACTCCGTGAGCGAATATGCTGCGAACAAGCGACGAATTTGGCCCGGCGGCGTTCTCTCCGCGAGTGGAGTCACAACAGTGACAGTTGATGCGGCGTGCAAAGCAAACCTGCCGCCAGGCGAGGGTGTAGGACAAAATGGTCCCGGTCAAAATGGACCCGGACAAAATGGTCCCGGAAAAATGGTCCCGGACAAAAAGGTCCCAAATGCCAACCCGGACAAAATGGTCCCAGGTGAATTTATCAATACTTTCAGCACTCTTAATAGGACAAAATGGTTTGGTACTTTGATTTTGATAGACGTTCAAGGATAATATCAACATTTTCATTATAATCATTTGAAACAAATATTAGATCCCTTCTATCTACACCATGTAGCTCTATTTCTCAAAGGTTCTTGATTTCTACCAATATATTCCACGTGTGAAATCAATATCTTTCTAACGCCAGAGCCCGTTTTCAAATCAGCGCTATCGAGCTTCAAAACGATATTCGGAATGAAAATCATTATCATACACGTACTACAGGTTCTTGACGTGATTTATTAAAACAAACCTGTCGTACCAGCATGTCCTTTTTTTTTTTTTTTTCAGAAAGAGCATCGCTCTGTCTGAACATCGTATATTAAAGAAATCAAAAATTTATTTCGCAATTCTGAGCGTGTTTATTACATAGACCACTTGATTAGAAGTCGACGCTGCTGAAGCGAAGGCCTAATACGAAAATGTATTCATATGACCCACACCCCTCAAAAAAGTCGTTCAAGGGACGGAGCCCTTGCACGCAATGTGTGCGCAGAGTTACAAGCCGCTGCTTATATCCATCACGAGTAAAAAATACAAAAAAAAAAAAAAAAAAAAAAAAAAAACTTGCAAACAGCAAATAATTTAGGCCACGCTGGGACTATTTTGTCCGGAATACACAAGCCGCTTTATATTCGGCCAGCAGAACTTCGCTAGCGCATCAAAACCTATGTAAGTACTTCCTTGTTAGCATAGAAAAAATAAAAGTAACTTCAAAAGTAATTCGCTATTTTTACGGTAATTAGTAATTTACTGAATTACTTTCCATTTGAGTAATTTCTACTCTACTCAAATTACTTTTGAGGCTAATACTCAGTAACGTAACTTAATTAGTTTTTTTATAGTAGCTTGTGCATGTCTGTTGCCAGCCCGCCACCACATATGAAAAAACAAAACATAAATAAATGCACAGAATATACACATTACAGAAAGTACGCAAAAAGGAGAGAAGGGAGAAAACATGTATCACATTATGACGAGGATAGTTCAGCGATGTTTCGTCAACAACAATATCGCCAAATGCCTCAACAAAACAAAATGTTCGAGGAAAAAAAGAAAAAAAAAGAAGTTAGCCCACACCATGGATAGAACCCGGGTCTGATACGTACGAGGCCGAAATCTTACCACTACGCTACCGCTTCGGAAACTCGCATTGTATCCGCCGCCTACGTTGACGGCGGCAGCACCTATCTCCACGAACCAGCCAATCCGGCGTGAGCGCCATTGCTAGGAGTTTGTATCGCCTACGCGCTAAAAATATGCCCACGCGGGTCGGTTGGCGGTGCCCTTGGTATTCCTTGGGCGCCGCCGGCCAGTGTTTGCCCTGCCCGCTGGCGACCGTTTCAGGGGGACAAAACACATGCCTTGCCCCCCCCCCCACACACACACACACACACAGAGAACTGGGGGGGGGGGGGGGGGGCTTGCCCTCTCCCGGTTGGTACGCCCATGATTGCAGTCATCAAGAGGCGATTAGAAGAATGGTAGTAGTAGTAGTAGATTGTGGTTTTATGGCGCAAAAGCAACTAAGGCTATGATGCGCCAAAAATTCAGAAGATTGGTGGAAATTATCTAGGGAAAAAGAGAGTGATGCACAACTATCTAGCACAGCTGTTGGCAAGCGTGACAGAGAAAAGTTGGGACTCCCTCCCGGCGTGGCTCCGGTCCAAAGTCTCAACCCTGTCTCCCAGTGGGTCCGGTGCTGGTGTAACGCACACAAAGTTTGACCGAAGGAAAATTGGCGACTTCCTCGCCGGGAGAAAAAGGCGGGAGGTGATATTTTTCGATTTTTCTTTTTATCCGATCCCCCAAAGGTCATCCTGGTGACACTGCCCGGTGGTAGCCAGGGGGAGAAGATTGGCCTAGAAGGGCGGGAGGAATTTTTTTAGACTAAGGTTAGATAGCGCAAACTGCCGCCCGTCACAAAGGCTATAGTCATTAACATCCATCCATCCATCCATTTGCAGGAGGCAGTGGGGGCGGTGAACAAGGTGGAGGGGTGTGGCAGGAGTGCCTCCTCCTCACCACGCGGCACAGCAGCCGCAGCGCAAGCGCATCCCAACTGCGTAGGGAGGTATTTTCTTTCTTTGGTTGTTAATCCGAAAGCATTATACTGTCCCATGGAGCGAGCCGACGTCCTCAGCTTTGAAGCCGTGCCAAACGGTGCTAGGAGGGAGCACGTTGCCTAGTCATCAAAAGTTTAAACGATATTGTGCCCAGCGTGACCGCAGGTCTCTCTGGCGATTGGTGCGCGTGACATGTCACGTGTGAGATGGATGGTTAATTGTAGGACTCCTTGCAGGCTTGCGCGCGCTCCGTCCGGTAGGTTTTATCAGATCGAAGGCTAGACTGTGGTGTGTTCTAGTACCCCATAGCAAGACGAAGGCTAGCTACGGTCACGTGATGTGGTCACGTTGGCATGGTAAGTGAGGAGAGTAAGGAGGAAAATGAGAAAGAGGCGAGGATGTCAAGGGAGCATGGCTTGTGGAGGCTACGCGGCCGACGTCGTGCCCTCTCCTACCCTTCTATCTTCCTTGAGATGATGGATTTCGGCTTCGGTCCCATTGGTCGTTGCGCGTCAGTTTCAACGACAGCCACCCCATGGCGCAGCGTGTCCGCGAGGCAGCGGCTCCACCTAGCAGTGTCCGTAGTACACCCTACCACCGCTCCACGCCCAAGGTGGTCGCGCGCGCTCGACCGTCAACGCGCGCGCGAACTCTTTATTGCGTTTGCGGCGAACGAGTACGCCGCAGACGTAATAAGGGAGCGGAAGAGAGCGACCATACATGCTTTCGTATTCACAACTCATAAGTACTTAGGTGCACCTCGAGCATTTTATATCTTTTTTTTCAACGACGCCATGAAATTGCAAACTCTCTCCGTGGTTTGAGTTGAGCACACTCTTACTGGAGGCTCTCTAGACGACAAACTCTACACCAACGTTGCTCTGGAGCGGTAGTTCTCAAATGGTTGATAACCCCAGCTCTAGAGTCTAGACCAAGCCAGCGCGCGCTCGCTGTCTTCCGAAGGATTTGTGTGATGCATGATATCATGGCGGGCATGGCCGGAACACGGATGGCAAGGCTAGAGGCATGGCGCATGTACAGCGCTCCACCGGCTCGCTTGCGCAGTAAAGCTGGCCTCAGCTAGCGCCCGTCGCATCACCTGCAAGAGCGACAATCGCTTCCCCCGCAATAATGTAAAAAAAAAAAATGCGATATTTTGTTTGCTTGCTGGCGGCATGCCGAAATGAATGAATGCCGGGAACTTTAGGCACAACCGGTTCTAGCGGGCGGCAAAGGCGACGGCGAGCGCCGTTCACACTCTTGCGACCGAGTGAGACCGATAGAGACCAGACCGGTTTTTAAGCCTCTTGCGACTTCTTAGGACTCGGTCGCAAGAGTGTGAACGGGCTGTAGGCCAAGGTACTTCTAGCCACAGTAGCCAAGGCACGCGAGCAACCGTACCTCTTTTCAGTATTACGTGTTGGATGCTGCGGCGGCAGATTGGAGCTGTCCTTGAATGGAAGAAAACCTATGCTTCCCGGGAACTGCAGGTTTATGTTGCTTTGATTCGGAGATCGAACTGTCGGTGAGGCTGCTGCTTTCTTGGGGGATCACACAGCTTTTCTGCTCTTATCTGGAGAATCCCACGTCCTGTTTTCTTTAACACAAACCCCAAATATATGTGGGGTAAATAAAACAAGATAAACCCCATAAACACGAAACTAGTTACACAGATAGAAATATGGCCATAGAGGTTCTGCCAGTTCGGTCACGGTTTTATTGTTCTTTCTAGGACATTGAGAGCGCTTTGTCTTAATTTCCCTGGTTATCTCTTTCCTCTGGCAGAAACGCGCCAAAAACGAACAAGGCCGTTTGGGAACAGAGTCGGCTCTTGCCGCCGGCTTGCAGGTAAACATGTCCTTTGTGTTTATAGGCTTCCCCGCTTTCGTGTCAGGTCGTTTACAATAGCAAGGTTTCGCGAACCATGAAAATATTTGCGCTCTTAAAACACCTCATGTCAAAAATAAACCCTGGAGAAGGCGAACAAGGGGGACGAAGGACTAACACAAATCTCCAAACACAGCTAGGTGACTGGTGCACGACCGTGGAAATCCGCCTAGTCCGGGTATCAACGCGGGACCTTTCCAGTGGAGAGGTCCCGGGTTCGATAGCCGGACCAGGCGGATTTTTTAGGTCGCGCACCTGTCACCTAGTTGTGTTTGGAGGTTTGTGTTGGACCTTCGTCCCCTTCTCCAGGGATTATTTTCGTCATTCTTGTCTAGCTCGCTTGCACTTTTGCATTTAATTGCATTATAATCATAACCTCATGTCACTGCTGCGCAACTCATGACAACCCACTTCTTGTTAGCAGGTTTATCGCCAACTTGACAGCAGCATTGCGATTATTTTTCGCATTTCTCCCATGTGTGTGCATTGGTGTGGTGACCGTGACTTGTAATTATCAACTTTAAATTATACTCTTTTTTTTTTGTGCGTGTGCGCATTGGTGTTTGTAAATATTGACTGCGAATTTATATTTTGATAATCACTTTGAGGTGCTTTTTTCTTTTTCATATTATTTTATTTTGTATAATTATTCAAATAATTCTTCAGATGTCCCCCTCCATGTAATGCCCCACCAAGACCTTTAAAAATACTTAAAAAAAATAAAATAAAGAAGGATCTCAACATACACTAACTCACCGATGTCACGGCACTGTGGTGGCGCTGTTGTCAGCACTGCACATGCGCAGATGCTTCACCTCTCCTGGATTTCGTTTCTGCACACGCGCATTCCTCACACTTGGCGTGGGCAACGCGGGTTTATTAGTAAAAAGCTTGTGTATAATGAAATTAGCGCTATAATGAAGCTTCGAACCCTCGGTACGACTTTGTCACAGCAAGGTACAACAGCCGTGTCTTCAGAAGATTTCCCAGACACTCGAAAGTTCATTTCAGATGCGTGTGAACAAAAACACCCTCGTAAAGGAGTTTGAAATTTTGTATCTCCATAGCAAACAAATGCACATCAACAAACTTTACAGACAGCAAAAAGCATTTAGTTGCCCAAATTCCTGTACATCAATATCTATAAAAAAATCCTCCACAAAGAAAAAAAAACAAAGAAAAAAAAATGGCCATACCACTGAGAACACTTCCATACAACGAAATCGTGAGCCCAGACATGATTGTACAAGTGTTAAATACCTCCTCTGAAAGCAATGGAAAGAAATCCATGCTCTCGCATATTGTAAAGCTAGTAAAACACGCAGGAAAGGCAGAGACTTCTCTTTGTGTTTGATTCGAGGAATATGGGAATGACAATTCAAGCACATCTTTCGTCCCATTTGACTAGTGGGATCGTGATGCGAGGTGAAGAAATCCACACATTTATACAGAGAATCCTAAATTCCATGCAACATTCTGAAATGGCATAACAGCTCATTCCTGATGCACCAAAAGTCAGTTGTTTGCAAGTTGATTCCTAAAAATGCCTGCTAAAAATAACAATTAAAAAAAAAAAGAACCACCATAAATACTTTTTATGCTCCAATACCTTGTTCCTTCCTAAAATAAAGCTAAGAGGAAGCGCTGTCCTGCAGCCTCCAAGACCAAGCTACCAATTATGGCTACATCGTGCCTTTTGACTCCCTTTAAATGCTACATATTTTATCTTGGATTTGTTACTGAAGCCTAGCATGGTTTATTAGTCTGCCTATATACAGTTCTTTCACAAGCTTTGATCCATTTTCTTAACAATTTCATAGCAATGAACTGAAAAGAATGGCCGTCCAACCGTCGAGGAAGATTCATCGATCGGCCGATTTCACGGGATTCTGAAAAAAAAAAGCAAAAGCAACAAAACTTAGACACAAAACTTAGACAAAAAAAAAAAAGCCTAAACAATAATTTATTAGAGGTGAACCAATCGACCAGGGGAAGAAATGCAAACTGTTACCTTATCAAGGTGCAAACAGCACTCCAAAAGCCAGCAGGTTTTTAACAAAGATCAAGCTAGGGTTTCTTAAACATAGCTGTGTGTGGCAATTCGTTCCCACGAGCGCTTAGGTTTTGGTCACACTGCTAATACGATATAAATAAGACAATTTGCACATCTGAGGCACTGGAAGCTTCTTTCTGTCACATTGGTCGCACAAACACCGTCCACAGACATGTTCAAAGCACACTCATGCACGAAGCAAATGTGTTTCGAACATGCCTGAGATGCGTCGGCAGACAATTCTGTCGTCATGTCCGCGGCGAACACCGTGTCTTTTGATGTGCGAGCAGCATGACTGGCCATGGGGCAGGACAGACGCGTTTACGACAACAGAGCATCAGCAGCGATCCAAAGCAGCGCTCACCTGACTGGGCGGGGTGAACACCGAGTGATGCTGTTCGCAGAACACGACGGGGTCAATGACGAGGGGCACGGGGATGCCAGAGAAAGGGCGGGGCACGGCAGAGGGGTGCACGGGGGGAGGGGACAGGGAGGGGGGGTGCAGGATCACAGAGTGCGAGGGAGCGGGGGCACTGGAGGAGGACGCCCGGGGACGGGCGGGAACGGGTCCGCCCACTGGCCCCGCTGGCTCCGAAGGGGCCCCGAGAGGGGCCGTGCCTCCAGTCGGGGATGTGAAGCTGTTGCTGCCGCCAACGGGTAAGAGCCTGTTGGCACCGTCAGCACGACAGGAATCGTCCACTGGATGGGCGGTAAAAGAAAAAAAAAAGGAGTTTGCTGTTGCTGCAAATTGATGAAGCCTTGGCCCTTTCGTCACTGCAACGAGCCTGATTTGGTCGTGTCACATTTTCCGGTCTACGAGTCGCAAACCCCTATATATTAAAGGGACACTGACAGGGTTATTATACTCGCCAAGGTTTTTATTTGTACATGACATAGGAGAGCCCAAATAACCCGAACACAGTTTGCGGCTCAAAATTTGTTTTCTTTCCGCCCGAAAACCGCCTATCAAGAACTGGCCACTTTGAGTCGCACTCTCTCTCTTCTTTGTGGTCACGTGCTGTCTTCAGACACAACCACCAAATATAATCATAGTCTTAGATTTGAAGCCATCGAAGCAACACGCTCAATAATAAGAATAAAAAAGGAATACGATACCCATATCTTGTGGCTACCATAAAGCCACAAACACGTTGATTGAAGAAAAAAAATAGTTGCACAGCCACGTGATGTGACTTTCGCCTATTCTCACCTCCTCCATATTTCTTCTTCCTCCCCAGTCCAGTTTCAGTTTCGGCTTGGAGCAGGGACGTTTTTTTACTTTTATTAAAAATATATGGGACGCTGTAGCAAACTATTGATTGGGTAGTCTTCTGACACAAAAATGAATCGCCTGGCAAAAAATAAAATAAACATTTTGGGGGTTGTCAGCGTCCCTTCGATGTTTTCGTGAAAAGATGATTATGTAAGTTCATAGCCTCCTATATTTTTGGTGCCCGCGCATCACTCCGCTGGGACTGTCCAGTCACCTTCCACCTCCTCCCCTCGGCTGTCCGCGGGGGGCACTGGCACCCCGGAATTGAGTCAGCGCAGTCAGCGGCGGTATTTTGTGGCGGTGACGCATCTCTAGAAAACATTTGTTCAAGTACACTTTTGCCAACGTTCACCACAGCCCTTATACGCGCGGGCACAGGAAGTATAAAGGAGGCTATGGTAAGTTGCACCTTTGTATAAGACACTTGTTTTTACAGTCAGTGCACAAAGTTGCTGTAGCCACGGACCTAAGCCGCCACGCTTTAGACCATCATTAGACCACCAGAAGGGAAGGCCATCGGTGGGTAGTCTGCCATTCCTTTTTAGTCATAAATATCAATACAGCCTAAACACGGTCTAAATTAGGGATGTCGCGAACCACCCTAGGTTCGATTTCGAAAGGTTTCGATATTTGCGAAGCGAACTGAGGTTCGATTTCGAAAAATTTCGATATTTTCGTACCGACCGAGGTTCGATTTAGAAAAATTCACAACTTTTGTCCACAGCGGAGTTTCGAATTCGAAAATTTCGAAGCTTTTACGGTTTCTAAAATTTCGAATTCGAATATTTCGAATATTTTTTTACTTCAGGTTCGATAAATTCGAAGATTTCGAAATTCTTTGTAAAAAAAAATTCGAAAACTTCGAACGTTTCGAATTTTTATAGACATGAAGTTCGAACAATTCGAAGATTTCGAATTTCTTTTGGCATAAAGTTTGAAAAGTTCGAAAGTTTCGATTCTCTTTTAACGCTGAATTAAAAAAAAAAAAAAAAACTTCGAAGATTTTGAATTTTTTTTTTATCCAAGTTTTCAAAGTTTGAAGTCCGATTTTCAAGTTTTTCTACAGTTTCAGTTTTAAATAACGTTTTCACGACTCACTTGTTTTCACAAAATCAAGTTTAGAAAAGTTAGGGTGTGATATCTAGATTCTGCGAAGTTGGTAAGGCAATTAAATGAGACGACGAGTGTCCCGGACGTGCTAGAATATTTGCCAGTGCAGAATTGTGACCGCCAGCCCCGGAGGGGGGGGGGGGGGGGGGGGCCGGGTCTTTATCACGCAGTAATGATTGCACGAACACACTGTTTTACAAGACTCATCCAGTTCGAAACGGCCAGGGGCGAGCAGGAGGTTGAGGCTCAGAAAAACCTTGAAGCGACCTGGCAAACTAGCTCGCCACCCCTTGCACCCTGGTAGTAATCCGATCCGGTGAAGTTTATAATTGTCCTGGAGGTTTATTTTTTGGGACGGAGGAATCGCCTCGCAAAAAGAACAAAAGCCGACACAACTTAAAGACTGGTGCAAGGAGGCATCGGACTTCCTTCAGCAGTGATCTTCCATGGAAAAAAACGTTGAATGCTTCATTGTCATATTTATTTATTTATTTGTTTCTTTTTTCACAATATGTAGTAGTGCGGCACCACAGGCCTCAGGTATGGGCCAATGGCCTTTCTGTGGTGCCGCAACCCTCCAGGGTTGAATAAAGATATTATTATTATTATTATTATTATTAACTCGAGGTCGAGGAGCGTTCTACCATACAAGTGGCGTCGGAAGAGGAAAAACGGGGGGAAAGAGGGTAGCGGGGGGGGGGGGGGGGGGGCTTCAGCCTTTTTCTCCCCCTTGCAGGTATTTCGGACTGTTAAAGAAAACAATACGGAGAAAGAGGGCGTGGTCGAGCTTATTTTAATCTGAAATTATTTATGCATATGTATAGCTACTGTCGCTCTTCACTGCATAAAAGGTTGCATAGATGGTCACTGTTAGAAACTCGTTGTCAGAAGGCACTGCTCGTCACATGCTTAGTGGTTCGGAAGTTCAAAGCTGTCTTTTCGACCTAAACACCTGTGCCGACAGTAACAAAAAAAAAAAAAAAAGAATAAATGCGGGAATAAAAAGCAGGAGAAAAAAAAAAACTATCAAGAATTAGTCGGAAGTGTTCTATTCTTGCATATTCAGAGGTTCAGAACTTCGAAACAAGTTTCTTTTACCAAAATGTGTACAGGCTAAAAGAAACACGTCCCAAAAACGTGAAGCGAAAAAAAAAAGTTTTCTTTTAATGACGTGCTCAACTTGAACACTACTAGAAATCTTCTGCAATGAGTTAATTTATTCCTTAACGTGAAAAAACAATAAATATATTATTTTGTATTCTGCAGATGGCAATGATATGTACTGTCTGTGGTGTTAATTTAAATGTGATACCTCAAACAACTTAGACGAAAATAAATATCAAGTTTAGGTCATAATTGCATGCAGATACATGTTTGGACATTTCTTCGAAACTCACGTTGAATAACAATAATCACATCTTAAGACGGCACTTACCTAGGCTATACATAGATAATCGTCAAAAACCCGTCGTCCATCCTCGCCCCTTCGGGGATTTATTTCTTTAAACCTAAGCATGCCAGAACATTGAAATAAATGACATTGTCTTTCGTAAGGAATGCAGCACCGCGTGTAAAAGTTCGAGAAAAAAAATTACGAATGTACCCCACTACTTGAAATCAAATGAAACCGTCCGCCGGTCTTTCGAAGTTCGACGAACGTCGAACTTTTACCCTAAAAGTTCGAAGTTCGTCGAACTTCTGACTTTTCAGAAATCGAAAGTTCGAAACTTTTCGAATCTTCTTGATAAATAAGTTCGAAAGTTCGAAATTCATCGAAATTTTTGGTCAGTCAAGTTCGAAAGTTCGACAAGCATCGAACCTTGCAGCGCAATAAGTTCGAAAGTTCGAAAAAGATCGAATTTTTTAGCGTAATAAGTTCGACGGTTCGAAAAGCGTCGAACTTCTTAGCTTAACAAGTTCGAAAATTCGACCTCTGTCGAATTTTACGATATAGACAATTCGAAAAATCGAAATCTTTCGAACCTTTCGAACCGCTTGATTCGATCATCGAAACTTCGATTCGAAAAAAGTTTGCGGCATCCCTAGTCTAAATCATGCTCAGCACCTTCCATCTTTGCTCACATTCCTTTTGTATATCCCCTCGCCTAGTATCTTCCATTCCTCTATCTCCACCCTTACTGTTTTAGAGAAAAGAAAACACTGAGGACCTTGCAGAAGATTCATGATGTATGTCAGCCTCTAACCTGCAGCTAGACACTCCAATGACAGCACACATCTAATTGGACACTTGCAAACCGACCATGTTTGCTTAGTGTTCTAGACAAAAGAATATACGGGAAAACTAAAATCTGAAGTACCCAATTGTAGCGTTAGCAGTTGTGATCAGATGCCAAAGTTTCAGAACTTACCTGATCCAAAAGTTACAAAAAAATTATATAAATTTTTAAATTTAAAAAAAAAAAAAAAAAAAAAAAGTTTAGTGGAACCCCTGAACACATGGTAAAGAGTGGTGTCTACTACCAGGCACAGGCTCTATTTTCTAGTTGGATTTTTTCGAAAATCGCTTAAAACTCATAAATCAGGTAACATTAAGATCCAGTATCATGGCACTTAATCCCAACCACTAACAGCATTTGGGCAGACAGAAACATGTAGTTTATTTTCCCTTTTCTGCCAAACTCCCGGTATAACTGTTCCCGAATGTTGCCTACCTGTAACAGTCAGCAGCTCGCACGAATCATCCTCTCTAAGCAGATTTGGCGACTGGGCCGAAGGGGGGCTGGCGGGGAGGACTTCTTCGGAAGAAGGCCCAGAGGCCGGCAGGTCAGCGGCTGTGGACGGGGGTGGAGGGGGAGGCGGCTTGAAGACTTCCTCCCTGAGGTTTGGCAGAAAGCTGTCGATGCGATCCCAGGTGACCGTCCACAGCTGGGTGTAGCCACCCAAAGAGCTCTCCAGGTCAGCCCCGTTGGCTTGGAAGACGCCCGCCGTGTCCATCACCAGCAACATGTTCTTCAGGGACTCCGGGATGGCTTCGCTCTACGGAAACAAAATCGGAATACCATCGGTTCCGTACAAACTTCTTATGAAAACAAGGCAAGGCTTCTAAGGAAAGGGTACTGGTAATTCTGTTAGAAGGGGAGTGGCATTGATTAAAACCTTTATCTCTATTCATTGCATTTACTGTTTTGTGAGGATAAAAAAAAAAGGAGTCAGCTGCATGACACTACCGAAAGAAAGAGCAGTGCAAGGACACTTGATGAGGAAAAGTTGCATTTCCATGTAAATGAGGTGAACATGTAACCAAATATTATTAGTAGTTGGAATTGAAGAGGGTTTCACAAATGCCAAACAAATAAAGAGCATCTGACATGCCCCTGCAGAGCATTGAGGATCAATTCTGACAACCTGGGGATCTTTTGTTGTGCAACAGAAATCTCAATTACGCAGCACATTCTCTGAAATGAGCCTCCACCAGGCTGTGGGAACCCCGACTGGCACAGTAGTTGCAACTTGGAATTAGCTTCAAGCCGTATGATGCCAAATACAGCTTTTCCTACTGTTACCTACCAGCAGGTCACTGTCCTCTGCATGCATGTACTTGTCCATAAAGTCTAGAATCGTCAGCCAGAGTGCAGTAAAAGTGGGCAGAGAGAGCAGGGGGTTCAAGTGCTGCAGGAACACCTGTAATGATCAGAGCAGAACACTGTCAGTGCCAAAAGCATTACTATTCACTCTGCACAAACTTGCTTATCAAATGCAGTCCTTTATAAAAGATAGAAAGGAATGTACTAGAACTGGCGAGTCTGTGCTTTCGAGAAAGCAAAGATTGCATTTCAAGGTCCATTGCTGTATTTCAGGGAAGCATCAGAATAAAAACATGCACATACAATTTCCTTGGTTCAATAAATTTGATTTGTGTTGCCATTTAAGTGGCGACGCAAATCAGTGGCATATAATGGTCAGTAAAGGACACTTCTGACCCCTCTTTTTCCACTGTACTCCCTATACGTAACACAGAAGGAACCATGACAATTCACAGCCATGTGCTTCTATTAGGGTCACTTTCTCAGAGAAAGTACACACCTTAGCTGAAGCTGAACTAGACAAAAGTGGTGAAAGCTACCGAAGCACACGGGCCAAGCAGCTCTCGCTCAGTTGAGAGACGCACGAGCCTCTCTGACATTGCAGTATCACACACTCCCAGGTCTAAGGTGGTATCAGAAGTTTGACATTTCGGGGATGCAAAGAAACAGCACTTACCTTGCACAGCAGAGTGGCACCTCTCATCCTTGTCTCTTCCATTCCAACAGGGTCATGAGGACTGACATTTTCCATCAGCTTTGACAATAGTGGGAACAACACCTGCACAAAAGATATTGGCATCACTCGTTTCTCACTCCGAAGGTTAGCACTGCAGCGACAGATGCAAGAGTAGTACTCATCCACTGAAACCAGTGGAGCCCAATTACCAAACAAATGCGACAAGAAATTACTTTGTTGAAGCAGGCTTCCCACTCGGCCGCCGACAAAGCTTGAAGGTCGTGAACTAAAAGTGCACGCTGAAGGTAGGTCAGCGCCGATGTCCGAATGTTTCTCCGTGTGTCACAGCAGAGCCTTGCGATTCCTGCGGATGACGTGGAATGACTTAGAACCTCGGTCTATAGGACATAAAAGAAGTTCACATTCTGTTCGGGGCCAAACATGTTGCCGGTTTATGATTTAAATAGTAAACTGCATTACTGAGTTTTGGAACGTACAGTCGAAGCAAAATGCTTCTTTGGGCCTAGAGAGATCAAAAGTCAAATTGGACGTTTGAGTGATTTATACAGCGTAAGGTTGGTCTGCCAGTAAGGGCGACACTGGTTTACACTGTAGATGAGCAATTTAGCCAATGCAGTACAACCGCTAGCCTGAGGTCTTTAACGTGCACCACGCAGTAGTGATACACGACCGCACGCCGGTACGATGCTCATCCATATCGAAACGGGCAGGGGTGGGGCTCGAACCCAGCTGTTTGAAGATCACCATTCGAGCTGATCAACAGGTGCAACAAACAGTATATACAGGCTGCAGGCTTTATGAATAATATACTTTGTTCTGCCTTGTTTCTAAGTGGGAGCCAACAAGTCACATTCCCCTCTTTTTAAAAACCAGTGTTTAAATAAATTGAAATTAGTCGACGCCGCGAGCAAGATTGGTGTGGGTGGCTTGTAGGTCTGGCATTTAGTTGCAGAAAAGGGCCAAAAGAGTATGACTGTTTATCGCCAATCACACTCCAGTATGTATTACCACTCCACCACTTCGGCAATTCCAGAAATAAACAAGTGCTAGCATATATAATGTAACAAATCTTTTTCCTTTTGATCCTTGCTCCATTTCGACACAAAAGCTTGAGAAAGTCAATCAAGAGCAACCTTCTTTGAATACAAATCCACACACTATAAAGCTAGTAACGGCGCTTGCTAGCTTCAGGTTTGCACGTCAGCTACCACTTACGTATAATCACAGATCTGTACAACTCTATTGCGCTAAATAAGCTTAGATAATCGCTGTTTGGGAAGGCCCTGGGTCACCTTACTGCAGTAAAACCCGTTTATAACGAACAGCAGGAAATGCTACAATCAGTTCAATATAGTTCAATATTCAATATAGTTCGATATTCAATACTTCGCCAACTAAGTGTAATTTCGTGGCTGACAAAAAAATTTCGTTGCTCTCAGTGTCTTTTATGTCTGCATTGTGCATTGGTTAGATCATGCCTCGAGTTTGCGTCTGTGGTTTGTAACTCTGTAACGATGTTACATAGTAATCGTATTGAAAATGTTCAGCGTAAAATTAGAAGAATCTTATACGACCGATATATTGGCCGCCGCCGTTTCTACAATTACCATTCCCTGCTCACTGACCTCGGTCTAGTGCCTCTGCACGATAGATGAATTGCAAGAGACATGCATTTCCTGCGTCAAATTGTGCATGGTTCTCTCGATTGTGCCCAGCTGCTGAGGTCGCTGAGGTTCCGGGTACCGTCAGGGAGGACATCAAAATGCAGAGACACATTCTATCCTGATGTGCGGGCCACTTACCCAATGACACATCTGCAACCGCCTCATGATGCCTTTTTAGTAGGCATGGGCGAATAGAGGATTTTGGGTGTGAATCGAATTCGTAGCGAATAGTGATTTTGGCCGAATAATTTCGAATTGAATAGTTCAAATAGTACAAGCAACAAAAACTGCAAGATATGTTTAAATTATAGTTTTATATTTGACGTTATTTAGTATTAGAAGTACTGTAATTGATAATTTCAAGTGTATTGAGTTCGGGAGCACGAAATGGTCAAAAGCTTGCACCACCTGGCCGGAAATCCAAGCCAGAGTAAGTCAAACCCGTTTATATCAAACTCGCAAAAAAACGTCTACTAGTTGAATATAGCGGGTAATTCAATATAAAAGTTTTAATGAATTTGACTCTCAAAAATACACTTTCTGCTGAAATGTTACACAATGAAGTAGTCTTGCATCTTCTACTGCATTTTCTTCATTGCATCTGCGATAACAATATTTTTCTACGCTATCGACGCACTCCAAAATGCTGAGGCCGCTGCCTTCTATATTCGCGTATTAGCGCCGAACTATGCCGAGAGCACAAAGCACTCACAAAAGTCAAATTTGGGGGCTTTACGTGCCAAACCTACGACGGGCATCTGGCACGCCCCAGCGGAGGACTGAGGATTAATTTCGACCACCTGGGGATCTTTTGACGTGCAACCGAAAGCTCGGTTACATGGCGCCTTCTCCGCAATAAGCCTCCGTCATATTGCGGGCACCTCGGTCGGGATAACAAAGCACGCACAAGCAGGAGCAACTTCTGCAGAGCGCCGTTTTGCTCTGCAAGTTGGCTTTCCCCTAAAAGAGATGGCTGCATTGGGGGAAGCCAGCTAGCAAAGCAAGCTACATTTTTTTTTTCCAGGCAGTTGCGTTAATTGCTTGGAAGAAAAAATAATATTCTCTTTTGCGGACGGAGCGGAAAGAGGGAGCACGGAGCACCCTCTCTCCGCTCCCTCCGCAAAATATATATTTCTTTCTTTTCTTCCAGCAATTAACGCAACCGCCCAAAAAAAAAAAAAAAAAAAGCCAGCGTGCTCTGCAAGCTGGCTTTCCCCCACGGACAGCCGCTCGAGTTGGGGGAAAGCCAGCTTGCAGAGCAAAACGGCGCTCTTGACAGTTCGATATATCGGTAGCGGCTGCAATTTTTGTTCGATGTAACCATAACTTTTGCAAGATATTATCACTGTAACATTACTGTGCACAAAAAGTGTTCGACATAAGGAATAATTCGATGTAAAGGGGTTCAATATAGTCAGGTTTGACTGAATATAGAAAGGTTGAATAATTCTGTATTGTCGAATAATTCGATATTGTCGAATACTTAAATTCTATTCAAAGCGAATGCTGAATAGAACAGAATTCGATTGGCTATTCGTAATAACCAAATATTCGCCCATCCCTACTTTTTTGGTGAAACAGACATTTTCGCCTGATTGTGTTTTTATCCCATACTTTTATGTATCTGTGTGCATGACACTGCACTGCTGCTCAGGCCACTTGGCTGTTTGCAGGCACGCAAATAAACCCCATCTATCTATCTATCTATAGCAAGTAGTTTGATATAGCAAAAACCATTTACAACGAACTTCCACGATGCGTTAGTTGTAAGGCGAGAGCCTTCTCTTTCTCTCTCATCTCTTCCACCTTGTAACAAAGTGCTAGAAAGATTTTTTTTTCTTTTGGCATGAGTGCAGCTTTTTTTTTTTTTTTATCTCTTTTTCCGAATCACTTCTCTTCGTAGGCCGCCGCTTTGGGATAAAGTTTTTTTTCTGTGCGTGTGTGTTGTGTTTTTTTTTAGCTTTCTCCCCTTCTGAATCGCTTCTCTTTGTCGGTTTTGTTTGCAGCATGAGCTTTTGAAATTTTCCTTCTTTCCTAGATTTTTGTTTTGGGGGGGGAGGGGGGGGGGGGAAGGGACAGGCTAGAGGACGATTGTTTGCACGTTTTTGGAAGCCTTCCGGGAGAAGGGGGGGGGGGGGGGGGGTTCGATATAGCCAATATGTTGTTTGTTATAAAAAGCACTTTTTAGATGCATTTTTATTTAAATTTTCCGTAAGTTTGATATCGACAATAATTCGCTGTATGTGGGTTCGTTCTAAACGGGTTTCCCTGTAAACACGAAGCGAACAAGAACCTTACATAAGAAAGTGGAAAATAACATGCTGCAGAGCTAGTGCACAAGCAGGTGCAAACAGCCATTCTAAACACAAGCTAATGTAGCCCACTCTCTGTCTCGGGCAAGTTTCTGCTAAGCTCATTTTGTGCACGTCGAGTCTCGTCGAAGACACCGGCACAAACAAAAAGACAATCGAGTGCCAAAATGCAACTCAAACAGCTAGGATTTCAGAGCCCACCTTGCAGGAGTGGACACCAGCAGCAGTTCCAAAGGCTGGGGCACTGGCTGCCCGCAACTGGCTTGCCCGAGACCAGCCTGCTGCCGGTGTCTCCTGAGGTGGGCAGTCCCTGGGTGGACAGTGCAATGTCCGGCACAAGGTCTCCCGGCTGGAGGATGGATGCTGCCCTTGTGTGCAGTGTGTGCATCAGGTCCAGCAACTGCAATGGAGAGATGCAGATTACAGACTGCAGAGAATACATTAAACGACATACAGTCATGATGTAAGCAGTGTGTGGCGGCAACAACGAACGGAGCCACGCAGGGACTTTAAAGTTACAGGCGATGCCACGAAAGGGCCCAAGTGTTCAGCTTCGGAGTTCCAGGAAGAGACACAAGAGGGCGCCTGCCCTCGTAAGGGATCACTAGAGAGCCTAGATTGAAGAGAGGGTCCATCTCAAACAATGGGAAGCGTTTGCAATTCAGTGGCGGACAGCCGAGATTGGTCGCAGGTGTGCATGTGCTGCGCTTTCCCGTGGCAAAGAGGAAAGCAGGCGGGAAGACGGAGACAATTGCAGACGATCAAAGCTTTCAGGACCTCCTCGAAGCTCGTATTGCAAGCATGGCCCACAAACCACGTGACCCTGATCAAGCAGTTGGGCACTCTCTATTATACAGGCTCTCTAGGGATCACTGGAAGAGGGAAAGAGCACGGCCATATTGGTATAGAGGAATAAAGGAGCATGTGGCTCGTTAGGCGTAAAACCTCGTTCCCCGCGTCTGCAAGGTGTGAGTGCTTCCCGACACAAAGCCATTGGATACAGAGTTCAAGAACACACAGATGAATGCCATCTAGAAGTGAGGAAATCAGTAATAATGTAGCTTATTGATGCACTATTGGTATGGGAAACGTGTGTGTGCAAGTTTTGAAGATGCATACAAAAGGGCACTCAGAGAAACAAAAGTTCTTCTAAATAGCCCTTTGAAAAAATCCCAAAACCCTGCACACGCCCAACGACGAATTATGGAAGTCCTTGGTACGCCCCCTCCCGCTACTAGGTGACAGGAAAGCAGGCGCAAGTTACCGAGGCAACAATGCTCGAGCATTTGAGTCAAATGAGTGAACGGAAATGGGGGAGAGTGTATCGCATTGGCTAGCTCGAGAGGCTGCCTCTTTCTTATCCTTTTCCTCTGTACCGGCTCCATTGTCTGCTACACCAACGCTTTGTCGAAACTAATCGAACCCTGTCACGGTTGCGGTGCCAAATAAGTGGATTCGGCAACATTGCCAGACATGAACGCAAGTTATGACGCATTACAGATTCAAATAAGCGAATAGCATAATGCAGAAAAGATTGGATTCGGGTACCACAGGCAGCACGGATACGGTACGCTGCCAATGACGTTCTGGCGGATGGCCGGGATGGCGGATGGCTGCGACGGCTGCTGCACGCGGTAGCCGCCGCGACTCACGCGCAGTCATGGAGACTCAACAAGAAAGCGCGTGATAGTATGTACCGAGGGTTCCCAAAATCCCCTGCTGTCATGGCGCTGTACATACTGCAACAGGTCTGTTGTTACCAGATGGTATTATGAACGAGAAAAGATGATGCTATATATATTTCTGATAACTGCAGCTAGCTTTCTTCTTTTGAGAAGTCCTATGCCTATCTTTTAGTAATACTAATTCACAGAGGCAACAGACGCTGTAAACGCGGCAACCCAGCAAGGTGGGAGTTAATTCAGTGTCGCATTATGTTGAATACACCAGTATACCTGGAGGGAGACGTGCTGGTATTCTGAAGGAGTCCCGTCCAGCCTGTCCTCATCATCTGCCTCGTAGCCCAGGCTGTGCTGGTGGGTGCGGCGGTGGAGGGCCTCTTCCCTGCGCCGTGCCTGGGCCTTGGTTGGACGCTTGCCCTCCCGCGGCTTGGCACTTCGCTTGGCCCAGCTGTGTCCTGAGTAGACGGCAGCGCGAATTAATAAGTAGATAAGGCCGAGCCCTTCGAATTGGGTGGTACCTTGTGCAACCTAGCTAGTGCTCGCGATTCCAACAGCTCTGTCCATGAGCCAATCCAATTTGTGCCGCCATCTGCTCTTCAACGAACGGAAACCTGACATATCTCAATGAACTGTGACTCTTCTGACTTCAGCCCCACCTGCTGACCTCTATTGTATCCTCTGAAAAACACTTCAAGTAAGCGCCCTTTGACACTGACGAGAAGCAGCCACAAGGCCTCCATATTATTAGTACCGAAGCGCAGTGCAGCGAGCGATATGAATTTGTGACACCGTGTCACTCAGGCAAAATACCCTTTGCAAGGCGCCGGCAAAAGCAGAATCCGGGACTTGGAATGCGGCATCTCGGTGGCCTCATCCCAGCCATGCACTATGCTGAAGGTAGAGTCCCGATCCATACACAGGTAAATTTACGAACGTCAAATACTCCATACTAGCAGCGCCATGAATCGGCAGCCATGGCGGTTTGCACAACAAGAAAAACGAGCGCAACAAGGCACGCGAGTTGTCACGGCCATTGCTTAATGGCACTGCCAGTAGGGAGCGATTGGGCGCGTTCAGTAGCGCTTCCCTTGCCTCCGAACGGAGTGCCTCGAGTCAAAGTCATCGGAGCGCCTACTGAACGGCAAAAAAACCCGCGGCTCCAAACCTGCTTCTACGCAACTTCCGCTTCCTTCCCAGTGCCAGGCGGTCTCTGAATAAACTGGAAGCAGACGATGGTGAGCACGATCGCTTCTATTTGACGCCGGTTTTGAAGAAGTCTTCACAACATCGTTGAAGAAAAAGCGGGTGATTGTACACATTAGCGCTGCTGTTCGAAGCGATGATACGCGATCGAGCCCTTCGCTAGAGGGTGCAAAGGCAGCTACTGTTATAAAAGCCGACAAAAATCGTCGTCAGCACACACAAAATACAGAGCTCAGCGAATCTACCCCGCCGGTTGCGATACTTTTATACGGCCATAAGTTTGTTCTGCCCTTCGTAACGAACTTCCTATAAAACGTATTTGTATACACACGGGAAGTTCGGCCGCGCTCGGCGATCAAGGTTTTGTCGGCTGAAGCGAGCCTCAGCCAACGTGCACCCCGATTTATCTACACAAACAGAACATTATTGGTATCATGCTCTGCGTGAGTGTCCAACCGGCTTCCAAAGTCGCATTCATACTCTGTTTTGCTCTGTTAAGCGCGGACAGGACTATCGTCAATATTACAGAGTTTCTGTGCAACGGTGATCAAGACACGGCATTAAATGAATGTTTGCGTTGTTTATTCATATTCAAACCAAACAAAATACGGTCCAATGCATTTTCCGAAAGAGCCTTATCTGAAAAGGATATTTGAACGCGTTATTCGTCTTACCTTGAGCACTTTTCATTAACAAAAGCGAGCAAACCGCGCACCCGCGACAGAACCGAAGCAGCTTATCCCGCCATATTGTTTGTTTTTTCCTCTTTTAGCGCCGGAAACCGTCATCAGTCAGGAAATGACGTCATCTTTAGCTCCTTTGACTCGGTGCTTTGGAGCTTGACTCCGGAGCCCCGGAGTTACGTGCACCGGAAGTGACTTTTGGCCGTCCAGTGGAAGGAGTCAGTGACTCCTTGACTCCGGGCCCGCTACTGAACGCGCCCATTGGGACTCTACTATTATAGCCTGTTGCAAATTTAGAATAGCGGTACAAGCCCATTCCACAAAAGTTGGCCACAATTGGAGTTTCCTCCTCTCCTCCACAGCACTTGCTCTGCTAAAATAAAAAGAGTGGAGGGCTTTGTGGGGGGAGCCTATCCTACTATATTCTTACAACAAACTACAGTGACATCTGCGGCCCCCTCGCATCAAATCGGAAGATAAAGGGACGGCCCTCACCCCCGTGCAAGCTGGCCTCGACGAAGACGCGTATGCATTGGATGCAGCCGCGCAGGTTGCTGGGGGTGATGTGCGCCAGGTCTCTGACGAGCAGGGCCAGGCATTCGCAGCACTTGGCTAGGGCCAGAGGGTCGTGGGGCAGCAGCTCACAGGCCAGGCTGATGGAGAACTGGTTCACGGGGGCGCTTTGGGGCACGCCCAGGCGGTCCTCGTCCGCCCCGCCGCCGACCTGGACAGCCAAAGTTAATGTATCAGAATGTTAAAAAAAACCAATGTTAAAGGATCAGAATGCTAAGAAACAGAATGTTAAAGAATCCCAATGTTGAAGGATCAGAAGGTTAACAATTACAATATAAAAGGAGCACAATGTTAAAGCACTCCAATGTTAAAAGGATCAAAAAGCTCAGGAGTAGCAATGTTAAAGCACCTCAACATTAAAAAACAAGAAAAAATTTTTTTTCTTAAAATGTTTTTTTTTTTTTTTTCTTTGCAGCATTTAAGCAAGTTTGTTAGCCTCGAGCCGGTATGCTGCAGCCTTATGAGGTAGTTACATAGAATGTTGACAGGCTTTCAGACGAGCTGCACAAGTTTAACTAAATGTTAGTTCAGCGCAGTGTTGTACACGTTCCTCAAAAAAAGGAACGAAAGCTCGTTCCTCGTTCCTTCTGATATTTAGAACGCGTTCCCGTTACAGTAGACTCTCAGTAAACGGAACTCCAAGGGACCAAAAAAATTTGTTCCATTTAACAGGAGTTCCGTTTACTAAGAGAGATGTAAAAAGTGCCGATTTTATGTGTGCACACTCTCTTAATACTCTTTTATGGATGTCTAAACACTATAAGGTGAATGTAACTCATAGTTTTTTAGAAAGCAAGGAAACTACATGAGGTTTTTACATAGCATTCACAAGTTTATTAGGCAGCAATTAATCACTGTGGACTGAAAAATGCATCAATTTTCTTTTGTTTGAGTCCTTGCATCTTCATTTTCAGAATCTTTTTCTCCATGTCACTTAGGCTTTGGAGAAACACTCCCGATTATGGTTCCTTAAGAAAAAAACCAGGCACTCCTCCAGTTCTTCGTGGTCGCCGTGTCGCAGACGCTTCCTTTGGGCCCGAATCGCGTAGCTTGTCCTTGTCGTGCAGGATCCTCGTTAAGCTGCTTTTCGGGACGCCGTGCTTCGTCGCAAGCGCCGTCTTCGAGTATGAGCCGCTTTCGAAGTCAAGAATGACGTCCATCTTCTTTTCCAACGTCAGCGCATGGTGTGCCCACTTCTGTGTTGCCATTGAAACAACGGAGGCAAGGCCTCAACTTCGCGAGCGCTTACGAGCCACCGAAATTGGAAGACACCAACGCGGCAATGAAGCACGGTAGGCACCACGACGGCAGGAACGATGCGGCTGTAACTTAGGCAACTCGAACAGAGACCGAACAACTTGATCAAGAACAGCAGTGTTGCATTCGTTGCGCCGACTATCAACGAGGCGAGGCCAACGAGGCTTGCGAGGCTAGAAAAGAAAAAAAAAAGAAACAGCCGGAACCAAAAAAGGCTGATGCTCATGGCAATGGGTCTGCCTGAAGTTCTATTTTAGGTTCCGTTTACACGGTGAAGTGCAAATTTTAGTTCCGATTACCGAAAGTATTTTTACCTTATCTGAATACAAAACCAACCAACTTACGGGCTACTGTTCCGTTTAAGCGGCAATTCCGTTTAAGCGATTTCCGTTTATAGAGATTCTACTGTACAAGTTCCATTTGCGAAAAAGGAACTCGTTCCCGTTACATTTTAAAAAATGGAACGTACCGTTACATATACGTTACATTAGTATTTTGATGATTACCATATTCAATTGGAACAAACAGAGTTGTTTTTGTTGTTTTTTAATCTATCCCATCAAATGGCAACATACGATTTTGAATGCCGTGATGGAAGGACGGGAGAAGACAAGCGGAGGCAAGATTTCATTTGTTGATATATTCACGCTTAAAAATCTCAGCTTTGGGCCATATTTATCTTTAAGGTGGGTAATTCAGGCGAGCCAAATGTACTGTTGCACGCGTGTTTTACAACCATCTCACACGTTTCAATCTAACAAAGTTCCTCGTTCGAACTTAACAACACTTGCTTCTCGATGTTTCTGTCCGCAAGAGGAGCAAGAGAAGAGGAGGGTAGGGTTTTTGGAAGGCCAGTCTTGAAAGCTGCCAGTCCTTCGTGAAGGTTAGATTCGTTGTTCTGTTCTAAGGTGGGGGACAACAGGACAATGAATAAAGGTTAATTTTTGTGTATACTTTAAGTGACCAATGTTCGGGATACAAGGTTGCGTTTGATGTCTGGTCACCTGTTGCTCAGTTGTCACTGTAGGTCGCTTTCTGAAAATTCAGTGATGGCTGTAGTCGGCATTAGATTTCTGGTGTATGAGGATTCGTCAAAAAAAGTAACTGAGTGTGAGACGTCCCTCTTTCTGTGTCTTTTCTTTCGACTAAAAGTGTTGGTTTTTTGTACTGCAGGCTTGACCACTGAAAAAAAATGTATCGATGTCCATTAGCTTTCCTGCACCCAACTGTTACCAAGAGAAAACCTCACAAAATAAACCCTAAAGCGCCATTCACACATTTGCAACCAAGTACGACCAAGAGAGACACACCGGTTTTTAAGCCTCTTGCGAGGTTTAGGACCAGTTCCACAGCAGCGCATCAGGTCCTAAGTCGTCGCAACAAGCTTAAAAACTGGTCTTCTCTCGGTCGGTCCGACTCGGTTGCAAGTGTGTGAACGGGCCTTAAAGTGCCATTCACATACTTGCAACCGAGTACGACTCAGCGAGACAATACCGGTTTTTAAGCCTTTTACGACGCCGCAGAACCAGACGCGCTGCTGCGGAGCAGGTGCTTCGCAGTCACAATTTGCTTAAAAACAGGTCTTGTCTCTCACGGTCGTACGCGGTTGCACAAGTGTGCCTTAAGATAAGTAACAAAAAGCTAACGAGACCCTGCTCTTCATAATGATATTGTTTTTCTACATTTTAGAATTTCCCTTTTAGAAATAAATTAAAAAAATGAAAGCCGTTTACAACTCCCTGTAACGCCGAATTAGAGCGCAGCTCTTGAGGAGGAGGAGGGAAGGGTACTGGGGGGTGGGTCAAGTGACCTCGGGGGCGGGGGGTCACGTGACCTTGGAGGTCACGTGACCTTGTGGGAGTCACGTGACCTTGGGGCGTCACGTGACGTCGCGGGGGTCACGTGACCTGGGGCCACGTGACGATACCGATGACGTCATCAGTAGCGTCACTGATGACGCCATCAGTGATGATGATGACGATGCGGATGCCGGTGACGTCATGAGTGACGTCACTAATGACGTCATCAGTGATGATGACGATGACGATGCGGATGCCGGTGACATCATCAGTGACGTCACTGATGACGTCATCAGTGGCTATGACGTCAACGGGGGGTCACGTGACCTCGGGGGTATCCCCAGGTCACGTGACCCCAGGGGGGGTCACTTGACCTGGGTAACCATCCTGACCCTCGTGAGGGTAACCCTAGTAACCCTTGTGAGGGCAACTCTCGTGACCCTCGTGAGGGTAACTCTCGTGACCCTCGTGAGGGTAACTCTCGTGACCCTTGTAAGGGTAACTCTCATAACCCTCCCGACCCTCGTGAGGGTAACCCTCGTGAAGGTTACCCTCACGTAAGTAACCCTCGTGAGGGTAACTCTCATAACCCTCGTGACCCTCGTGAGGGTAGCCCTCGTGAAGGTTACCCTCACGAGGGTTACTAACCCTCGTAACCCTCAAAAGGGTTACCTTCACGAGGGTTACCCTCACGAGGGTTAGTAACCCTCGTAACCCTCGTGAGGGTTACAAGGGTAAGTAACCCTCGTGAGGGTAACCCTCGTGAAGGTAACCCTTTTGAGGGTAACTAACCCTCGTAACCCTCGTGAGGGTTACGAGGGTAAGTAACCCTCGTGGCCCTCGTGATCCTCGTGAGGGTAACCCTCATGAGATTAACCCTCGTAACCCTCGTAACCCTCACGAGGGTTACGAGGGTTGCGGTTACGCCGACGCCGACGGCGACGCCGCTCAAGCCGGGAACGGGCCCCTAAGAGCTGCGCTCTAAAATTACCCCACTGGACGAAAAAAAAGGAACGCCGTTCCTTCTTCTGTTCCAGTAAAAAAGTAACGTGTTCCCGTTCCAGTTCCACTGATGCAAAATGGAACGGTGGCGTTCCTTCGAAAAGGAACGCGTTCCAGGAACGCCGTTCCTTGGAACGCCGTTCCGTACAACACTGGTTCGGCGATGCATGATGAACAGCCCCTTTTTACTCTTTCCTACATACCCGGTTCTTAGGACAGATATTTCAATGCCTATCTACATCTCACGATCAGAGAAGACTCTTGGCCACCAGCTCAAATCTGCCCAATATTTGACCGAACAAATTTTCGTGCACTACCATCCCTTCTCTTTTTTTTTAATAACTGAGAAAAAAATTAATTCAAAGTTGACATTGGCTGCCGTAATACAGCACCAGCTATTATTTTTCTTTGTCTTGTCTCTCTCACCTTCCCAACGAAGATTTGAGGTTCAGTTGAGTTTTCTACTTTGCCTAAGATGTACTTTGTGAATTGCAAGGAACTACCATAAAACCCTGTAGGGTGCCCTCCCCCGAGAGATTGCCCATCCAGTTTTCTGGCTAAATATCCAAAACATAAAAATTCCGAAACATCGCTCAACCCTTTCGAACATCACGCTATGTTTAATAGGAATCACGTCAACCGCGCAATCTGCGGTACCGGTACGTGTAAGAAGCGAGTTCGCAGCGGGTTCCCGCGCTTCTGTTCGTGATCTGCATGCGCGACATTGGTTCCCGTGACATCCGAGTTCGTAGCCAGCTCCTGCGTTTCTTGCCAGCGATTTGCGCGCATGATACCGGTTCCTGTAACAGAAAAGTTTAGCCGGTTTCTGTGCGTTTACCGCACCGTGAAACAAAAATCTGCTGCATCCGGAGTCTGCGATGTCCTTTCCCACAACACAGGAGCTTCTAGCAAATTCTTGCATGTTTATAGCGTGACACGCAAGTTTGCCATATCCACGATTTGTGGCAACAGTTTGTGCGTCACGTGGTTCGTAGCGGGTGCCCTCGTGTTTATCCCCAATTTTTTTTAAGAACTTTTGACATCTCATCTTAAAGATAGCTCGCCTCATGTTTTTCATCTTTTACCTCTTCATTTTGCGTGGGTGCCTTTACAGGATTTTACGGTATAGTATGCACAAGATCGAACCTCAAACGAAGGAAGCAACTGACCAGTATCCATTCGCCGGCCGACGTGTCCATGATGCTGCCCATTGAGCCCTCCTGCTGACATCCGGACAGCCTCCCGGGAGCCTCCCCGCTCGCAGACTGGTGCTGGTAAAGCTCGCTGTCCGAGGTGTACCCCCGGTCTTCGGGACGGTCGTGGCCTCCGTGGGAATTTCTCGCCAGCTCGCTGTCAGACTGGGCTCCTATTGGGCGAGAGACTGCACTCGGTACGTGGCACCAGCACACAATGCTAGAAAATTGCAGTCCTAGACCTCGAGGACAACGTCTAGGACGACCTCGAGAACGACGCTTAGAAGACGACGCCTTGGACGGACTCTTGGATGACTTCAGGGATGACTACTAGGATGACTTCTAGGACGACCTCGAGAACGATGCCTAGAGATGATAACATGAGATCAGGATCTCACAATCTAATGATGCCAAGGAAAAGTGACTCACGCTGGTTTCCCTCTTTTTATTTTTATTTATTCATACTTGCCACGACCAATAGGGAGTTTTCCGTCAACATCTGCAGACACATTTTTTTCCCTGATCATAGCGCATAACAACTTTGCTGTAAAAAATTACACTAGCTTGATTATGCTGACAAAAGCCATGGAGCACAGAATATTTTGTGAATAAGCTGGGCACATGATATATATGTGTGCGACGTCATACAATGTTGAAAGTTCACATGCGATGTCACCCGTCATGGTGTCACATGATATCATGACATCACAAAATCATGGTGTCATGTGGAGTCATGATGTCATATGACACCGTGACATCACCTACACCATGACATCACAGTCATGTGATGACATCAGTGTCATGATGTCAAGTGATGTCACAGTCCTTCATGACACTTTTCTCATAGAATCCGTAGAATAAAACAAATTCTGCATTAAAATATGTTCTCCACCCACCACTGGCCAGGGTGTCGCAGCTGGTGAAGGTGCCCTTGGCGGGCAGCGAGGTGCTCCGGGCAGTCTCCGACCCGGAGGCAAGTCCGGGGGGCCTGAGCCCGGCCCCCGCACACGCCATGAGCAGGAAGAGGATAGCCCAGTCCCCTGGGGCCTGCACGCAGTTGGCGCTGGTGCGCAGTAGCTCCTGCAGGGCGCACGCCACCTGGCAGGACACCTGGTGAAGTGTGGGCGGCTTCAGCACCAGCAGCATCTTCAGCGACCGCAGCACCTGCGTCGTCAGAATGCGTGCGAGATTGGACGCCGTCGCATGCTCGGTGACAGGGGAAAGGCTGAATGTTCTTGGGTAAACCTCGGAGGTTACGTCAGCTCATGCAAGAGGATTGTCCTTCTGGACAACCTGTGTTCCGGCTAGGCTCACCTGAGAGGTCATCTCCTCACGACGGATCAGACGGATGGCGAGGCGCAAGATGCCGACGACTGCGCGCTCCAGAAGGAACCGATAGTCGCTGGCACTTGCACCCATCACCAGGGTGTAAAGATGGTCCCTCACTGCAGCCCAAATTGGGCCCACACGGTCTCTGCGACAAACGTGAAAACGATCCATTTTGAAACAGATGCTTATCTTGCACAAGACGCGAATGACATGCGACCCATCTCGGAGAAGGGGCTGATTTTGTGAAATGCCTTGACAGTTGTGTTAAAGAAGACACAGTGCCATGGCCTCGCAACTCTGTTGGTCATCGCGCTGATGCTTTGGATACACAAGAACCGACTTCAAAAGTGCTATATTTGCTCGGGTGTTAACTCAGGTAGACTTAAAACTCAATGGTTCTGCAAAATATTATGGAATAAAGATTGCAAGAACATACATCATCTACAAAAATGTTTATTTGGTGTGCTCTATATAAAGCTAGTTACCCTCCTTTACCCAGCTATATGCCCCTTCAGTAAATCTTTAGCAATACAATACATTCAGAATAAATAGTAAAGTATTACAAACCTTTTAAATAAATGTAATTAAACTCCAAAAATCAAAGGAAGCTCCTAAAAAAAAAATATTGCTACGTTGTACTTACTTGTTCTGTAGAACCACCTTGATCAGTAGTTCAAGAAGAAAAACAGTGGCGTATTCGTCGTAGCCACCAGACATAGAAGAGTGACTTTCAGGGCCATGGCAGGCGTAAATGAGAGCCTAGAAACAAAAGCCACAAACACATTTCTTGCATGTGACTTCCACCATGTGAATAAAAAGTTAAAGTGCAGGCGAGCTGATGGTGCATAATTAGTAAGAAGAAAAATCTGGAGGCACGGTAGTAGAGAAAGCTGGTTAGAAGAGCCCAAAAAACAATCAAATGAAAGCCTAGGGTGGTAGCCCTTTGGTAGCAAAACATTATTTGCTACTCTGAGGCTTCAAGGAACATCCTTTTCAAGTTCAATCTGGTAAAGCAGCTAAAGTGTTCCCCTGCCTGCAACTGCAAAAAGTAAAAAGAAAAATAATAATTTTAAAACGTCTCGGAAGATATACAGTTGAACCTCAATTTAACGAAACCCGATTTTACGAGTTTCCCGATTTAACAAACAAATTGGGATTCCCCACGCAGCCTAACCCGAAGAATGTCTTTCTCAACTTTACGAAGTTCCCGATTTAACGAAATAATTAGGGGGTCCCGGTGACTTCGCTAAATCGAGGTTCAACTGTAGCTTCAATTCACAGTCCCGATCAAGAATTCGTGAGGAGACACAATATAGGTGGCATTTGCTGGACACCTTAAATGGAGAATATTGTTCACGAAACATGCTTAGGAAAAGCCCCTTCTTATCATTTACAAAGAACAACATTCCGAACGTTGCAGTAGAGCCACAGAAGCTTGACCTCGACGTGCGCTCAGCAGCAATCGACACGGCAAACGATAAAGCAGCGATGGCACAGGCGAGCAGGTGAGGATTCACCATGTTAAACCATTTGAGGATGGGTGGAGAACAATAATAATACAACCTGGAAGAGAAAGGAACAGAATCACAGAACAACTAGCACAAGACAGATTTACTTGGCAGTATGAGTAAAGGTTGGTTTACACCTTTGCGTCTGCTTACGGCCGTGTGCCTTGGAACCTCTTAAAATCTCTTGCGACAAGAGGTGCCAGCTAACGGGTAATCGTGGAACACATACTGGGCATTTCCGGACATTACCCATCTTCTTCGGGCATCATTTTTTTTTTTTTTTTCTTGGCTCGTAAAGCTTCCACCAAAGTCCGACCGTATATTACGATAGTAAGCACATCTGATCTCGCAAATACCGCAACAAAACTTTCGCTCTAGAGAAACACGGTTCCAGAATCGCCTCAAAGACGGTGCCATCACGCCAGCGTGTCCTCTCATCGTAAGAGGTTATAAGAACTCGGGCCTAAGCAACGCGAAGGCATAAATAAGCCTTTGTTGAAGGGTCAACGACGCAGCCCCAGGAAGTGCCCTTTTTTGCCATCCAGTACCGAGAACGACATTCAGAACGGTGTAGAACGCGAGTTTGCAGTAACGCCGCAGAAGCTCGCCATCGACGCATGCTCAGCACGAATCGACTTAGCTCTGGCAATCGGCGAACTGTACCCGTATGACGGTAAATGGATTTACTCGGCCATAGGAGCACGGAGTGAACGCTGTATTGGGGCTAAAATGGCGAGTGTCGCACCTTGACCAGCTCCTGCAGGGCGTCCTCCCTGAGGAACTTGGACTCGGACACTAGCAGCTCAGGCTGGCAGTTGGCCACGCAGTGGAGGGCGGCCTCCTGGGCCCGGTGGTCCTCTGGGTTGGGGCCCTTCTGGCTGCTGTCCATCAAGTAAGTGACGAAGGTGCTCAGGAGGCTCTGCTGCTCGCTGCGCTGCTGGCTCAGGCCGACCACGTCCTCGGACCGCAGTAGGGACACCTCCCCCGATGGGTCCACAAAGTCCTCTGCCTGGGGGCGCGAGACAAAGATGGACGGGAGCCGTCAAAGAGGGGTGTCATCCACCGACATCACCTACGTTGTTGATAGATGTGGGTACCGCCAGTGGTGTGATGTAACCAATGATGCCGGTATCATCAAAGGCAGAATGATGGATTGCCATCATTGATGGAGACTTCATCCATATCAGTGACCGATGTAGGTAGGTATTATCATTGGTAATCTGATGCCATCTGATGTTACCCACATAACTGACTGATGCACATCTAATCAGAGGCATTAATGTCTGATGCATGTGTCATCAGAGGCACCAATGACTGATGTATAGATATCATCAGCCTCTACCAAGTGGACGCCCACACCCAACTCGCACCTCAACGTGAGACATCTGCTTTATAACTTGAGATAAGGGTGCCTTGGGAGAGAACGGCGGTTCAGCTAATCTAAAGGTGAACTGGACTCTAGATTCACTGTATTCTAGAGTTCTCCCCAGATTTCGCTGAAGACGAGAGTCTCGCATGTCTAGCTATCAACGACTGTGTGTACTTGGAGGTGCACCGTGTGACGCTTGTACGGTACATAGAGGGTTTGGAAGTTCACATATACCTTGCCCGTTTCAATAATAGGAGCCATACTAAATATCAATTTATCGAAAAAAAAAAAGCCACCACTAAATTGGCAAAAAGTTAGAAATAGGAGCAAGCTTGTATGCAAGATAAGCCTCTACCAAAGACGGACGGGAGCAATGTGAGGCACTCACGGTGACTAATGCCTGTGGCAGCAGCTTTGCCCTGTACAGCTGCAGCACGCAGTCAATGAGGTTCTTCCAGCCATCGCGCAGGATGTGTCCGTGTCTCTGCGCCAGGCCAAATACCATCTTGGATACCAGCTGCGCCTTCTGGCTGCTCCCCAGGACCATGGGCACTGCCTCTGGACTCTGCATGTGGCAGCAGATGGATGTGGACCCTTTAGTTCCATAATTATGGTCTGATGAAGCTGTACACAGGGTCACCCCCACACCAACTTGGGACAACATTCTTCTTGAGCAAAAAGACACCACAAGGATCTCACAGCCTCTGCCCGCTGAGAAGGAAAGGTCTGCTTTGTTTTGTCAATACGAGTTTTGTGGAAATGCATTTCGTGGACAACTTTACATGGACATGCATTTCGTGGACACGCATTTCATAGACACACGTTTAAGACAGTTTGTCATACAACGTATTTAGTTTACTAAGTGTGTTGGATTAGATTACTGAGTTTATTTCACTCGCTGGAAGTACACCGGAACTATGGCAGTGTCTCTTGGGTGGATCTGATGGAGGAAAGAAAAAATTTGTGAGCCCTATCCTAGGCTTCCAGACAGATCGCACTACGAGCAGTAACCCCTCGCTCCGTAAAATGGATTATAAGGTCAGGCTTGAGCTTGTACAAGGCCTTGTCGGAACCGCGAAGGGTTCAGCAGGCTAGGCCATTACATGGATGCCGGCAGCCGGGGCGATGTGAGCAGAAAGACGCTTTCGACGAAACCTTGCAACGTGCGTCAATTTAATTAAGGCGGGAGTCTTTCGACGAAATGAATTGTCGATTCAACGTTGTTCGACCAACTGATTGCTATTGAAAAAGGACTTCCCTTCCAGAAAAAAAAGGAAGGATTGAAAGGCCACTTGCCTCGGCACTGGAGAGAGAGGTGAACTTGCAGAGGGAGATGATGAGGTTGTCGAAGACGTCACTCATGGCGTAGTGGGCGGCGATCATGGCGCACTTGCGGTAGCCCGACAGGGCCTTCTGCAGAACAATGCTCTCCGAAGGCGCCTTGTCCAGGATGGAGGCCAAGGCAGCCACCGTGGGGCCCCACACCAGTGTGAACAGGTCGTGGTCCAGCAGGCCGTTGGGCACGTGCACAAAGTGGCCCGCCTTGCCCGCACCCCGCCGTAGCAGCACCTGTGAAGGTTGGAAAAAGAAAGCCCATGGCACTTGAATGAATGCCAAACAAGTCAATAAATTAAATTAAATTTTTTCATCTATAATGTACTTCTACTGCAACACTCATACGAATTCAAACAATGGACCTTTTTACAGTAAGCTCCTGCACAAGCATACACCCTCTCCCCTGGCCTTGGAAGAAAAGTGTACACATGTACACCTTTTCCCCGAAGCCAACGCTCCCTATCGCTATATTCAGAGTGCACAGTCCTGCATAACCAATATGTAGTCAGCACTTATCTTTGTGCACGCTATTTCGTCTTTTTTGATGATTCGTTTTTGAGCATCGGTAGCATGGAGCATAAAAAGAAATGAAAACCGATAAGGCAGCACAATGCCAATGTCTTCAGATGGGTGCAAGCATTGCAGAAGCTTTTAGACAGGGGCGAAATAGCAGACGAACGTAGGCAAAAACGGATGCAAACGCGCAGCTTTTGTGTCTGAGTCTTACGGGCATTGCAGACGAAAACAATAAACGGTAGTAGAATAGCAGACGATGCAGGAGGCTGCTGCGCAACTGCTCGCACGACTAGCAGGCGGTGTCAGACGCCAGACTAGACGCACCGGATGTCGCGAAAGGGAGACACTAGACTTGCCATCATGTTCGGCCGAGCAGCCAAGCTCATCCAGTAGTAATAGGTGGGGCTATTGATTTGTGGGCGGGGCTTAGAGCGGTCCGTGACCTCCACCTAAAATTGCATTTGACAGCATAAATAGTACAAAAAGTTTTGTTTAGCATGAAAAAATAAAAATAAAATAATGTGTTTTGTTAAAAAAAGTTTTAGATAGGGTATATTGCCGCGAGCGCAGCTGACCGAGCAGGCAGGGCGCTCGTGGCCTAACGGTTATCGCACTTGCCTTCCACGCAAAAAGTCAAGGTGCGATTCCTCGCCACGGGTACACATTTTTGTTGACTCTGTAATATGTTGTTCTGGTAAATTCGAGAACCGTGTTGCTGATTCGAGGTTCGAATGTTCTACACGCTGAACGTTCTACGCCGATTGTTCCAGAAGCTTATGCGTGTACATAAGGGGCTCGGCGTGGCGAGCCACAGTCAGTCTTGCCCTAGCGTTCAATCCTGCTGTTTCGCCGCCATCGACGCTAGCCTTTTGTTATTTTGTTTGGACACAAGTTCGCCCCATTAAACGTCTAGTTTCTTCAGTTATCACCTCATCAATTGTCATTTGTGACATTATGTTCTTTTTTTTTTTTATCACACCATTATGCATTAGTAGAGATGAGCATATCTCAAAACAAACCATGCTGAATTAACCTGAGACTGGGGTAAAGAAGAAACATCAAAACGTAAAAGAGACAAAAAAATGACAAGACAACATCTCAAAGAGATGTCGTTGTCTCTTTGAGACGTCTTTGAGACGTCATTGATTCTATTTTCTGCCTCTTCTACATTTTGATGTTTCTTCTCTACCCCAGTCTCAGGTAATTCATGGTGGTTGATGTTCACCAGCTCACCTGCAGCCTTAACATATTTTCTCAAAACAAAGTTTGCCAAAAGTACTTGTATTCTGAATCCACTGCTGTCCCTTACCTTCCACAGGTAGTTCTCTCTAACCAGTCCAGTGTGCTCTGCAGGCATTACTATTTCTTCACTCCTGAGGGAAAAAAAAGAAAATATGAAACCCCTCAATGGGCAGATGACTTGCCTCTGTTGCAAGCACCAAAACTCACTTGATAGCATTATAAATCTCTTCGAGCATCTCCTCGTCGAAGTCTCGATCCCCGTTCACCTTAGTGAGGTTCTTCTTGAAATCCTGAGGTCAAGAATAAGTTGTTCATTCACGGGTGCCATTTTGTAGTGAGTATCGCATTTACTCGATTCTAAGTACCCCTTTTTTCACACCCGCGATGTTCAAAGAGGGCGGGTGCTTAGATTCGAAACATGCTTACATTCGCATGCAAACTTTTTTTCGGGTGTTTATGTTTAAAAGTCGGGGGGGTGCTAAGAATCGAGGGGTGCTTAGAATCGCGAAAATACGGTATATTCATGTGGTCAATTCATAGCTGTTTTTTTTTGGTCAATATTAGAATGCAAGATAAAAATATGGTCATGAGCAGATACGGTTGTGACCTGGGATATAGAGCACTCACTCAAGTGACAGATATTCCCTTACGATAAAAAAAAATTCGGCTGCAGAAACCACGATTCTGAATTGCGATAGCATTCGTCATGAGAATCACGATGCATCTCACTGTGAATACGACGACGCAAATTTTGAGTAAACCCTTTATTTTATGAAAGGATTACATGCAATCATTGACCTCAGTGTGACTGCAGCGCACCACTTTGAAATTGAGAGACTGCTTCGTTTATGTGTAATCGTTTAACGTTCAAGCTGTTTCCCCACTATCATTGCAGCTTCGTGTGTGTGCCTTGTTCTGTCTCTGTGTAATCGTCTAATGTTCAAGCTGTTTCACTACATCATTGACCTATCAACTAGCTCAACTCAAACCGATATTTTCTTCGTAGCTTGGGCACAATGTGAATGTATGAATACTGCCGCTCCATGCACGCGTGGTGCAAGTTTATCTGCTTGCTAGGACGACGTCAAAGACGATGTCTAAGACGACCTCTAAAACAATCTCAAGGATGACCCTTAAGAAGACTTCAAAGACGATGTCTAGAACGACCTCTAGGGCAATCTCAAGGACGACTTCTAGGATGACCTCAAGGACGACGTCAAAGATGACATCTAGAACAAACTCTAGGACGACCTTGTTAAAGGTTTAAATGTCTTTATCTCTCGTTCTAGGTTACACTCCTGAAACCGTATTCCTGTTTCAATGTCCAGTGGCTCCATTGGCTCTGTTGCGAGAGGTCTCAGGTTCGCATCCCGGACGAGCCCCCCTTGTTAGGTTTAAATGTCTTTATCTCTCGTTCCAAGTGACACTCCTCAAACTGTACACTGCTTAGCCCCCGAAAGCTCATTATTCCACGCACCAAAACCCACACTTCTTTGCTTCTTCTGTGTCTCGTTCCTCACACGCACTGCCGCCGCTGCTGTGTGCCTGTCCCTTACAACCTCTAGGACAACCTCTAGGGCGACCTCAAGAACGACGTTTAGGACAATGTCAAGGACGTCAGGTCCTTCGAAGAGGGTGTGACTGTGAAGGAGTGCATACTGCTGCTCCGCATATGCATGCCGCCTGCATACGCGCAGCGCATGCATGCGCCGTGCTAACGCATTACGCGTTTGAGGCTAGATCCCGTATCTCGAAAACCGCGAGAAGTAGCTAAAAAATGATATTGCATTGAAAACTTCTGCTTAGCAGCAGCATGGGTGAAGTGAAAGCCAACAAAAGACTGCACAGTAATGAAATTGTCAAATTCCACAATTTCCCCCGGAAGTTATATGTGAATGTGATTATTACAATCGTGGGGGAGACCCTTTCGCCTAACGTAGAAGTGGAATGTAACAAAGCAAAAGCATAAAAAAGGATAACTCTTACCGTTACAGTCATCGGGTTGTTTTGCTTCTTGACGTTGTGATTGTGCTGGTCCACATTCAACATTATCACAGCATATGCTAGAGTGAAGGCAGCATCACTGTTTGCAAATGGTTCCCCTGCACTTTTCTGCAAAAGAGGGAAACCATAGAAGCCAAATTACTAAACAAATATGGGCAACGAGTCACACGAAAGTATACCTCACTATGGTCAAAACTTGAAAAGCAAAATCTAGAATTACGAATGAGAGGCACAAAACCTCCACGAGAGTGCTAACAAACTTGCACTATACTCACATGCCAGTGCTCTGCAAAGTGTTCCAGCAGCAACGAAATGAGAGGTGCCTCCCCAGGAAGACGAAACGTCTCAAGATACATCCTCAGTGCCTCGTCGATCCTCGTGTTGCCAAAGTGAAATGACCTGGACAAAAATGTAAAATCTTTTAACTGCATGTCCCTTTCCCACGTAAGAATGCCGAACCCGATGAGAGTCCCCGTTCTTCTTACCAAATGGTCTGGCACAGGAAACTTCTCAACTAAGTTTCGGAGCCTTTATTCAAACTGAGGCTCCACAACACAATTAGGTAGTAAAAGTAAACATTCCTCAAAGATTGAGTGAAAGCTTCATGCTACACGTGAAAAGTCCTGCATGGACAAAACTACCAAATCAAGTTGGTCTATGGTCTAGTTTAGGAACTGCAATCGGGACTTGGCAAGCAACTTTAAATTCTCCTTTATTGACTTTCACCATAGAATGCTATGTTGCATTCTGAAGAGCATGTGAGCCCCGATGGAGCAATTGCCTTTCTTGTCTTACTTATTCACTGACATTCGGTATCCAAACAAATGCAATTCATGCTTTATTCCTTCTTTGTTTCTGTTAGCATCACCTACATACCTGCCTAACACCATGAACAGAAAGCTCCTGGAGCACATGGCGCATGCATCCAATGCTGTGGCGGTGTTTAAACAAGTTCAGACACTCCCCAGTTTGAACATGCAATGCATACTCTTTCACCTGTCACTGTAATTTACTCTAGTCACTGACAGAGCACGGGACAGGGCGTCCTCTTTCCCCTGCCTAGCCTCCGGCACAAGCTTGTTGCCTTCCGTTGTACTTTGGCCAAGCGCGAGCGCTTGGAACTCATAAGACATTGAAGCATTGTCGAAGGTGCTCACGGTAAAAACTGAATGACTTCCCTGTCATTTCCAGACTGTCGGTGACATCTACTCTCATATTGATAAGCGTTAGATACCAGGCCCTGCAAACATATTGGCACAGACCCAGCAATCTTTGCGAACCAAAGGAATAAATATATAAATTGGAAAGGAGACGACGAATGGGCTTCTCACTTGACGAAGGCGTCGAGGACCTTAAGGTTCTTGCGGTTGGAGATGTACTCGCCAATCTTGTTCTTGTCCAGTTGCGAGTTGTCCCTGAGGAAGTGGGCCACCTCTGCGGGGTCCAGGGGCTCGCTGAGCAAGCCGTGCTCCTGGAGGAACTCTATGCCCTTGCTCGGACGCGTGTTGAAGTGCTCCGTGCCTGACGCCAGCAGCTGCATTCCACCGTGCCCATCAGGGGCACAACTTTACTCGCATCGACATATGACGACACAGCTGGACACAATGGTAGATGTTAGTGACAAGCAATTAGAGGTGCAAAACTATCGATAGTACTATCGATAGTTTTATCGATAGTACTATCGATAGCAAAAGTCAAATCTAACTATCCATAATGAAAAAAACTATTGATAGTACTATCGATAGTCGACTAATGTAGAATTATCGATGGTATACTATCGATAGTTGATTATTGTGGAACTATCAATAGCCAACTATCGTAAAGCCATCGATAATATTTATTAGGTGATGAAGAACATCAAGAGTCCATCCAGGAAATGCGAAGCTTGGGAAAAAAATGCAACTGCAATTAGTGACTTCCCGTAGTTATTGAGGAACTATATGAAACCTATCGAAAAACAATCAAAGGCAGTAGAATCTGCCTTAGACACCATTGATAATAAACTATAGAAAAATTCTGGATTTTATGCCATAGAAAAACTATGAATAAAAGATATTGATAGTGAAGTATTCATATTTTTCGTAAAAAGTTGTCGAAGCTTTTTCTTTTTTCTTGTTTACATTGCTTTTTGCGAGTTTGCACCTCGTTTTTTATTGGCAGAGTTTAATCAGGAGAATGAAAATCCCTTTGTCGCCCCTGATAAGTAAGCTGTGCGTTGAAGAAATCCAAAACCCTAATACTCATATCACTAGCATATGATGCTAGTGATGTGATGATTGAAGGCAAAAGTATCGGGTCATGACTACCCAGATGTAAAAATAAGTGTGGCAGTTTCATTTTTCCTTCTTTACTATAAAAGTAGCACGAAAGAAAGGGAACAATATTGCTTTTCAGATATGCATGCTTTTTTTCACTGAAATAATACCTCATTGCCAACAATATTGGGTTCAAGCTGTTAAGGGCTACTTTTTCCCGGATCGTGTCCGGTACCAAACAAATGTCGACACGACACTCTGGTTGCCGCCGTCGCTTGTAGATGGCGGTAGCTGTCCATAGTGTTGTGTTTACCGGTTGTCTGCTTGCCGCCATCACTCATAAATCGCGGCAACCTTTCCAGCCTCGGCAACCAGACAACTGATTGCTGCCGTCACTCATAGATGGCGGCAACATTTCTTTGGACGAAGAAGAGCGGGAACAGAACGAGCGGCGATGTGCGCAGCAGCGCAAACGGTTCCACAACCGCCGCGAGGCTGCTATCGCCTAAAGTTCCACTGCGTCGAGCGCTTCAGATTCCCTTGCAAAAAAAAAAGCAGATCACTCGCCTGGAAAGCCACCGCCGAAAGCAGAAGCAACAGCTCCGCTGCTCTTCCTTCTTCACCAGAGTGGAAGGCTGAATGTTTTTGTCTTTTATTTTTGAACCACTTAAAGGAGAACTCCGCCAATCTTTTTAAAGTCGTCGATTTGGCTGGAAATTTGGAGACTACATCGATAGACTCCTTTCGAAAGACTGCCCTTTGTTGGCAGCTGTGGAATCCCTGCATAATGGCGGACTAAAACTGCAACGCCACAGCACACTTTATCCATTTGCTTGAATTACAAGACAGAGCACACATACCAAAAAAGGTGATGAGTGCAATGACATTGCATTTTCCACCCTGTTTGATTGGCTCGTCGGCTCCTATCCTTGGCTGTGACGTTCGCTATCTTATGAAATGACTTGCACATTTCACGATGTCAGCTGCTCCACCATTGTGCAGTGGTTCGGACCTTTGAATAATCGGCACGTGACTTTCAAAAGGGGCTGTAACCCTTTCTCAACCAATAGCCAAAATATTTTATAAAAATAAAATTTTTCCTTGAAGTTATTTAATTTTCCAAGTTGCGCCGGCCGCGAGGTTTTTAGGAAGCTACTCTCCCCTGGCAACAGTAAAACATCCCTACTTTTCCCTACTTGTGTATGTCACCGGCGGGCAGGCGGATGAGCGACCTGGGCAGGGCAGCCATGAAGTGGCTTTCTGGGCGCCAACGATTGAGATTATTTTTTCACAGCTTCAAGGTTGAGTGTTTCCTTGCAATAGATAGGGATCTGTGCTCTGCAGTAGATTGTAGGAACAGCGCCGAAAAAAGCTTCTTTACTGCCCTTGCTTTCGTGGGAGAAAAAAGAAGTGGCGCTCCCCGGTAGCAATGGAGGCCAGCCACGTCAAGTTGTTTTTGCGCGAGCTGTGTTCCGAGAGAACTAGTGTCGCAAGAAACATTCTCGGTTATGCTTGGAATAGTTCAGAGGGTTACGGGCTTGAGTACGCGGCTACATACTTTATAGCAGTGTGCTGCGAGCTGAGTATCCGTCTGCAGCTGGAACAGCTTCAAGAGCGGCAAGCGCTGTAACCACTACAAGCCGGCTGTAACCACTACAATATCCGTCCAAAGAGGAGCGCAAATTACGTTGAGAAAAACAGTGCATATTCTAGCACTGTAGTCGACATTTGGCACAGTCATATTTGTTGTTCTCAACTGCTTCCGTGATTTCTTTTATAAACACTATATTTGTTTTGGACATTGAATCTAGCTCGGGTTACTCTCTCGGAGTTCCACTCACGCATTCAATCTGTTGAAGACGAGAAGTGAAACGCCTAAACAAATTTCAAGTCTGACTTTTGACATGACTTTCAACACACTGCTACATATTCGTGTTTGGTTGTTTTTGATGGTTTTGGCACTATCGATAGTTCCGGAAAAACTATGGATAGTATCGATAGGCTGAGGTGATCAAAACTTCAATTAGAAAGTTTTTTCTAACTTTTTTTCTACTTTATCAAAATGGCTTACTTACTAGTAAGCCAGCAGGCAAACCCAATTTGTGCGAGCAGAGACCCAGAGACCCAATCTTACATCAAATAGTGAAGCCCAAAGCAAGGTCACCGGCAAAATGCAGGTTCAAAAAGAGCCGTATAGCTGCTTTAAAAATCTGAGGTTCCACCACATTTCTATACTGCTAGTAGTGCACCGTTCCATTGGATCAAACAAGGGTCAAGCAAGGACCTACCCTACAATGTCCCCCTTCCGTTTTTCTGTACTCAGACCTAACAAAGCACCTAGCCTCATTTTTTTTTTTTTTGTGGTTATCTCAAACCTTTGGGCAGACGCGTATAACAGATCTCGGATATAGCGACTATCGTGGGAAAACAGGCACCTTCTTGCGGTGCTTGATGGCCATGAGCTGCTCGTGGGAGGGGATGTTGTCGGAGACGCTCTTACGGTTGGGCCGGATGCAAACGAAGCCCCTGGCAGGGGGCTTGACTGCGGGGCCCAGGGGCTCCCCTCCCTGCCGTAGCATCTGCTGGCCCAACTGGTAGCCAAAGGGGGCCACCACCCAGTGGGGCCCCCCCGATTCAAGGGTGGCGCCCTCCCCGTCTGCTTCCTCTGCAATGGAAGGCGCATAAAGCAACATAAACATGTTGCATGATTTCGATCGGGTCGTTCGACCGAAAACATATTCAACCATTTTTGTTGGAACACTTTTCAATCTCAAAAAGCCCCCATCTTTTTCTTTTTTTCTGAATGGCAGTTGAGGGACTCTTTTTAACTCAGTGTTGATGCAACAAAGCAATGCAGAAGAAGCCTACAGGCCTTGTAAAAAATAATGTACGCTGTAGGCTGTAGGGAACATTTAGCACGTAATCATCTATGAACGGGTGCTCAAGCTGGAAAAGCACTTTTGTTTAATGCTGGGAAGATGGGATTTGGGAGTGTACTCTGGGAAAACTTCCTAGGAGCCCAATTTGAAAACCCAAGCGTTAGAAAAAAAGCAGCCTGAGAAGCGGAGAAATCTTTGCAAAATTCAGTTTGCGACAAGGTGTAGCAACCATTGATCAGCCGGTCCTCACCTCACTTGACCTTCAACAAGCAGCTAATTTTTTATTTTATTTATTTCAGGCATCATTCAAGTCCTGTTTGGGAAACCAAGAAAGTATTGAGCTGGATAAGGCTGAAGAAGTACTTGTTCCTCACTTTGAAATGATGTTGTGTTTAATGTAATTTACTCTGAATTACTACATTTTGCAAAATGTACTGTTTGCATAGCTCGAAGTGCAAACTCTGCCATTTACTTTTCTCTTTACTTTAAATATTTTTCTTTTTTTTTTTTTTTTTTTGCATTTACTTTATAGCATATGTCAACCCTTTGATGGTTCTCAAAACAAAAAGGTAACTATGGAAAAAGCCGTGCGGAAAACGTGGAACCTAGTGTATAATGAGCGGGACTCGCAAAACCAGCGTAATATTTCGAGTTAGACAAAACGTCAGCCGCGATAAGAAAAACAAAAGCAACAAAGGCGGCTCAGTCACCTGCTTCTAACGCCCCCCTGGTGGCGTGGTTCTCATTGAGCATCCGGAAGTGGCAGTGGGTCTCGATGCTGTCGATGACAGCGAGCAGCGCGTCTAGAGAGAGCAGGTGGATGGACTGCAGACCAGTCACGGGAAAAGCGTTCTGGGAAAAAGAGATTGCCCAAAAACAAAGCATAAGAAAGCATTAAAAAACAAAAAAAAAAGACGTGACACCCGAAAACTAAGAAAATGGGTTATCTCAAACCTATTTACTGTGCTACAAACATTGTTTTAAAAAGAAACAAATATTTGCACGTGCAATTGAAAATATTTTTCTGAGTTGATTAAGAATGCACATTGAAGAAACAACATTAAAAGTGCTTAAACTGGCCGCCATCTCATGTGATGCATTTCCGTCACATGAATTTGTTTACTTCCCATCTTTTGCAGAAAACAAAACTATCCAAGTTTTGTTTTCTTTTCTTACAGGCTAATAAAAATTTGAAACCCTAAAAAACCCAATCCTGGATATAAAAGATATGACACACAGAAAAAGTGCCCTTTAATTGAACAGCCTGTTAGTAACAGTCACCTAACAACTTGCGAAATGCTGCATTTACTCAAAGATACGTCTGCACTACATTGCAATTTCATAAACTAGCAATTCACTAGAACTCCAAAACAGCTTTCCAATTTGTGATGCTTCTAATTGGATGTTGCTGAACCCGTAACCTACGCGGCGTAGGTCAACCAAACCGACAGGCACCACGAGAAGTGTAAATTCAGAAAACAGAGCCGAAATTTGTTGAAACTCAGAATCAGTTCAGGTGCCCAGACTTCGGCGTGAGAAACGCAACCCACCTTTGAGAGCACCTTGGTGAGGTCCTCGAACATGTTGGAGCAGAAGAGATCGCAGTCGTAGTTGAGGTACAGCTCCGTGATGAGGCCCGGTATGCGCCAGAACTGCACCACCGCGTCCACCGACAGTTCCTTGTGGTCGCGTGTCACTGCCAGCGACTCGCTCGAAATCAGTTCCACCAGTTTGGTCAGGTACATCTAAAACATAAATAAAAAATTCAAGAGACTGCATAAAGTGTGCTGCGACAGACAGCGGTAACTGTTGCAACGTTGAAAGATGCATTCTAAGAGATTTGCTTTTGGCAGAGAGAATTGCGTGTCGCACTGATTTTGGCCGGGGAATTCTTGGACCAGAACGGGTCTCGTTGGATCGCGTGAGCGTCGGGTCTCTCAGAAACCATAACCGACTGCACACGTCACTCGAATACCTGAAGGGGTTGTCCAGCAAAAACCCTTTGAAATTTGGCGGTTGATACAGAGAAGGAAAAGCTATCGTGCAAGTCGCGCCGCCTCCGCTGCTTTGTGTCCACCTTGTGCTCCCGCAGCTTGTTTTCGCCTCTTTCTAGACACGCGGAAAATGTTCCAAGAACCTTGCGGTGGCGGCGGCAGCGGGTTCTTTTGATTTTGGCTATTTGTTCCACAAAGATATGAAGATGAGAAGAAAACCAATGGAACTCGCTTTTAAATGGTGCCAATACGACTTTATCGGCGGCACAGGATGGTGTATGCAAAGAGTATTCATAAAGTTTGTTGGAACAAGCGTTTGGTACATCACCTCCAACTGGAACTTGAGATGAGTACGAAGAGACTCGAAGAGGAGGAAGCTGACTCGCAAAGATGACACGAAGATGGACAACCGTTGGGTGCTCAGGAGCTGCATGGGAGGAAAACCGTTGCACCATGTAGTTCAAAAGCATGACACACTGAAGCAATTCGACAGAGAACGTCAAAGTGTCTTTTGTGTCGGCTCTCAAAGCAAAAATTGTACATGTGGTTCTTCCAATAGCGTCTAAGAAGCACAAAGTGATTGATTGGTTTTCCACCTGGCCTGGAACAGAGCTTTAAAAGTGAAATATATCTGCAATACACCACAAACTGTGCTGAACCTCTCATAACAGTTCATTCCATCAAACACAAAGCCTTAGTGAAAGCCCATACCATGACACGCAAGTTGAAGCCTTTTAAGGCATTGCAGACAGTACTCGGGGACAAATTTCTTCGGTAACACAGTCGAAGGTATGGGCGTGCGTGCCCCCTTCCATTTTAAACGCCGATCAAAGAAAGCCGTGCGTGCGCTCTCCTCCTCTCCTTAAAAATGCCAAGAACAGCTACCCCCGAGTATAATATGACGAATCGCAGTTCACACTTTTGTCAACATTTGTAAGCCCACAGTGCCTATTCCACAGCCATCATACATCGAAGCCAGCCAACGTCCAAGCGGGAAAACTGGACGAGATAATTACGCCAGCTTGATCAAGCCAACAAAGGCCGGGGAGCACAGAATCTGTCGCGAAGGAGTCTGACACATGTCATGTGTGTGTACGATGTCATGCGATGTCTGTGACATGGCATGGTGTAATATAATATCATGATGTTATGTGGTGTCGTGTTACGTAACATCATGGTGTCGCATGACATCATGTTATGTTACAATGACTTTACGATGTCACGTGACATTACGGCATTACATGACAACAGGGTGTCATTTCATTGACAGTCCTTCATGACGGTTTTCTCGTAAAATTTGGCTGATAAAGCATGTTTTGTGTGTTAAAAAGAACATCTTTTGCCAGACATTCCTGCCACGTGAAGAGCATGGCTGGCACACGAAGATCCATTCTTCCTACGGAAGGTTGTCGATAGCCTGGAAAGGCGGGCGGAGAGGGCACTGTGAGGCGTGGTGTAAGGCGCAAAAAACAATGGACTCAAGGAAAAAGACACACACGAATGTGTGTGCCTTCTTCTTAGTGTCCGTCGTTTTTTGCACCTTACACCATGCTTCATAACGTTCGCCAACTAGCCCAACTGCAATTTCTTCTACAAAAAGTGCACTATCTCACGGCCAGGAGGTTCCGGCAGACGTCGTCCTTGACCAGGTCCAGGAGGGAGGGGAAGCTGCCCACGTGGTCCGCCCCGCTCTCCAGGGCCACTGCTAGCAGGCTCAGCCCAGAGTGGATCATCATCTCCGTGGCCACAGAAGCGTCGTGAGGGTACAGTAGGCTTGACAAAAAGCGTAGCAGCTCGCGCACGCACGGGAGACCATAGGGCACCACGGGCCCCGAGCCTGGAACCAACCGGGACAAGCCTCGTGAAAGGGGAAGATAGCACAACGACCAGGTCTGGGAAAATCAGCTATGTACACCGTTATGAACAATGAAATTTTTGCAGAAATACATTGTATCATTTAAATTCAAATTAATTTAGTTCTAATTTCAAACATAAAAGTGGGGGGAGGCCAAAGGAAAAAAAACTTGGAGGACGCTTAAGCCTTGTCTTTAAGAGTGGAATGCGATAGCGTTTATCGGGCCCCATTTGCATCGCCTTCTCATTCGCTTCTCATGCTCTTACTACCAGTAAGCATGAAGTGCGGCAGACATGGCATAGTCAGTAGAGTGTCTGGCTCGTGACCGGAGGGCCGTGGGTTCGAATCCCACTAAAATTCTTCAAATTTTTCTTTAAGGCAAATGAATTACTTTATAAAGTGAAATCATTTGAGACATGTGGCGACCTTTAAAGGGGCAGTGCAACGATTTTCAGACTTTGGCCAGTTAAGTGCGGAAGTTAATCTGCGTCACCTATGGAACGAAAAACCGAAAGCCGCATTTTCTTGCGAGCGCTAGTTCTTATTTAAAAAAATGAAACAAATCGAAGGTCGAAGTGCCTCTCAACTCTCCGCGCCGACTTTCGAGTGACGTCTCTGGGGGTTCACGTGGTTTCCCCTTGGGCCCTCTCTTCAGAGACCCCAGCCGCTTCCTCCGCGATTGTGGACTTTCAAAGGATTAGCCTCGTCGAAGGTCGCGGCGAGCGATGGACACAAAGGACGGTTCTCTATGGGGCTGACGGCGAGTGTAGCAGCGGAGGGAGACAGGGTTTGTTGACTTCCGCGTATCCCCCAGAGACGCCGTCATTTTAGTTCCCGTAGCCGCCACCGGCGGCTGCAGATCGGCAAATAATTCGTTTTTTGCCTTGCGATTACGCAGCAGAATAGCCGTTTTTTTGGGAAAGGTGACGCGTTTTTGGTCACTTGGGCTTGTATGAACAATATAAAAAATGCAAACTGGCAATTCTTTCAACATTAAAACCGTTGCACTGCCCCTTTAAGTTATCTGCATTATGGCCTGTTTTTTTAATCACTTTCATTCCATGTGTGACGTAACATTCCGCGTGAGCGTTGTGGGTTGTTTGAAATTTCTGCGCACAGTCATGTGGCTGTGATGTAGTGACCCTATCGACCAATCAGGATTTTCGCGTCACGCCACCGAGGCCGGCTTTTCTGCGACACGAGATATCACATTAAAAAGTTGATCGAGCAGAGGCCCTCGCACCCCCTGAGGGCCACACCAAATAATAATAACTGATCTGGAGATTGGCAATGGTAATAAATGGAGCGAAATATATACCCTCGAACTGTGTAAAAAACAAAGAGAATGTGTGGTATGGAACGTAGTTATAGACGCATTTGAGCATTTGACCGCAGCGCCCTCTCGTCTATAAACGTCGAGGCCATGCATGCAAAGTTTAACGCGATTATATATGCATTTGACCGCAGTGCCCTCTCCTGAATAGACGTTGAGTGGTAACATGCAACGTTTCATTCATGACATCTCCAGCTCTTGAGTTGCTACCACATCTCAGAGCCCCCTACTCGTCCCGCAGTCGTGGCCGAGTGGTTAAGGCGGGGGGATTGCTCCACCCGGACAGAAAAATTCCTGTGTTACAAAACTAACCTCTCCTCGTGGAGTTTTCCAAAGGAAAAAATAGCTGGCCGACGGGCGCGGGGCCCTTCGCCAATTTGCAGACTGTTCCACCCGAACACATGCATTGCTCTCCGAATTTTGCTAACCATACCGCTCTCCGTTGCCTCCGCGGAAAGGAGCTTTTCGAAGTTGAAACTGATCAAGATATACCTCCGCTCAACGATGAAACAAGAACGTCTGTCTGGCTTGGCTACGCTCTCCATAGAGCAGGAAATTTTGTCGACCATCGATAAAACTAGTGTTGTAAATATGTTCAGTGCAAGAAAGGTGAGAAAAGTTGCCTTTTAAGTTTGCAGACAGGCAAAAGGTCCGCTCCCGCCTGTCTGCACATACAGCACGTGGTGAGCCAAGCACGGCGAATGATGACGAAAATATACTTTTACAAAAAGTATATTTACATTACAAGACGCGCTGCAATGTATATAAAAATTTTCAAGAAAGAGCTTTTCGATAGCGCCATCATGGACGTGGCACGTGCCGTGTTAGCTCTCCGAAGCGATGAACTTGCCCGTCCTAGACTGTGTGATATTCCCATTGGGCTGGGCACTTGCGTAGTGTATTGTTGCTTTCCTTCATATCTTCGTATAGTCTAGGTTTTGTAATGTTATTTTCTCGTTTTCCTTGTTGTGACTTTATGGCTGGCGTGCGTCGATAGCACCTTTGTAATTGCTCAGTTCTCTGTTCCGTTCATTTATTGCATATATAAAAAACCAAGCCAATCTGCACATAGCACTACTGAATAAATACACACCAGAGATATCCTGCACGATAATGTGCCCGTCTCGTTTTTCTTCATGTTTAGTATAAGCGAAGTTATTTTTAAATTTCAGATTTTGCTTTTTAAACTTTTGTTGACTTTTTTTTTTTTTACTTTCTTGCCCTGGGTTTCGCGTTATGTAGCGCCGGCCCTGGGTTAAGGCGATGGACTAGAAGTCCATTGGGGTCTCCCTGCACAGGTTCGAATCCCGTCAACAGTGCAAACATTTTTTCTTTTTTTAAGAAGACAGATGGGATGGCAATCGATGTGAGTACGGACGCCAAACAAGGTTAGACCCTAAGGAGCTTCACCCCTAAAACTAACATAACTGGCACGTCACGATAAAGTGCATCTTAGTTGTTATAAGGTTGTGTATATGGACTACAAAAAGTTCCACGTCAAATAACTGAAGAGTAAGGTAGTACAAGTTCAGCAGGACAGAGACGCAAACCCACCACATTTTGCGCTCCGTCCACCCTTAAGCTGACAGTGCGGCAGAAACTATGAGCCCGCTGGACCATTCAACTGCTTCCCTTTTATCATGCATGGGAGCGAGTGGGAGCCTGATCACGTGGCGAAAGATTGACTTACATCTGGTTCAACTAACATGTAGCATCCACGACACTGACAGCTTAGGGGTGAACAGAGTATAGATATGTCTTCTTACAGCCATACATGGGTTGCACTGATGTCGCACCAGCTGACATTCTGGTGGCCTTGCTGCTAAGTGGGTATGTCTTGCAGCATGTGTTTTGTACCAGCGAATTTGTTTTCCTCAAGAAGAATAAGTGGGAATGGTTCTATGACGTCACATGCAAGCCACGTGTAGATTATCTTCATAGAGACTGTAAAAAGTGACTTTCCTAATGTATTGTCGACAGAAGATGGGATTGCAGCTTTGGACTAAACCACAGGGTATGTATTGAAAACTTTGGCACCTACTCTTCGAGTGCTTACCAGCGCAGGGTGCTTCGAGTGAAAGACAGCAGTCCGTTCAAAATACCATTGTTCAATATTTTCATTTAAGAGTGTGATTATTAATGATCATAAAGATCTTGGGTTGAATGTCTTACTCTATGCTAGATACAGTCACCGACCGATTTTTCAGAATTTGCAGGGACCAAAAAAACGTTTGAATGAGAGAGCAGTCCAAAAAATTGGAAGATTAAAAACTAACCTTTATAACGTCTAAGCGGGCTTAAAAAAGCTGTCAAGAGTGCCTCACTTCAGATTACACCTACAAGCCTTGCTTCAGGTGATACCTCCGCTTGTGTTCGGCCACTTTCTATTAGCTTAAGAATCACTGCCTTCTTTTCTAGCATTATGATTGAGTACTTTCTGCGCTTCCTGGTGACACTTTGCGACAGTGAAAGAACAAATGGAGCCACGACGTCCAAGCCGGCGTAGTCCGAAAACACAATTCAGTGAGATGAAATGAAAGGTGCAAGTCCACGACTGCAGAATGGCAAATGAAAAAAGCAAAAGGGTAACAACGATTATGATAATGACGCGCGGCTAGAGAAAGCAAAAAAAACACAATAGCATAATGTCAGCTAGTGGTAGGACTTGGCAGTACTCAAGTAGCGCTGCCAGACCAAGCCAACCCACATGCAGGCAACATAGAATATAAAATGGCAGCTTCTCGGTGATGTTTCCCGCTCATCGTTCGCGACGATTTTGTCCGAAAAATCAAACCTTCGGACTTCAAGCTGTCCGAGACGTTGATTGTGACTATGCGCTATTTCTATGGGTAGGTCACAATTCCTCGTTCAGGTCCGAAATATTGACCAAGTCCGAATTACCGGCACCCGAAAAATCGGTCAGCGACTGCGTTGTCCTCCTATTTCACAAAAATGGGTTGTCATATCTCGGAGCAGACTGACAATAAAAGTCCCGAATGCCTTAAATCTTTCAACCTAGAGTTCAACAGGTGTATGTCGTAACACAGACAGGTATAATCCATAACAGACTTAGGAAAAGAAAAATTGACACATCTGCCCTGCACTTTTTCAATTCACTTGAGCTAGCCAATTGCAAGCAGCGTCAAAGGTTTCAAAGAGGGACACACCTTCCCTGCTCTGGTGCAGTGCAGTAAAGCGCACCCCGTGAGGATTGACGTAGTCGTTGTCCCCCGTGCCCCCCATGGCCACGACGGTGCCTCCCTCTTTTTCGCAGCTCGCCTCCAGGCTCGAGGGTTCCTGCGCTGCCAGGCTGCACTCACTCGCACTGAAGGGACTCTCCAGATGGCTCTGCAATGGACGCACACACAGGGCGATCCTTAAAAACACTTCTCAACGTCTGAGGAACCGTCCGCAAATGCCGTAATGCCACAAATTGAGGACACCGTATAAGTCAAGAGTGTGCAGCCCAGTTGGCTGTATACCCATAACTGTGTGTTAGCCTGTTACGATAATGAGCTTGCAGCACGATGAAGATGATGTTTTGTTCTTCGTCAAATTAAGGCATTAGATGCCAATGTTTGTTGCTTATGCTTGGAACACGTACGACAAGTGACGTACACCGCTGTTAAAATGTGAGACCGAATCTTGCTGAAAGGTTCTATAGCTACCAATTTAGCACCCGTCAATATGACTGACTGAATGAATGACTTGCTGATCAGTTTGATGCCTACCTTGCTCGGCGGACATTATAGCCGGAATGAGGAACGAAAGAGAGGATAATATAACAAATACAGCACACAACAATAAAAAGAATGAAGTTGCCAATTTACAACAATAACAAAATTTTGTAAAATTTGCCTCTTTCCCTATTGTGTGAAAACAATACCGCAGCAATTGATTTTTATTGTGGTTGATCTGGTAACACAGAACATACTGAATGTTGCTTCATGGTGACGTTCCACAGGTAAACTTGGTGCACATTTTTAACCTCGACAAGCAAAGATTGTTGTGCGTAGCACCTTTAAGAAAGCCCTGCCATAGCTGGCGCTCCAGCAAGAGTGGAATGCGAGGCTTGCTTCTTTTGCGGTCCCCAAGTTATATCCTGGTATTTTGCGTCTCCCTGTTTTCCTCCAAAGTACATGACTGTTCTGTTCGCCACACACCCTCCTATCATGGGTGCGAGCACGCTCGCTAAACAATTAAATTTTTTACGTCACCCGCTGAAGGTCAGCAGGGAGCACCAAAGGGTCACAAGTGCAGCGCCAACGTGTGTTGAGTCAGTGAGGAAGCGAATTCCAGACAAACTCTAATGCCATACTTGTGCAACCACCTTCTGTTACAGAAGTGCATCATAGAAAGTTGTTAGGAGCCAGCCATATTGTTAAAAGCAGCGATACCAAGCTCAACGATAACAACAGCAAAAAATTCTGGTTGCAGAAACATTATCCATCCTATGTGAATCCTCAGTACAGTCGCAGCGATAGCTGCAGAAGCTTATTGAACCCTACGATATCCTTATGTATCTAGTAGCAGTAAACTTGCAATGACCTTATGATGACCTTGTGATGATGCACTTCGCTTCTTTTGTCAAAGTCTGCATCTTACGTGAAGGAGACATGGCCAATGTCTGCTCAGACAGTGACACACTCCTTTACTCTAAACACGCAAATGCGACGTCGCCGCGACTGGGGCCATCTAGTGGGCGCTGCACGATACACTCATGCTCGGCTGTCCTCTACACGCGCGGTTAATTAGGCGGTGCATTGAAGCAACTCACCTGGATCCGTGGTAGCATGCTCGCTTCATAATTGGCAAACCTGGGACTGAATCTTGAGAAAACCGCGGCAAGCTTTCTTTTTTATGCATTTGGCGATATCGTCGACGGACGCGCCACTTCATTGTTTCAAATGGTGTGGAGAGCCCATAGCAGTTGTCACAGTAAAGAAAGACGAGTGTCACTTGCCTGTTCACTGAGCATGCACTCGCCCTGGCCGCTGGTGGCGTTTACTTCAAGGTCCACCATGGAGGTCACGGAGTCCGAGAGGCGGATCACTCTCGTCGGGGAACCATCCTCGAGACCGGGGGTGCCCAAAGCGGGGGTGTCCAGGGCAGGAAAGGGTGAATTCTCCGAGTCGGGAGTTGCAATGCTGGAGGGAGGAGGAGGGGAAAGGGGCGAGGCATCGGAAGCCAAGGGAGTGGGGGCCGCCGGGAGGCCGGCAGCGTCTTGAGCAGACGACGTCTGTTGCTGTTGAGGAGCTGCAGCCGCAGACTGTGGTGGTTGCTGTTGTTGCGGTGATGAATGGGGCTCCCTGCTGAGCTTCTTGTGCCTCGGCTGAGGGGAGCGGCGTTTCTTGGCACTCTTGGAGCTCTCCATGCCACTCGCCTTGATTTTAAGCTGCGGGAAATGAGAACGACTTCGTCCAACAGAAATCTCGGTACAGAGAATGCCGAGGAAAAGGCTTGAGGCAGAGTGTCAGGCATGGCAAACAAAAAGAGGAGGAAGGAAAGAATCAAAAAGAAAGGAACTGCTGTACATTATGTAGTATGTGCCACGCATCCCCTAGTCTAGTTTATTTCCGATCCAATTCTCTTTTCTTATTCAGTCCCTAGAACCATGTGCAAGATATAAGAGTCCCAATGAAAGGCTGTTATGAACACAATGCAAAGCCTTACTTCAAGCAGCATTGTGCATGAGACGTAGAACTAAGAAAAAAGATTGCGAACAACCACACAAAGTGTGCTGCAAATGACGGCGGTAGCTGTTGCAGCACGGAAAGGCATGCCTAAGGAGGTTTGCCTTCAGCCGGTGTACTGCACAGTGGCCCAATATTTTAATAATATCAAGCGAGCGTCGATCGCGGGGACGGCCAGTGCCGTGCCGCGGGGGCGTGCGGCGATACGAGAGAGATTAGGTAAGCGCGTGCGCATAAAGACCTTTCTGGTAGGAGCGTCGTCTGCTAGGCTATTCCGTTGATCGCACACAGCCCCTGCTCCGTAGCAAGGGAGGGCAGGGTGCTTACAATGTCGAAGCGCATCGCCGATACGCCCCTCCTCTTGAAATGCGTTCACGGTCCTATTAACGTTAGCCTGTGTAACCTCAACTGTTGTTGCTATATCCCTCTGCTTCATGCCGCCCATCTACATTCCGACAACACATTCCCGTGTTTTTATGGGCAATCGAGGAGGCATAAAAATGTGCTCGTGCCCGCTGGTCAAAGAAAAGTGTGACTACCTGGCTACATAGGCTAGATGACGACAGCAACAACACAGTTGATAATACAAAACACCAGGTGGAAACTTTGATGATCCGTTTCACTTTGTGTTGTACCACAGCCGATGCTACGAGCCATCTTGGCCAGTCCATCCCTAAAAGTGTGTCACTGGGCCTTCCCGTTGGGTACAACTACATGGGGAAGCACAATGTCACGTGGCAGGGTGAAAGCACTGGATTGGTTTCGAAGGCTCGTAGCATTGTCTGCGGTATATAGTTCAATGCATCGCTGCATTCAGTTTGTCCCGTCGCCGTATTTTTTGTTTTGTGAGTGTTCACAAAAGTAAACACAAACATGAAATGAAAAGAAAGAAGTAAATTAAACTTGAAATGACACGCGGTTTATGCCACACCTGAGCAGTATCACGCAAGCAAGCGCTGTTTGGATCTTTGCTTAAAGGCGGTTAGTTATGCCAGCAGATAATGGACAGGGCTGTGTGCGGTCAACGGAATAGCCTAGCAGACGACGCTCGCAACGGAAAGAGCTTTGTTCGCACAAGCCTAATCTCTCCCGTGACGCCGCATATCTCCGCGGCACAGCGCTAGCCGTCCCGGCGGTCAATGCTCGCTTGATATTAATAAAAAATTAGGCCACGGTACAATGTTTGCAGTGGGTTCTTTGCTTTCAGTGGAACTGATGTAGGAGACGTATGTGAGGAGATATGTGCTTTGGTGGAACGACTGTGCAAGATGCTGCATGTTTTTAGAGAAGGACACAGACATGCTTTTTTTTTTCCGGCGGAAATGCTTTTGCAGAACGGGGGTGCCCATGGTTGCGCCTACAGTGGAAGAAACGAAATTCGAAAGTATGTTTGTGAGCTGTTCCACAGGGGCGCTCAAAGCACACAAGAACGGAACCTGGACGGCGGCAGTGGGGAGGTGAGGGAGCATGTCTGCAAAGCACAACCACGCGAGTATTTCGTAATGGCGGCTGCCCACAGGGGGGATGCGGGGGAGCGAGAGAGCCTTGACGCAGTTAGCGCGCGTGTGTGTGAGGAAGGACGGGGAGACGAAGAGCAGTGCCTCTGTTGTAGACTGAGGTTTTGCATTTGTGCATGAGCGTTTTTTGCCGGAAAGGGGCGTCAACAGTGACTGCTGTAAAAGTAGGAAGACTGTTCTCACATAAATTACAGTGCTACCTAAGAGCTCTTGGTCAGCGCTCAAAATAGCGCTGACCTTGCTAATGCAGCACTGACTTAGAGCTGTCTTAATGACACAGAGCTGATGTTCAGATTGCTGACTTATGTTAAAGTCAGTGCTGCATCAATTCTGTTTTTTTGTGTGGACTCAGCATTGCGCTGTACATGTGGACTGGGCTTTTGTGTGCTGACCTTCCTTACCTTTCTAGAGCAACCCCCTTTTGCAACTTCGGAGAACTGAGGAAGGCGGCAGAACAGCAACTGCACTATGTCCATCAGGGCTTGCTCAGCTGACTTGCGTAGCAACTCTGGGCAAAGGCGGAGAAACAAAATGTTGCCTCCTACTCAAGCACTCATAAGGTGAGCAGACATTACACTTAATCCAAAGCTGAGATGATACCTCAAAAATCTAGATATGTTCCCACAGAAGTAGCACAATCCTTTCTTGCAATTACGACACAAATCATGTCCTTATCAGGTACTTGAAACGTAATGAACAGAAAACAAAAGGATGGTGGATCTCTTTCAAAATGCACTAGCTTGCCTTTCCTCATGTACATAGTCCCAATGACATAAAATTTCTAGAAACTTAAGAAATCCTTCATTTTACATGCACAAAAGTGGATACCTCCCTCAAAAAAATATTCAGAATTGCCCACACAGAGCTCTGTCATGCTAAGGAGAAGTTTGTTACAGACATGCATGCTATAATGAAAAATATGAATACTGCGAAGGGTAGAGTCGAGTTCGTAGTACTATATAAAAGGGGCCCAAAGTGAATTTTCAGATCATTTCTTTCATGACAAAACCTTAACATACATCCCCAAGCATTCTAGAAAACCCAAAATTACAATCGTGTTCAACCTTTTTCCCTATTAAAAGTGCAAATGAACATTGCAACATGCCCCTTTATCTGAAACAGATCTCAGGAAAAGGGGGTGCGTCACAAGGTTTGGTAGCATTTTTAATAGAAAAAAACAAAAAAAACATGCATGATTGTACGAGGGGCGATCAAAAAGTTTTGGGACTGATTTCGTAGCGTAGAAAGTGAGGGCAGTACAGTGATGCACGCGCAGCAGTCAAAGTAAAGAACCTTCGTGTCTCATTATACCAAAGGGCATCGCTCTGTGAACATTTGGAGCTGCGCTACACTAGTTTGTTTGACCACATGCACGAGCATGACAGCAATCTTTCCATACATTGCAAACCAAGGCGAGAACGCACATCAATTTTACGTCAAGCTCAGCAAACATATAACAGAGACCTCTAAAATGATTTAGAAGGCTTACGTAAAACAAAAAGTGAGGTGTGCGAGGTGTTTTGAGTGGCACTCGCACGTCGAGAATGGCAGAACGTCATCGAAGTCAAGGAGAGGTCGGATAAAGTTGCCCTACCGCTCTTCGTCTTCCAGCGATGTTCTGCCATTCCTGAAGCGCGAGTGCCACTTGAAAAACTTCGCGAAATTCACTGCTTTTTTTACACAAGTCTGCTGAATCATATCGAAGGTCTTTGATTTATCTTTGTCGAGTTGGATGCAAAAATGACGTTCGCTCTCGCTCTGGTATGTAGTCTATAGTAAGATCGCCATTATGCCCGTGCACGTCGTCATGAAAACTCGTGAAACGCAGCTCCAAATGTTGACAAAGAGGTGCCCTTTGGTATAAGGAGACACGAAGGTCCCTTCCTTCGACTGCTGAGCGCGCATCACTGTGCTGCCCTCTCTTTTTACACTAAAAAAATCAGTCCCGGAACTTTCTGATCACACCTCATAATTTCGAATATTTTGGGATGCCTAGGGCAAAGGTGCATACCACAATATTCGGTCACATTTTTATGAGGAAAAAGGCTATGTATTATTGTAATTTTGAGTTGTCTCAGATGTTTAGAGCAAAGGGACATGTTGTGATGTTCGGTCACATTTTAAACATGAAAAAAGGCCACGCATGATTGTAATTTCAGATTTTTTAAGATGCTTAGGGCAAAAAGGCATGTTGCAATGTTTGACCACTTTTTTAATAGGAAAAATGAAGAGCAAATTATTGGGCAATTATGTTGCACATAAAACATCTACGCTCTCAGCGCATTTCATTAGTAAGTTTAGCGACTGTCTTAACGCATGTCATGTACACTCGATAGCAATTCCTGGAATGGAAACGCTGGCGCTAACCCGGGTTTTAAAGGAGTGTGACAGAGTGTCAAGTTGCTATCTGCCGGATGCAGAGCGGATGCCATAGATGCCATCAAATGGCATCCCAACTCACGGCGATGTGTCGCGACATGCTGGAAAGACACTCGCTTAATAATCTAGATGGTCTGGGTTCGACTTCCGCCAGGCAAAGACACATGACTTCTTCCTTTCCAACCCCCCCCCCCCCTCCCCCCCTTTTAAACTCATCAGTGTCTGGCCTCACGGCCACACTTTTATCAAGGCTTTACAAAATGACGAACGTCTAGGCACAGAATGTTTCACGTTAAAATGGCCATGCAGAGTCATAACTTTTTGTAAGGCACAAGTCAAAAGAAAAAACATCAGATAACCACTGTAACCCAAGAAACAATTGTTTTAAGATGTCAAGAAGTTTGTACATTCAGCCACCATAAAAGACACCCATTGATTCCGAAATATGAAAGGACAGCGTCGCCTCCTCACCACTAAGACGAAACTCGAAGCAGATCCGGATGCAGGACTGCATCATCTCGCAGACTGATTCGTTTGAGAGCAGTGCCCCAACAGGCGACAGAAGGAGTGAGCGCAGCACAAGCAGGATCTTCATGAGCACCACTTCGTCCGAAGCCGGGTCGGTGCCTGTGAAGCTGGCGTGGGTCACTGCATCCGCCACACTCTCAGCCGCCGACGCAGCCGACTCCAGCCTGTGGTCTGATGAACCAGAAAAGTGAATGCACAGAACAATCTTCCACTTTGGTAATCTCCACTGTTAAAGGGATGGAGTATTTATGCTCGCCAAGGTTTTTGTTTGTATATGACATACGAGAGCCCAACTACCCAGAACACAATTTGCGGCTCAAAATTCATATTCTATCTTGAAAACCGCCGATTGAGAATTGGCCGATATGAGTCGCGCACACTCTTTTCTCCGTGGTCACATGCCATTCTCGATGGTTTGGATACGCACACCAAATATAATCAGAGTCGTGGGTCATCAAAAGCACACACTCAATATTAAAAATAGAAACAAATATGATACCCATTTTTTGTGGCTTCTAAAAGCTGCTAGTATGTTGATTAAATAAAAAAAAAAAGGTTGCACAGAGAACCGGAAGTATTCTGTGCATTCTCTGTGTAATTCTCCACATGGCGTTGAATCACACGAGTTGCATGCTGGACGGCTCGAAACGGACTAAGCGATGGCGGCGGACCTCTACTTCAGATCTGTAGTTCATGTAACCGGCGAATCTGTCTAGCTTCCAAAGAGAAATCTTTTATCGATCAAAATAATTAGCATTTATTCCATAAGACACACCCGACCACAAGCTGATTTGCAGGAAGACGTTGCTGAGTCGTCACCCCTTCTCCTGGCTGAAGACACTGCTTGCTTCATGAACCCGAATTGGTAAGAGCTTGAAAAATGCGTAAACGTTAAGCACGAAGTGCTTGACTTTTGCATTTTTTCGCGCGTTTTTCGTCTGCTTTGTACAGCCAAAAAAAAAAAACTAAGAAAATGCAGTCAGGTGTAGCTACATGGCTTCCGGTAACTCTCTCCTCCTCTACAGTTCCTCTTCCTCCCAGTGATGGTGTAGCAAAATATTGATTGGGTAGTCTTCTGAGACAATATTAAATCGCCTAACAAAAAATAACACTTTTTCTTTTTTTTTTTTCCGGGGGGGGGGGGGGGGGGGGGGGGGGAGGGGAGGTAACTCTTGTACTAGATCATCACCTCACTCACCCCCCCCCCCCCCCCCCCCCCCGTCCCCTTAAGTAATGCACTTCGTTTAAGTGCCTTTGAGGATTAACAAACTGAACTGAACTGGTGGAACCCCGTAAGAAGAGTTTCATAATATTTTCATATATCACATTTCCCTGGTTGACTGCATGCTGCACGAAACAAGTTATAGACTGTGAGATTAAAGACACTGTCAAAAATGGCATTCGTGAATATGCATATGACAGCAAGCAAAAATTAAAAAGTGCACTTATGAAAAAATTTATTCTCGTATTCGTCCCCGACTACCCACAAACCTAGACATGAGAGGGGAAAAAAAAGCCAGAATAGTCCGCTTTGTTACTTATGTAGACATTTTTGAAGTTATGTTTCTCTAATTATTTTTATGCCACCATGGCTTTGATCATCGTTGCTAAAAGACGGTAAGATAACTGTTAATCTCCTATGCATTTAAATTTAATACGCCTCCCACATAATTTCACTGAACCAAGTAAACAGCTGGTAACTATGTCAACAAGAGGATCATCCTGGTGATATCATACACTGCCTGGTGATAGTTAGGGGGGAGAAAATTGGCTTAAAAGGGCGGGAGGAATCATATGGTTGTCTTTTTAGACTTAGGCTAGGTGATGCAAGCTATGTTGTGTTGGGGAGGGTGACGACCTCAGGTGCGGAACCAAGAGACGGGGCTGTGGCTCGCTGCTAGGATGGCCCTGAGGAAACAGGCCTGGAGTGGGAGTAAAAGTCAAATTTGGGGGTTTAACGTGCCAAACCTACGACGGGCATCTGACACGCCCCAGCGGAGGACTGAGGACTAATTTCGACCACCTGGGGATCTTTTGACGTGCAACCGAAAGCTCGGTTACACGGCGCCTTCTCCGCAATAAGCCTCCGTCATATTGCGGGCACCTCGGTCGGGATTCGAACCCGCCACCTGGGGATCCGTAGGCCGGCGCTCTCGCCTCGGAGCCACCAAGGTGGCAGGAGTGGGAGTACTGAAGGAGAACTTTTATATGCAGTGAATATACAAGTAGCATGGTCGACTGGTTAATCGACAATCGGCGATTTCGGGCTCCCCACTCCCAAGTTATATAGCCCTCCAAGGACGAGGAGACCCTCTGAGAGAGAGGAGCCTTCCCCGGTATTCGGGTGTTCACGAGGCGTCCGAAGTGCGGGGGCAGCTGATGCAATTTCTGGGGGTTCTTTCAGCGAGGAGCAGATGATGTAATCCCTAGACGTTCTTGCCGCGCTCCAGCGGCTGATGTAAGGAGTCAACATTCTTGTTGAAACCCAACACCGACAAACCCACACACACACAGGGACGCACACGCACGCCGGTGTTTCTCCTTGCGAGGGCCCGCGATTCCAGATGGTCTCGTGGCTTCAGGAAGACATTCTTTTTGAGTTTAAAGCCCCCAGCGAAGGCCATCGCAACAGCTACCGTCTGTTACAAAAAGTATAGCCATTAACACCTATCCATCCATCCATCAACAGTCATGCTGTGGGCACCAGTGTGTACTATTTTCTATGAAGCCATCAATATATTAGTGGAGACCTTGATGTTCAGATGAATAGTGATGACACACATGCAGAGCTATTCAATCCTTCGTGAATCAACCATGAGGAACAAGCCAACCGAGACGATTGGTATGGTAACATGCCAAATAGCAAACATATCGGTGATCATGCATGGTGCTGATGTAGTTTGGTTCAAAAAACAAAAATAAAGGTCTTGAGGTACATTTTTAAGTGTTTGCTGCACTAGGTGACAACGGCATTTGTACATTTATTGCTTCTTAGCCAGGCACTTCCCCTCTATCGAGTAATGTAAAAAATAAAAGGGGCTATTTTTCAATCCAGTACCTCAGTAGGATAACCCATTCTTAATTGAGCTAGCAAACCATTAACTGGCATGCATCGCAATGAGTGGCCTTTCAATAATCTGTCGTTAAAATGTGGTTACCCGAGAAACTTACGCAAGGAATGAGTGCTACTGAACCAACAGTGTTGCTAAGGCATCTCTAGAAATGTGTGGGAGTTCAAAATAATTGACAGCTTACCTATGAGTCCATAGGAGAGGAACTTGTTCACAGATGCCAGTGCTTGACCAGTGACGATGCTAGAAGTCTGCTCAAAGCGTATCGCATTTAGAAACGGCCCAAAGTACACGCTCGGTTCAATGTCAGAGAGATCGCTGGCACGGCTGAGAACCTCCTTTAGTTCTGCGAAGTTGTTGTTCAGTATCTCCTGTTCTTCCTCCTGAAATGATTGTTTCTGAATGAGTATGAATGGTTTGCCTTCGCGAATAAACAAGATACAACAAAATGCGTGTCCACATAAACGCTTCACCTAGCGGTACAACTCGTGTCTTTCGCAGAATGAGAGACCCTCTAGGTCACTGACTGGGGCTTTCACCAGCATACCTATCATAGGCAGACAGAAAGTGACACACTTTGTGTCTGCAGGGATGAGCCAGTCTCTAGAACGCTCACCTGCATCTACCCTCCCATCAACGTTAACATTTGACGCGCACCACCTACGAACCTAGCATCACCTACCTGGCTACATGGACACTCGCGTATGGACGGCAACGCCTTCTAATGTGCATCTGGTACCTTGGTGTAGAAATCAACATCAAACATCTCTGTCAATGGACAGGATGCGAGTGCAAACCCGACAGCTAATGGTTCTCCAGCTACCTACCGACCCTTGAAGCATTAGCGACGTGGACGCACATTTGGACGGGTTGAAGGATGCATACCTGTTGGCTGTGCATTCCCCGAGTGCTTCTCCTTAGAGCGGCTGTGATGATCGCCACCTCCCCGGCGACTATGTAAATGTAGTTCTCCGGGACCGTCATTCTGATGGTTGACCTGTTGAGAAAAAAACAAGGAGTCACGAGCTCCGCCGATGTCTTGTGTAGGCCTTTTTCTTTTTGCGAACAGAAACTGCGTTTTCACGCTATTGCCAAGTGGCACTTTTTCCGGGGTAGCGAGTGCGAGAAGCGGCGAGAAGCGGCGAGCAGTCGACGCTACGATACTCGAACAACACGCACAGCCTCTCCAAATTCTCGAAACAGCTGACTTACCTCGAACTAGATATCAACACAAGCTTGTTCCTTTATTCATTTATAAGTTTTCAGCGGCGTTTTATTGCCGAATAAGAAGCGAATGACGGTCCGCAGCATCTACCGTCGCCAGCGTTTACTCTCGAGAAGGGCCTTCGGCGGTGACGCAACACGACTGCCACGTACAAGCGGCGGCGGACAGCTGTTAAAAAAGTCAGAAAGTGCGTCTTCGACGTTACTTACCATATGCGATAGTAATTTGCGACGGAAATGTGTAGATTCTTTGCCGTATCCGATACGAAACACTGTCAGGTTGGCCCAATGCGAAGCACAGTGCACAAAATGAAAATAGTAGAGCTAGTGAGCGCATACGGCCGTCGTAAGAAAATTCGAAATGCCACGACTTTAGTGTACTTTTGTGTTGTTTATCGTACTAAATAAAAAACAGTTACTTAGTGAATTAAGTTCTAATATGTTTTTTGTTTAAATACTAGGAAGAGACACCATACATAACTTTTTGTGTTGTTTTTAGAGTAGAATACGTTCATACGAACGTCACTAATGTCGCTTCAAACAGGAGCTTGGCACGCTGGGCACCCATTGGGCACCATTGAGCGACTTTATGTTGGTCTTGGGTGGTCTTGGGTCAGTTTTAGAAACGTTTGACGCACTATTCAGTTCAGATGAGAACTACGGTGATTGAAACAATAAGAAAATCTGAATGATATTAGTATAAACTATTGTTATCTATTTCACTAGTACTTACTAAAATAATTAAACTTTTAAATAAATTACATGAATTGATAAATAAATAAATTAAATAAATGATATGGCAACCTTGTATAGGTGGTAGCTTGCGCTCCCTACCGAGCATTATTTTCGAGTGCCGCGAAGTTCAAACTTCAAATACAAAGTCGCGACATCCTTTGAAGATGCCACCTGTTATCTTGGGCCAATCCTACGGATCCCCAGGTGGCGGGTTCGAATCCCGACCGAGGTGCCCGCAATATGACGGAGGCTTATTGCGGAGAAGGCGCCGTGTAACCGAGCTTTCGGTTGCACGTCAAAAGATCCCCAGGTGGTCGAAATTAATCCTCAGTCCTTCGCTGGGGCGTGCCAGATGCCCGTCGTAGGTTTGGCACGTAAAACCCCCAAATTTGAATCTTGGGCCAATCCAGGCGGCACTACAGTCGACGCACGGGTGTAAAAAAAGCAAAACAAAGATAAAAGACGTGCGCGTCAGAGGAGGAGGGAGAAGGAATGCCTGTGCCAGGGGTGGCCAAGCTGCGGCTCCGCATGCGGCTCTTTGCGTGTTGAAGTGCGGCTCGCGACTTCCTCCCCTACCCCCCCCCCCCCCCCTTCCCTGCCTCCCTCCCGGTCACACGAGCACTTCCCCCCCAAAAAAAGAAATAAAACGCGGTTTAAAAATCGGAAGACAGGTTGCAGTTTGGTAGTCTACTACCTTATGTACAGTTGAACTGCTTTTGACTCAAGGTTTTGACTCGGATAGATGAAAGCAGTTCGAGTTTCGTTTATGGCTCCGGACAGAAGTTTGCCTCCTCCCCTCGGCTCCTGGAACTTTCATGGTTTTGTTTGTGGCTCTTAGGCTGGATCAACCTAGGCATGGGCGTACCAACTGGGGGCCTGGCAAGGGGGGGCGCTCGCCCCCCCCCCCCCCAGTTTTCAGAGTGTGTGTGTGGGGGGGGGGGGGGGGGGCAAGGCATGTGTTTTGCCACCCCCCGAAAGAGCCACCACTGGGCAGGGCAAACGCTGGCCGGCAGCACCCAAGGGATACCAAGGGCAACGCACCCCCGGCCCTGGGGGGGGGGGGGGGGGGGGGGGGGGGGGGGGGGGGGAGGGGAGGGAAGGGGGGGAGGTCTGGCTTGCCCCCCCCCCCACTCAAAAACAAGTTGGTACACCACTAAGCCTAGCCACCCCCTGGCCTATGCTGTCGAAGTGCAGGCATGCTGCTCATGTCGCCAATCAAATAACGTCGACTATGCAACGCCACGGCTTTCATTGTTTTTCTTTAAGCACATCCAAGGGCGGATCCAAGGGGGGGGGGGGGGCGACCGTTCCCCCCCCCAGCCCCCGCAAATGAAGTCGACCCCCTCTCCCCCCTTCTCGGAGGGCAATTTGACATGGGTAGACCCCCGACCGCTCCCTCCCCCACCCCCGAAATAAAACCGATTACCGGCCTGCCAGGTGGTAGAAGGCTCGGTACTCAAGGACAAGGGTTCCAAATAGGGTAGGTCGCACTATATAGCAGACACATTTGTACCCTGAGCTTGGGGAACCACTCCGTCGAATGGGAGAATAGTATCCTTACAAACTCCCCCCTCCCCCCGCCCCCCCCCCCCCAAAAAAAAAGAAAAAAGAAAGAAAACGGAGTTTTGGATCCGCCCCTGAGCACAACCTTCAAGGCTCGTAACCGTGACAGTGCGCTTTTAGCCCGTGTGTATGTATTTGCGTGTCCTGCGTGTCTTTCAGCCTTTGACTGCGACCTATGAGCAGAGAGAGAAAAAATGCCCTCTCCCTCTCACCCCGCGTATCGTCTGCTCCGCCGAGTGGGCTGTACCTAACATCCGGCCACACCGTGCATCCGGCTGGTGTCCAAACTCGGTTTAAAATCGCATCATTTTGGAAGTTTAAAGCGCAGAGGCGCGTATTTTGATATGCAAGTTATTGCGTAATGTTATGCTCGATAAAAAGACTAACCAAGTCAAATTGCAATGTTAACTGCTCGACACCAGAACACAAGCACGGAAGCTCATGGCCGGAAGTCACGTGACTACACCCGGCTCAGTTGTTTTTTTTCTCCTTTTGGTGTGTGAAGCATGCGTAGTTGCATGCCCCGTTTGTCACGAGATTGTTTCGCAGTTATATTCATTCCACTTGGTGTTCTGTGATTGAAGATTGATTGGCCGGTTCCACAAACAATTTTGAAGTAGCGCCCCTACGTCCGTCGTAACGTTGGTCCGTCATGCTCTGCCATCGCGTCGTCAAGCCCGGGGTAGTTGACTTTACCCGCAATACGTCGCCATATTGAGAATGTCGTGGACGTGTACTTCCTCTGATCTGTGCAACATTTTTTTTTTTTTTCAATAAACTTATTTGCAGTTTCTGGGAGGCCACAAAAATGGGGTTCATGCCCTTTGCTATTTTTAATATTGAATATAGATGCCCACTTTGAATAACACCACGTGACCTTGAGAAAGAGTGAGCACGATTAAAGGAGGATTTAGAACACAAATCGTGACAATACTTACCAAGAGTAGACACCAGGTTGAACTTTTTGTTTTCCTTTTTAAAAAGACACTGACACACCCCAATTTTTTAAAGTTTTTTGGTGATTTATGGTGTTAGAAGACTACCCAATCAAGATTTTGTTACAGCGTCGCGTATATTTTTATTAAATACGCAACTGCTCAAAACCGAAACTGGACTTGAGAAAGTTACCGAAAATCACTTGGCAGTGAATTTTTTTTTTCAATTAACATATTTGCAGTTTTTTAGAAGCCACAGATAATGGGTATAATATTTTCTGTCTATTTTTAGTATTGTGTGCCTTCAATGAACAGAGTAGCGCAATCCTTTGAACCCCGTGTTTCGCCGACAACATGGCCGACAGAGCAGCTAGGCGCGAGTCACGTGGTACTCAGGGTTCCAAGAGGCGGCCCGCCCTATGGGAGAATACATGGAGATCGACATAACACGGCTGATTAAAAAAATAATGGCGAGTTCACACTTTTCAAAACTAGCCTGTCGTGAAGTTAGTAAAGCGCTAAACACTTTATCAAAGTTTTAATAATATCGGATGTGTGTGCAAATTTTGAGAAGACAATTTCCAGGGCAATGGCGTTTGAAGCAGACGATTTTTGCACGCAGCGGAGATGGGCTTTTCGGGTTGGCCGGAGCGGGTCACGTGAATGGTGTGACGTCGCCGTGTCGTCTGCTGCATGATACCGCTCAGGCAATTTTTTAAAAAAAGTTACGTCCTTGCATGGCACAAAACTTGTCGCAAATTAATCTAAAATGTTTCATTATTATGTCAAAAATGATTGCCATTCCGTACATCCCCACAAAACTGAAGAAACAACGATTTTCTCACGTTCTCCATGCATTTCTGACCGCAGTTGGAACCTCCGGGCGTTCGCCGCTAGTCGCCGAGAGGCGGCGTTCTAGATTGCGCTACTCTGCTCCGAAGGAGCTATATAGTGCTCTAGTCTAAACCATAAAAAACGGCACGTGACCACGGACAAGAGTGTGAGCGCGTCTCAAACTGGCCAGTTCTCGAATGGCTGTTTTCGAGCGGAAAGAGAACTAATTCTGAGCCGCAAATTCTGTTCTGGGTAGTTTGGCTCCCATATGTCACGAAAAAATAAAAGCTTTGGCGAGCATAGATACCCTGTCAGTGTCCTTTTAAGTAAAACCAAACATCGCAAACTTTTAATGAACGTGCAAACGGACAGCATTCGACCATGTCCCTGCTATATAACTCGTATGAAGGATTTTCCGTATTATACAGCTGAAAGATGCACTCCGCTTTTCTCGAACAGCAACAATCTTCCCGGCCCCGACCGGCATGACGGTGCAGACTCCAGGACCTTCTTATTTTTGAAAATATCGAGCCTCAAACATATTTAATTGAAAACCCGAGTGAAATTGTATGAATAAATATAATTACCGTATCTATCATATATATATATAAATGTATTATGTTAAGTTTTTTCATGTCCAAGTTAAAAAACGCGAGCTTTGATTTTACAAAAAAGGGAATACAGGGACGAGAGTTCTGCCCGCTTTGCTCTCATTCATCGGTTTAACAAGCAAATCACCTCCATGGACCATCTATGGCCCACTATCACCATTTATTTCACTGAGATAAGAAAAAAGCTTATTTTATATTGGTCTCTCGGAAAACCAAGTTCTTACAACTTTTGACTGAGTCAAGTTTGCCCTTCAATATTTTTAAAAATGCACCACCTAGCTGCCCATACATATGGTTCTATGGCATATGTCAATTAGAGTCATAGCATGTAAAACTAAAATTTGCCACGACTTGCCCTGAACAATGAACAGTGATCGCTTAGACAGTAAGGAGTGACATAATAAAATAGACATAATGAGGCAAAATTGGGTATACTCGTAATACTGGTACAGGCATTGGAGGTATAAATAGTGAAAAGTCTTCATGAAAAACCCAACTTTCTTATAAAAGGGTTTTACTGTACCCTAAATGAAGCACTTGACTGCAGCAGACCGGTACTTGAAATCACTTCGGTTTAATTCGTGCTAGTTCAACATACACTTTCATTGCACACAGAAATCTTGTTTATCTTTCAGGGAGCGATGATCAATACTATATACACATACTAGAGTGAATCAAGATTCCCTTTACAACAACAAAAAAAGGTACAAGGTTCACTCAGTTACACCAAAAAGTTATTTCCACAGCACGCATACGTTGTGCAGAGTGTTTCCAATGCTTTCATCAATATGATGCAAGCTGACTGCACATGTGTATGTACAAGAAGTCATTTGCCCCAAAATTCCCTCAACGTAAAGCTCGCAAGACATGCCACAAATGCACGCCAGCGGGAACTGGGAGACTGCTACACAACGCTGTTCGAGAATAAACGCAAAATCAATACATACCAGACATACATACTAAAAAAAAATATTTCGAATCATACAGACAAGCTTTAAAGTGCATTCAAACACCTTGTATTTTTTCCAATTCAACTGGAAACGGGATATAAATAAAATCAAAGATAAAACAAGAAGCCTATTTCAAGGTAACCAACTTTGGTCAAATAGCGAAGCTTCTAGAAAAGAAAGAAAAAAAGATTGCAACTTTTGACGAGAGAAGAACACATTTGAGCTTTCCAAAACACAGCTCTCGAGCTCCCATCCACATGTACGACCTCACAAGTGAATAACTGCCTTTCTGACTGACTCAACAAGAAAAGCAGGCTTGGGCTTCTTTTTCCTCAATAACGAACAAGTTGAAAAAGAACCCCCCCAAAAGAACACACAAGCAAGGAATCCAGAAACGGGCAATGCAGCTTGCCACGGAAGTTCGACCTCTCCTAAACACAGGTGGCGACATGAAAAAACTGGATGGCACACGCCTCACTTTTGTGCACTGCAGTTCCTGAACTAGGAAACAATGAAGCTTCTCCACCTTCTTTTTTTTTTTTCAGTCTATCTTGACGGTAGAGTAAATCTTCCGGACAAACACACTTGTACCGATGTACCCAAACGTACCTGCAACAAACCAAAAGAAGTCGTGAAAAGGTGCAACAGTGACTCAGCTGCGCTCTGTTTCACCTCACGATGGATCACACCAGACACTTTGAGTAATTGTAGCAAATCCAGCGCTGTAAACATCTTGTGTGACTACGCACCCCACACGCCACTACGCCCCTCCCGAAGACCACGTGACGTTCACACGGCATTGGGGATGGCTGCAGTCCATCGTAAGGTGAAACAAAGTATAGTGCATTCAAGAAGTTACTAAGTTTAAAGAGCAAAACCTGATAGATGTGCCTAGGTAACTAGTATTCGATGTGACTGAATGCTTTTTCCTCTCTTTCCTTTTTCATTTGCTCATCTTAGCTACCATGTCCTTTCCCCAAGCACCTCACCGCTCAGCCTTGTACGGCAGTATATCAGAAGGTAGCAGACTTGACCGTCATGTTTCTCAACGCAACTAAATACAGTTGTATATTATACTTTCACCTAGTGCCTATGTGTTGGCACATCAACTCCTCTAACCAAACTCGCGTTTATTTTGACAACTTGATTGCAGTTTGCACTTTATGTGAAGTTCCCAGTGAAGTCAAACATCATAGAAAAAGGTAGGTAGCCTGGTGAAAGAGGGGAAAAGGAACAGGAACACTCACCACATAAGGCTCCCAGAGTGAAGCTGAAGAGGGCCATGTAGCCAAAATAAAACACGGTTTGAAACAAGCCGTACATTCTGAAATGGAAGTTGGCAGTCGTTGAAAACATCCAGCCACAATCAGGATTCTCTAAATAAGAAGAGTTCAACACACAATTCCATTTCAAGAGCCATTAGCTGCCGACATTTTATACTACACTAGTTTGAAATGGTGGTTACACGTTGGTTAGAATAGGGCCCCTTTTGTTACGATTCAGACACTACTCTAAAACTGCGTTCTCAGTTTCAAAGGGCAACTGAGAAAGCAGCAAACTGATACTATGCAGCACCAGTTTGCTTTAATTTTGGACAAAATGAGAAAATATGGCTTCAGTTCTGGCAAAAAAAAGTTAAACTTTAAAAGCACTAAAGTAAGACGTATGTAAACTGAAGAATTCCATGGGAAAGAAGCAAACTTGATACAGTATGTATACCTGTTGAATTCTCACAAAACATTGGGGGAAAACAAGGACAAAACAGTGGATGGACACCCACCCAAACCAGTTGAATAATCGAAGGAATAAATTTAAGCAAACTGAGTCAGTGTAAGCACATGCCAGAAAAAGGAATCTGTATCTCCCGGTAGCGTACTCACTTTGTTTTGAAGAAATAATAGTAGAAGGAGTAAAGGTAGACGTATCCCGCAGTCGAAGCACCCGAAAGAAAACTTGTCCACTGCCTGGAACAGGACATGTTTGTGCATCAGTGACCGGATGTGTCGGAGGAAACCTTGCATTTTTATTTTCCCTTCAAAAATGCCAGCTGCGCTTAGACCCGCTGCAATATTTTTGCCTCCTTAGCGTAAGAAATGTGGCATAGGCATCAGTTTTCCTTAACTCGCATCTTTGCTCGCATTAACGTGCTTAAATATATGGCCTCCAGCATAACAGCTTTGTTTATTTATTTTACAGATTCATGCTATATCTCATCTAAAGGTTGTGTAAGTTGGCATCCTTTGTTCGTTGAGATCATGTTGCTTTCATATCTGGCGTAGCCTCGAGCTGATTGATGGTTCAATTATTTACCGCGTAAATGATACTGTATGAATGCCTGTTTACTGATTTGTTTACCCTTTTCTCTTTACCTTGAACTGTATGGCGACATATTTCTTTCTGTATATACAAGGTTTTGTTCTTTGTTTGTTTCTTGTACCGCCTCCTACTTGGGCCTTATTAAATGGTCTGTAGTACCCTCTAAATGAATACGAAAACCTGTCTCACCATCGGTAATCCTCCGCATTTAGCAGGAAGTAGGTGCACACAATGGTGACGCACACCGTGACAATGGTCAGGATCAGGAACACCAGCAGCATGAAGCCATACACATAGTAGATCTTGTAGGCCCAGAAGGAAGTGAAGATGAAGTACCTGCCAAAGGAGAGAAAATTGTGGCTGCTGCAACTATTTATCACAATAATTTTGGTAGGATAGTGGTAAAATAAAACTTGCTTAAAAGAGCCCTAAAATGTGTATGTTATAATTGTTTTGTTTTTGTGTTTTTTATGACGTAAACTCGATTCACGCACCCTAAACATTTTAGGAAACCCACAACTCCAATCAGCATGGTCATTATCGCTACCGAAAAAGCGACACGCACCCCTTGTCTGAAATATGTCTCGGAACAGGAACATAATGAAACATCTGGAAACGTTTTTAATATGGAAAAAGACCAGGCACAATTGTAAGGATGCTTAGGGCACGCAAAGTGCCTTATGAAAAGGTGATCTTAAAATGTACCGTAGTGGTCACTTTATATTTTGTTTGAGGCATCTCCATCTAATCTACCCAGTTTGGAATCGTAGCATGTTCTCTTTCAGCCGGGACCATGGCGGCTATAGGAAGCACCGCCGTATGTCACATCAGTTTGATCAGGTTTTCGCTTTGGTGTTTTTACCTCTACGAATAATCAGCCAGATACACAGGATGGTCCACTTTCGGGGTTGGGCATTCAGTCGGGGTTTCACGCTAGATTATTATTTTAATTAAACGCTGGTTCACACATTTGCGTCCAATGTCCCAAGTGTGCCAAGTTATTCATGGTCTCTCATAACCACCCATCGGCTGTCTCTGGAACACTTCCAGTTTACGTATAAGCAGACTAAAGGTTTCGCAGTATTTGCAAAATCAAATCTATGCACCATTTATGAGAAACAGTCGCTTGTAACATTGTAAAAATCATTTTGAGCCCACGGTAAAAGAATAGGTTGTGCTAGTGTGCCGGCGGTTACGAGACATTGCAACACGTTTGGCACGGTCAACACAAATGTGCAAATCACACTCCACATGTTAACGGGTTCTGTCGAGCCAGGAGCATAGATGCAAAGGGAGAACCCACATTTCGATGAAGATGGAGCCGAAGGGCAGGATGCCTCCGAGGACCACGATGACCGACGGCTCCATGAACCACTTCTTCTCAGGAATGGGGCGCGGCACGGCGTTGATGCGGCACGGGTAGTTGGGCTGGCCTGCCAGGTTGCGCCCCAGCACCGTGCCCACCAGCGTCAGCGGTAGGATGATGAAGAGGCAGATGCAGGTCACCGCCACCTGCGAGGACGTAGGTGTCACGCTCTGGAGGGACACTCATCGGAAGGCTCGGAAAGCCAGGCCACGGCAGTGCGGGTCGCTTGAGAAGCCTGTAGCACATCGCTCGGAAAACATAGCTCAAAACACATCACCCATCACTATACTTGGGGACACCTTTCTCTGGCATTTCGGAAATGAAAGCCGTGCTTGTGCAGGTTCGATCGGGGCTGCAGTTGCACAATCGCAGGGGTGCCCATAGCTTCGGCTTCATGGCCAGAAAAAAGTTGCCACCAAGTATAGTTAGGCGTTACTAGCCATGTGCCGCTAGTCACACAATCGGTCATACATCCAAATACAAGCACTCGTGATGTACGCTGTGGAAAAATTGGAAATAAACCTATCCTATCACTCATCTGTGCAGCTGTAGTGCTGCTTTCAAGCTCTACACAGAGACAGTACAGTGTGTCTGCACAGACAAGTAACAACTCTTAATCAAAGTGAGTACAAGCGTGCCTTAGGCTTTGCCACGAAGCTTATGGTTTTGTGGGCAAGTAAGTTAGTGTCCATCAGTATATGCACGTGGCCAGTGGCAGATTCAAGGGGGGATACGAACGTCGTGACCCCCCCCCCCCCCCCCCCCCCCCCCCCCCCCCCCCCCCCTCCCCTCCCTTGAATTCTGCATGTCTCAAAGTTTAGGGTGAAAAACAGGGTGGGGGGATTTTCTCCAACATCTGATATGCGAACCCCACCTCTGGAAACACCGCCGTCTGCCTCTGCATGTGGCTACACTCTAAAAAAAGTTTGTGCATCTACTTTCACGCACAACCCTCGGAGAGCCAATCACCGCAACTTACGGAAGCAGCTCAGTGAATGACAACGCCGACACATGTTTAGACAAAATAACGCAGTCCGAGTTGTGATATTAAGCAATGCAAAACGTTACGCTTGCATTGTTTAATGTCACAACTCAGTCTGCACTTTTTGGTCTAAACATATGTTTCCGCATTGTCATTCGCTGCGCTGCCTCCATAAGTTGCGGTGATTTGCTCTCCGAGTGTTGTGCGGGAAAGCAGACGCACGGGCTTTTTTTTAGAGTGTATTGCAAAAACACAGTGCTTCGACTATTACCGTAAAACAGATTTTGAAATGTGTGCTATCTATCACCCCATCTCACAAGAGTAACCACCCACGGTACCTTATAGCATTTTCCCAAAGGGTGAGCAGCAGTTTCAAAAACATCAAAAAGGAAAGACAAAATATTGAGTACCGTATTTACCTGCATAATGAACACACTTTTTTTTCCGAAAAATTGATACATATTTGGGGGTGCGTTTATTACACGGGGTAAACTTTTTTATTTACGCACTCTGCAAAAATGTAATTTTAGGTGCCAATATGACACGGCAGGGTACGTCTCCACTGACAGAGGTGCACCCACGACTGGTTGTGGGCGCGCCACAGTAATCATGCTCTATAAATTGCAAACCTTTTATGAGCGCTTTCGGCATGACTTTTTCCGGAGGAAAGGCGCCCTATGAAGCTCAGTCGACAAGGAGAGCGACGCAGCCCACCTTAGGCCTAACCACTTTCACGATTTCACTGTCCGAAAGCAGACCACAGACGACCACGTGTTTGTTGACATCAATGCATTCTGTGTGCGAAACGTGTCCAGGGCCGGGCAATTCCTCGACCCCAATTTCGTTAGGTGTGCGCGCTGCTCGGTTTCACTGTCGATCACTTCCGGAACCACACACTTGCAGTCATGAAAGCGTGTAATGCTATGCTTGGCTTGGTTTGGGGTGGCCTGGCAGCTTGGCGGCAAAAGAAAATTGGCTCGGGGACTAGCTGAATCAGACGCAGTTCATGACTCGCGGAGTCGAAAGGTGGAGGTGCGTTCATTACACGAGAGGGAAAACAAAGTCCAAATCGATGCCATGGTGGGGGTGCGTTAATTATGCGAGTAAATACGGTATAAAATTGCCAGATGAGGCCACCAACAGCCGGGCAGCCAGCGACATGAAATGAAGTACCCACCATGGTGCCAAAAGGAATGGCCCTAGAAGCATGGTAGTAGATGGCAATGAAGTTGATGACAAAGGCAGTACCACACACAAGTGCCGGAAGAATGAAGGCACTCATGAGCATCTGCTTGATCCACTGCTTCCCTGCAAGAGGAAGAAGGAAGACCATTGGTCTAGACTGTCCACACGAACGAGTCAACAAGAAAAATGCGAAAGGGGCTTGGCTGCTGACCTCCCATCCGGCCGTAGAGGCTCCCCCCAAAGTAGCCATTGATTGGCGACGTGGCAGCGTAGACGAAGATGGCCGTGCTCAAAAGGGAGCCCCTCCTGCAGGCAGGGGTCAAACCCATTTTACTCATTCGTCACTCTCAATCTCTCTGACTGAAAGAAAGCAAATGGAACCTCACGCCACGAAGAATGCACCGTACGACACAGATGGCATTAACGCGACATCCGCTCCATTTCACTGTTTTCTCGTTCGAGTTGGTGTCGGACAACAAAGTTTACCACCCATAAAACCTCATCCTTTCTAGAATGAAAAAAACAGGTAACTGTGTCCACGCTAACTAGGTCGGTACACTAGAGTCTGATGCAATACATTTAGACCACGCAGGCTAGCATTTAACACAAACCTTTGATACCACCCACGGGCACAATCCAGCAGTTTCGACGAATGCCGCTTACAAAAAGTCGCCATTCGTTTTTTTTCGGCCATGCTGGGTGCAGTTGGAGTCACTAATAATCTTTGGAGCAATGACACATCGGCTAAATTGCCGCATCAAAGCACTGCCGTCGGTTGTCCGAAGGCTCGTCTGAAATCGCAGGAAATACTTTTCCATCCCAAGAAACGTTTGAACGGTTTGCAACAAAGCAAAACGACGCGGCCCGAGCTTCCCGACGCCGTACACAATGCTCAGCAACTGGCAATTTTTAGTAATAACTATCAACCGTTGTGCCCGCTCCCACTTGGCAACAAAATGGGGGTTGAAGTGTCGAATGTCAATACTTTAGGCGCGGCTTATGTATGACTCCAAGCACAGTTATGGTCTTTCAATTTCTCCCTGATAACGTCAGAGAAGTGTCGCGCTGTTGCCTGCCACGATCTTGGCAGTGGCACGACGGCGGAGGCGTGAGCGGCAGATACCCATTCTGCCACGGTCCCCCTCCGGCCCGACAGTCCACAGAAACTTCAGCGGCTGGGAATTGGGACGCCACGACGACGGAGACGCGGTGGCAAGCTCGCCTTCGTTAGCACTCTTTGCAAGAACTCCTACGACCTACCGCCGCGGTCGCAACGTCCGACGACGTGACGTACCAGCTCCTTTCGTACAAGCATCTGTTGCCTCTTCAAGACCGCTTCTAACGCATGGACACACCTAGGGGAAGCCAAACGCACTGGTCGAAGATGCCCTAGTGCAGTCGGTCCACTCACTCTGTGTACAGCTCCCCCATGATGGCGAAGAGGATGACACACAGCACCACCGTGGCGATCTGGTGGCCCGTGCCCACCAGGGCGGAGAAGAGGAGGGCGTGCGAAGGCGGCCGGAACACGTCCCCGTGCACCTGCTTCCAGCCATACTCGTCGCCCAGGTCGCGCTCCTGGCCGCCCGGAGAGACAACGGCAGCCCTCACTCGCCGACCCCTCCCAAGACGGAGAATGTGCACAGCCCCTCCCCGTTTAAAACACTACGCAATCAACTTTACGGAGTCAGTTGCAAAAGCCAATTGTGAACGAGTACCCAGTCCGAGGAGAGAGCTTAGTGCTTTCAGACAAGCTCGCATTCAAGCTTACTAGAAAGTGACGGATGCGATCTGCAACATTATGTGGAGTCACACGAAGCATTACGATTCTGCACATAGAAAAAAAAGGGTGCAAGTCGCACGCAACCGGGGCATTAAGACACTCTTCAATATTGACCAAACTGGCACACGACATCCCCTAGGCATATTTATAAGTGTTAAAGGTGTTAGGAGGGTGTGGGAGAGACCAAAAAAGTCCTAAAAGTTGGCACCAGTGCCATCAGATGCATCCAAGAAAGAGGCAAACATCTCCAAAAAGTTTAGAGCCTTTGCAGAACTGTAAAACGTTTTTAGAAAGGTTCAGGATGGCAGCTGAGATTGGCTACCAGACTTAGTCTAGCGTCGTCCTTTGCCTTTCTGTGAGATTCCTTGCTGGCACACCCCCTACCAAGCTCAGACCCTCGTATGGCCTTCCATAAGATTATTTTTAGAAAGTTATATGTCATACTGAAACAAGTCTCCTGCTGCAGATCATTACCCATTAACTATGGTTACAAACACAAGATGAGTACAATGAATAAAATGCAGATAAACAGAGGCCCTGGAGTCAATGAGGGCCATTGTAAGTTCTCTCCCATTTCAGGTTGTACAACTTAAAGGGATGCTGAACCGAAATCTGGATTCCCCAAAACACGCGTCAAAAGCGTGCAACGGGATGCTACAAACACCAAAACATCACTCATACAGCGGTGTCTCGAGAGGATGACCGTATTTTTCAAAAAAGGAGGCACATTTGGCAGAAATGTTGACGTCATGGTTCTCCGAGAAAGAGAGGGAAAGGCCTCGCGTCTTCTCCGCCTCGCCGCCTTGAGGGACAGAAGCGAAGAAAGGAGGAAACCAGGTATCTTGATGTCACGCGCCTCGTCGGCCTGGTTCAATCTCGGCCACTTTTTCCAGAAATACAGCCGTCCATTTATGATATCGCCTTACTAGTAGTGTTGTAGGGATTGTAGCGTCCCGCCTACATCTCCTGCATTGTTTTTTTGAAGTCCAAATTTCGGTCCACCATCCCTTTAAAGGGAAGCTGAAGTAGTTTTGTACAATGCAACCCACTTATAACGACATACCACTTATATTGATTAGTTTCTAGAGTTCCTAGACTGAAAATTGAAATTTCTAGTCCAGATACAACAATATTCGGTTATAACGATTGAAATTTTAGGTTTTCTCATTATCGGTATACAGTAAAACCTCGTTATAACAAAACGGGATATAACAAACTAATGGATATAACAAAGCAATCATAATTCCCCTTGCTTGCTAATAGTGGGAAGAAATGGACATTGGCTATAACAAACTAATGGTTATAACGAAATAATTACGACCGCTCCTTCAACTTTGTTATAACGAGGTTTTACTGTAGTTGGGTTGCATTGTATTTGAGTAAGAACACTAAAATAGTCTTCATTTGGCCTCCAGAATCACTAATATCGAGATTATTTTTCAGTCTGGTGCATGGCGGCTGCAGAAAATAATTTTTAAAGTACCGCTGAAGCCCCTTTTTGCTTGGAGCGTTACGTCATGAAGGAGTTTTTGGAATTTCCGCTCTCGCACATCTTTAATGCCCATCAAATTTATGCATGCGCACTCTTGCTATTTTCAAAAAGGTAAAAAAAACATCACGACTAATGTCATTGCGGGGTAATATACCTGGCAAGCTTGAAATCGCATGCGTTGTCCACACGAGCGACACGCGCTTGGTGGCCAAAAGACTCTTTCTCCTCCAACTCGTTTCTTTTAAGAACCTCTTCAGCTTCCCTTTAACCAGGTTCTAAAGCAAGCGTACAGAATTATCCAATGAAGTGTGGAGATGGCGGTGATGCAAGGAAACACTCAGTGCACATGCAGTGTTGGAAGCAGGGAAATTGCATGCGCACAAATTTGCGCAAATCCATGTTCGTAAATACTGTCGGTTGTCAGGTTCCCAGTGACGCTGGCTTGAAGAAACTGAACTCCAAACCCTGACTAAATCTTTAAAGAATTTAAGCACTGGAAGACTACCCTGCATTTTTTGAGGATGCAGGTCACAGAACCAGTCATCGCAGGCACTGTAATACGCTTTAGGTCGACGTTGGGACAAGTGTTTCGCTGGGAGTTTGCTGAGTGGCGTTCAAACGTTGGCTCAACCTGAGAAAGAGTACCACAATGTTTGTCCAGAGTCACCACCATCCTTTGACATAGCAACCAATATACTGCCAAGTGTGCGTATAGCCCGTTGCATAACACACTGGCTCCCTCTTTTCCCTTTCTTTCTCCCCAAAAATCAGCTAAATTTTTTTCGCTCATTAACAGTGACTAGCAGCTGACTGGGTTAACAAAAAGCAATTTATTTCATTCTATTTTTTATTAACAGGTTTAGTATGTAAGTATCCAAATTCTGCCTTCGAGGTGCCACAAGGTGCCCGGATAAAAAGTAAAAGATAAAGACTTCCACAAGCCCAAAAGCACAACCTCCAGTAACCTCCCCGCCCCGCCCCAATTATACTGAAGTTGCCGTGCCATGTCCCATTACCATAAAGTACCGAGCAAGCACCCACCCAAAATTTCGAGACAAGCTTTAAAAAAATGGGGTATGCATCGAATGTAAAAATGCAAAAGGGGCACACAATAGCGTGGGCTTCACCACTTTGTACCAGCGTGCTTGGAAATGTAGCTGACTCGGAGGAGCATCTTACCCGTTTCACCTTGCAGCGAACCGCAGCGGACACTATAAACCATCCCAGCCAATCAAGCACCATGAATCTGTCGCGCGACTCTAAGGCCTGTGTGCAACTGCACCCCTCTCACAGGTCATGTGATACTCACAAGGCTCTGTATTGGCCTTGACGGCTCGTAGCATATCCCCCACAGTCTGTCGTAAAGTGAAGCGCGGTAGGTGGGTTCCAAAGTCTGGAGTGGGCTCTCAATGTGTCTGTCGTTTAGTTTTCATACGTTTCGTAGGTAGTGGGGTGGGCGCTTACTGCGACGTGGGCGCACGCTCGGTATTCTACGGCAAGGCAGCTGACTACCCCGACAGGGAGACAGGAGAGAAGAGCGTGGAAACAGAAAAGGGTCTCCCACGGCCACAGGCAGCAATGGGGAGGGGGCGGGGGGTTAGATGTGATGTTAATTTTACCACTTGCACGATTTGCCATTCATTGCCCACCATGTCATCCATCTCCTCGTCCTTGCTGTAGCGGGCGTAGTCCTTGCGCAGGGTGCGCATCAGGATCATGCTCACCAGACCCACCAGGAAGATCACCATCATGAACGAGTTGAAGATGGAGAACCAGTGGATCTGCACGGAGAGTGCAACGCGGCCCCGGCATGAGTGCCATCACCCCCTTTCCGCGACGCGCAAGGGTGGCATCTACGAGATTGATGGACGGATACAAACGACCCCATTCTATCGGGGCTTCTCGTTCCTGAGCAGCCGAGCTGGAATATGGCTGTGATTCTTCAAATCGAGCGGCAGCATGTGCCACCTGTCCAGTGTTGAATTTCAACAGCTCATATTATTTCAGGAAACACTGGCCAAAATGTTTTGTGTAAAACTGTGCATCACATAGAAATAAGACTGGTACTGTTTTAAGTCACTACCACTGGACCTATTTATTGAAGTATGTAGCATTTACGTTAGTTAAATTTTAAGTAGTTTTACATCATTAACTTTTTAATTAGTGCAAATAAATGCGTAGTTCCAATTAAAAACTTAGTGGGCATAATCGAAAACCGCTACATCAGTCAATATTAGAAAGTACAGGCTTTTTTCTTTGCGAGTCCTAAAAATGCATCTAACATTGTGTGCCTACAGTTTTTCTGCTTCTTATAACCTGCCTTTTTGCACTGCCAGCCTTGCGCATAGTTTATAGTTTTTGCCTCAAACCTCTGGCCGGCATTCTCTGAAAGATCCTGTACATATGATTATATAAAGTTTAAAAGGATGACACCTAGTGGCCACTTTGTGCTACAATACACCATCTAGTTCCTTCTCAACCCGACAAGCTATGACTGCATTAAATTTATTTCAGTTGAAAAGAAAGAAAAACTATTTATCCATAAAGTAAATATTACAGATGCTTGAAACAACATGCATTTTGACAACACCGAAACTTGGGAGACACGAAGAACACTTACCCTGTGCTGGAAGAAACTTGGATCCAGATACTTGTCAAACCTGTCCTCAAATCGTTGATGAGACACCTTCCAATTAACCTGAGAAAGAAAAAAAAATAAATAAATAAATAAATAAAACAACAGAAGTTATGCATTTGCATCTTCCTTTTCACCTGCATATTTGAGCAGCTTGCATAATCAGATCTCTGTCAATATAACCGGTAAGTAACTTAGTGCCAATGAATTTTACGGACACAAAAAGGGGGTTTACTCTCAAATCTTGAAAGACAGCAGTTTAGACAAAGAACTCATTTTTCAAATAGCTTTTGAATTGGTGGATGAAGGCATATAATATTGCAAGAAATAGAAACAAAAACAACGGTGTTGCCTGAACAAGGCGACACGCAGACAGCAGTTGATGCAAGGCACATCAAGATGCCATCCAGACGAAATAAACATACACTGCTCTCCCTTACGTTCCACGAAGCTACATTCCTTCTGCAGACTACCGTAATATCCCGGGAGACGCCCCCCGCCTAAAAAATAACCTGCCCCCTATTTTTGGCATGATTTGCTATTTCTTTAAAAAACAGCAAAAGATGGCCCACTTCTAGTAATTGCAAGGCCCTGGAGGATGGTGACCTTGGCAGAAACGGTGTTACTTAGCCATGGCGGGAGATAAGCGAACATTGCTGACTGGGAAGGACAGTTCTCTTTGGTTCATCACCCCCTCCCGGCTATCACAAGTTCCGCAAATCACAAAATCTAAAACTAGCATTTTCCAACTCTTTTTTTTTATTGCACACCGAAAGTTAGCTTACTCCATATTTTCTCCTGATTTGCTTTACGGTAATCAAAAACAAGCACTGTGCAAAATATAACCAGCATTTAAAAAGAAAAAAAAAAGAAGCATTATTTAGGGCTGTTAGAGACACTAAAACTGACATAAAAATGATACAACAGCCTAATATTCCTATCTACAACTGCAAGCACACATAGTAAACCGAGATAGCCTCTCAGGAGATGAGTTTGAATAATGTAGACTCCTTTTTGTGTTCATTTACTAGATACAACAGGTCAATAATGTGGCCCAAGTAGTTGTGGCAGCAGTGATATACCATAAAGATACTGAGATACCAGAATCCCAACCCATCGCCTTGTCAGTGGAAGGGCGGGGCGGGGGAGAAAAGCCTTCACCGCCTCCTACATTGGCTATGAAAGGGTTATACTGACACTCCACAAAAATGCTGTTGTTTCACTACATTACGGAAGTTTGCCTACATTCAAGGAGCTGTCGCAGCACCAAACGAAAATAAGAAAAACGTAACTCGGCACGCTTGGGCTTTGCTTGTGAACAAGAGCCTTGACCTACACCCTCCCAACTTTGACATAATAATTTTTTTGCGATTCCTCACCCCCACATTCAAATAAGGGAGAAAGCAAACTCCCCCCATGACTGCACGGTAGAGAGAAAGAAAGTTCTAGGTGTGCAAGTAGCGGACAATGATGCGACAATTTAGACTTCCTACATTATACTGCGAGCTATCTGGAATGCAGTTTGTGCTGCATTGAAAAGAAAGACATTTCCTCAGAGGATTTTAATGCTTTCTTCCTGAAACATTCCAATGCACTTCCAAATAAATAGAATACAAAGTCAAGGTATGAGAAATGACATCAAAATTGGGCATACAAACAAAACTGAATCATTCATTTCGTCGTTTACCCTGAGACTGGGTTTTTTTTTGAAGAGCAGAAGTAACAGAAAAAACAGACAGGTCTCAAACTCAGGTACAAGTTTATTTCAACAAGCTCCTCTTATATAGTTCGTTCTCGTCGTCATCAACCAATCACATACGACTTGGATGAGGTTGTTGAAATAAACTTGTAGCTGAGTTTGAGACCTGTGTGTTTTTTCTGTTACTTCTGCTCTTCAAAAAAAAAAAAAAACAGTCTCAGGGTAAACGACGAAATGGTTGACTTCCACCAGCTAGCCTGTACTTTGACTGTTTTACTGAATCATCGTTTGCCTTACAAAACAATGTGAAAAACCCAACGCCGGGAAAGCACAAAAAAAAAAAAAAAAACAGAACCCATTTTCTTTTTTTGTTCTTTTCTACACCTTTTTACAGGCTAGCTTATGTTTCTAATGTTCCTCATTCTTTTAGTAAAATCGCTTTCTAAATGTAATTCTGTCATCCTCACTTTATAGTGAAGATAGTATCAAGCACATTTAAGCAAGAACAGTGCTTTTGCACTGGCACTAGGACATCTATAACACACTTATAAGCAGAACAATTACTATGAAATAGCACAGAGGCATTTTGTAAGAAAAGGGGAGACAATACTAACAGACGGTGGAGGGAGGCAAAAGGACTACGTTTTTCATGCATATAAGGTCCAACCATAGCAACAAATTCAGGTGCCCATCAAAAGCAACGTCTGCCTACCCCGAAGCAACAGCTGTTTCCACAGATGCAACAGAGCTTTCACCCACTGTGCTAGCACTCTGGCCGCTTCCTCATAAACCCATACAAAAACGCCAAATAATGGCAGCCTCCGACATATTCCACCTGCCCAAAAATTTTAGAGCTCACTGCTACACTAGAACTAGGTATATTCCCCGCACTACTGACTGATAGGTAAACACAGCACAATTATCCGAGAGTCCAGCTAAACAGAACACTTTTCATTGGTCTTTTATGCGTCATAAAGCTACGTACATACTATCCCCCTTGGTTTTGCGTCATTCTAAAACCACTGCTTCATTTTTTTATCACTTCCTTTGTTCAGTTTAGATTTGTCACTGCTCTAAGTGTGTCTCAACATATTCCACCAACCCTGTTTGAAAGTTCCATTGATTGTTATGGAAGAAATAATTGTCGAAAACTATGCACACCTAAGAAGTTAGCATTCAAGTGTTAGGTATTAATATTCTACCTAATATCAAACTACTCTATGAGCAGAGAAGAGTCGCAGCTATTTTACATTTATGTCAAGCATAACACAAGACTGGAGGCATAACTACGTAGTGCTATGTTGTTTCCAATCCTATCTAAATTTTGGCCCCATTTGCCATTTCCCAATTTAGAGTATGCACCGATTATAAGGCATATGGCGCTCACCTCATAGGTGAAGGTGATCTTCTGATGTAGAACAAGCTTGGTTTTCACTTCACTGGTCAGGTTAACATCCATGATGCGGTTGCCATTGTAGCCGATGTCAAACTTTTTGTGCGTCCACAAGTAAAAGCTGTTATCGGATTCGTCATGCTCCCCCACAATGCCTGGCGGAGGAGACGAAACACAATTAAACGTTAACGATAGAGAACAGTGAGGAGGCTAAAAAGAAAAAGTTTAAAACATCTGGAAGTGATGTGATCATTGTAAAGTAAGAAAAATATGCAATTTTTTAAAAATATTTTTATGATAGAAGAAGTTTTTATAGAACTTTGCAAAAAAAGATCACGAGAAAGCCTTGCTAAAACTATTCAGACAAAAAAAAAAAAAGAATCAGTATCTTTTATACTTGTGGACAGCTTTTTGCGGCTATGCAGTCAAAGCTATGGGTGCCTGGGTGCCCGGGATCCTCGAGCACCTATCAAAGCTGTGCACAAGCACTCTTTTCATCATCTGAAGTGCGATAGAAAGTTGTTGACAAGTTAGTGAGATTTATTTTACCCAAACCCCTTATAACAGACACATTAGTTTTTTTTTGTTTTTTTTTTTGCTTTTTAATGAGTGCAGTGGAAGCCAAGGGCTACAAATTGTGAAATTGCACATCATTTCACTATACTCGCTTCAGCATGCTTAGAAGCAAAGGGAAAAATAAAAGCAGTGCGACCGCGTTGAGGAAAATCAATTGGAAAATCTTTAAAAGTGTAGCCTGCATTTCACTAAGGCACAAATACTTCGATTTTGCACAGTGCTTTTGCTGAGAATCACTAATAATGAGCCCATGGTTGGAAACTGACGTCAGCTCACCCCAGATAGGCAGTCCATCAATATACATCTGGTACCAGTAGTGATTCCTAACAGCGTAAGTGAGATCCTGTAGGTTTCTCTCGTCCAAGGTGATTTCGCAGTACGGCATCTTCGCAACAGGTGCTGGGGATGCAACACAAATCACGCAAGACGAAACAAAGTGTGAACAGCTGGACAATTGGCTCTTGACAATTTGATGAGAGGGGGCGCCAAGTCCAAGGCGACAGACCTTTGAATAAGATGTCCAGGCCGCTGAACTCAAGTTCCACGCCCAAGAGCGCCTCCCCCAGAGTTTCATGGTAGTGGCTGATCGAGGGCTTGGTGCCGCTACAGAAGGGTAGCGAGAAATAGGCGTACGTCTCTTGCCGGTTGTGGTACGGCCCCACGGTGTTCATCCATAGCACAACCTCTTCGTTGTCTTTATACTGCGCAGCAGACACGGGTAGAAAACACAGCAGCGAAACGCGCGGTTAGTTGGGTCTCTGGTTGGGTTCGACCGCGGTACACACATATGATGCTGCTGCAACGATACTCGCGACCCTACCACCACGGGTAATCCTGCGATGATCGCAGTTTCTGCACACAGGGATCAATTAAAATACCCCCGTTGTGTACTGAACGTTGTCGATAGTAAAGGATCCGAGCCCTGCATTTTTATTTATATTTCTACGTGTCCGTTACACATTCTACGCCGGTGTTATTAAAAACTAAAAAGAATATGAGCAATATTAGGCTTACTCCGCCTTTTTTTGCCCTGCAGCGGCACGCATAGCCGGCGTAAAAAACGACATTAAACTAAGGACTCTTATTAAAAAGAAAACATACTCTCCTTCTGGCGCTTCCGCGTGAAGCCGTGATGAAAGTCACACGGGTGGTTTTATTCTTGTTCTTTAAAGACATCGAAACTCGTGAACCGGGTAAGTTCGCGCATGTAACTCAATCGCTGATCAAAGGCTACCTGGAGCAGAGATTTATTAAATTAAGGTACGGTATATTTAGAACGGAAACGTGTTGGCATCATCGCCAGCTTGCAGCACGACTCGTCGAGTACGTCGCGTTTGTTCACAGAATTCCGCGACGACAGTGAGGGTCGTACTCAACGACACGAAAGCTGTGCGCTGCGTCTAACGTGGCCGTTACGGTCGTACCTGGTGATCATGCTCGTCGCTCTCCGTGCGCTGGAAACACAGGAATAATAACACAGATACACATATGAAGCGTTTCATGACTGCTACTTCATACAGGCAGATTTCATGACTTCTTCACAGTACTCGTACACCCCAGCCACGTCAGCCCTAAATAGACGATTCGAAGAATGGCGCTAGTATCGCGTCGCGTTTAATCGCTTTTGCACCCGTTTGCAACACCATTCATACATATTATAAGCAATATGTAGCTTTTAAACATATCCTAACGAATATATAAAAATATGCGGATTATAGCGATATCAATAAATAAGTATCAATATCTATGGATTGGCCAGTCGCCGCAAGGAGCTCAAACCGAAACCAAATTTAACTGCTCCACTCCACCCACTGCGACAACCGGGCAGGCTCTATCTCTGTAACTCAGGCAAAAGGCCTTATTCCAGATGACAATATGCGCTAGTTTTGTGAACCAAAAGGACCGACAACAAAATTTGGGGTAAACTTAGCAAGATAAAATATACAGGCGAGCTGAATAGGAAACATCATTATCTAAGGCAAAAATAAAATAACGAACACTACGACACAAACACCTCACCTTAGTCACGTTTTTCATTAGTGCGATGGTACCAGTGGTGTAGCAACCGGGGGGGCCCTAGGCCCCGCAGGCGTCCCAGTCACGGGGGGGGGGGGGGGGGGGGGGGGTGCCACCCCTCGCAGCACCAAGCCTCCCCCCCCCCCCCCCCCCCCCCCCTACTGGTTGATTACGATCTCGGGGAGTGAAGAGGGGGGGAGGCGCTACGTAAGACGTAAGAGTCCCGGGTGCTACGGGTTTCCCCAGGAATTGAAATTGCGGGGGGGGGGGGGGGGGGCATTGAGAATAGAGGAGTCATTGCAAATTAAGGGGGTTCCTTCATAAAAAAAAAGGGAGGGGGGAGTGTAGGGAAATAACTGCTACGCCCCTGCCTGGAACATGCCCTGACCTTGGATTAGGTTGGAGCACACGTATATGAAGTTCGCAAGGCTGCCATGGGATGGCGCCACAGCCCAGGGTGACCACCTGTCCCGCGACCCGCGGGACTGTCCCGCATTGAGGGCTCGTGTTTCGCGTCCCGCAAGAAATACCAAAGTTTTCAGAATGTCCCGCATTTCACATTGTCGTAACATTCACTATGCAAATTATGGCGCTTCCGACGAACAACGGGGCACGGAGAAGGGCAGAGGTTGCTGGTAAGCATGTGAATCTCAATGCTACGACAATTTTTATTCAAGCACTGCAGGAAGCGACCGTCGTTCTTGCAGGAGACAGACGCACATCACCATTCTGCTTCTCCCCCTTGATGGAAAAATATTGCAAGCGAAAATTGCCCGCAAAAAGTTGAAAATAAAGTATTGGAATTATTATCACATCATACTGTCATGCATAATAGTTGTTATAAAAAGGTGTTCTTTTTTTTTGTGTTGTGAAGACACAAGGCAAAAAGCCTGCAACCCCCAACGGTCGAAAAAACAACATGGTTCTAATTTTGTGTAGGAGCATGTTATAGTCGGTTACAGGTCAAGAATGTTGGAGAATCTCCACCACAAGCGTGATGCGCCCGTTTCAAATCCATCTGCAGTCGAAAGAATATTTCATTGGTCACGCCCCTTGTTCCGCTTCAATGAATAAATATTGGCTAGAGTGATGCCAATTTGTCTCCGACCCCCCCCCCCCCCCCCCCCTTTATAAGAAGCGACCTTTGAATTCATCGGAGAGGGAATCGAGCCCCTGAAAGTGGCCTTTGTATCCATCGGAGGGGGAACCTAACCCCCCAAAGTTGTATTTGTTTCCATCGGAGGGGGAAAACTCTAATCTCCCTCTTGTGGCTTCCACAACGCAAATAAAGCCAATATTTACCTGAAGGCAAAACCCTCTCCCGCGTTGGCCACGTCGTCACAGAAACGATGGGACGCTATTGGGTGCGGAGGTGGTGGAGGGATATATGAATCCCTTTGAGGGGCACCTGCCGCTGCCTTCTTGACCTGTAACTTACTATAGTACAAGAGTAAGTATTGACAGGAAATAATACGCCAAGAAAAAATTACGTTTTCTTAGTTCCTTTTGGTACACTGGGGTCTGCTGCAGTAGATTTTTATGTTTTTAACTTGAACACCTTTAATAAAATATTAACTATTACAATTGCCGCAACACAATTTCACAATTGTAGAATATGCTTTCAGCGAGCACAGGATTTCAGGGAGTGTGTGTGAATGAATTTTCTTTCTTACTTTCTTCTTCAGTTGTGAAAATAACGTCCTCCTCTTCTTGCCGCCGCCGCCCCCCCCCCCCCACCTTCGGTCGGGGTGTCCCGCATTTAGACAGCAGGAAGGTGGTCACTTTACCACAGCCCCACTTGCTCGGGGAGCGACGCCGCAACATGACAGGCCTAGCAACAGATCGCCGGCGACGTCCCCTTTAGTCAATTTCAGCGCTGCTCAGTGGGGGATAGCGGGTGTATCACTGAAACGCGTGTTAAGCCCCCCCCCCCCCCACCCTCCTCAACATGTACAAACTCCAGAGTGGCCCATTTGAATAAAACCTTAAAGTGACACTGACAGGGCATTTATGCTCGCTAAGGTTTTTATTTGTACATGACATACGAGAGCTCGACTATCCAGAACCCAATTGGCAGCTTGAAATTCTTCTTTCCGCCCGAAAACCGCTGATCGAGTATTGGCCAGTTTGAGTAGCACTCTTTTCTCCATGGTCACGTGCCGTTTCCTATGGTTTAGACAAAACCACCAAATATAATCAAAGTCGTGGGTCATCGAGGGCACATATCAATATTAAAACTAAAAAATAAATACAATACCAATTTTTTGTGGCTTCTAAAAAGCCGTAAATATGTTGAAGAAAAAAGTTTTGCAGTCCTGTGACCTCTTCCAACTCTCCTCTACATTTATTCTTCCTCCCCAGTCCAGTTTCGGTTTCGAGCAGTTACTTTGTTTTATTATTTTCTCAAAATTATATGCGATGCTGTAGAAAAATATAGATTGGGTAGTTCCCCGACACCTAACAAAAACTTTCAGCCTTTCCACTCTGGTGAAGAAGGAAGACCAGCGAAGCTGTACAATGGTGGGAATGAACTAATGGCCGGCCGCAAGTCGGCAACCCAGAGTGGACAGGCCTCGACAGGTTGCCGCCACTGTCGCTCATAGATGGCGGTAGCTGTCCAGGGTTCTGTGTCATTTCTTTGCTGATGGACACAATCCTGGGGAAACTAACCCTTAACCACTCCACTGTAATAAAAAAAAAAAAAAAGGAATTGGAAAGGGGAGAGGGGGGGGGGGGGGGGTGTTAGTGTTTCTTTCAACCCATCGACAGCCATTCATCCAACCATCAAACAGTGACCCTCCACATTCCAAGGTATGCCTGCACCACATCCCTCTTACCCGACACCCAGGAAACTCCTGTTGCTGTTTTCCATGAAGTTTCAAATCAATGACACGCACACTGTACGACGCCAGCACTTTGACCATGTTTTATTTCAATTTGAAGAATCATCTACAACACCCACAATGAACAACTTTGAAATTTGACACACTTACAAGGCAAGAGCTAGGCTGCTTTTAGTTAAAAACAATTCTGCAAGAGATTTAAAAACAACCTTTTGCCAATGCAGCCATTGGGTTGCCAGGGCAAATACTTCACACAAACTTTTTTCCTCGCGTGCACATATGCAGCCTACAATACTGAATGCAAGTGACGACAGACGGAAGATACAAATGACTGTGCAGACTAAAAATAAACTACAAAGAAAAGGGCATACCATGACGATGAAGTTTATTTTTTTACAAAGAGACGGTCTCCCATTTCTTATTTGTTTTCTGAAGTTTCTATGTACATTAATACATTGTACAGAACATGCTTCATCTACAATACTCGCAAGCAAAAAAAAAAACAACATATCTACAGCACTGCATGGAGTGTGAGAGCAGCAAGGAAAAGAAACCATCCACATGTTTGTTGACCTCGTATTCTTCAAAGAGAGAAGCTGAACACCAGATGATGTGGTGCCCGATTGAATCGCACAAAAAGGCAACCCAAAAAGAAGCACGGCAGCAAAGCAAAGAACGATGAAAAAAAAATATTTTCAGATTCAGATAGATCTCTACCTCCATTTGTGTGCCGGTCTTCAATAGCTCTGGACTCTACACGCAACATAATGAACAAGCGGAGAAAGTGAAAAAATTGCCTCCCTAATCCGGAGAAACAAAGAAAAAAGTTCTGGTACATCCACGTACAAAAAGACAACTGTGTTTTGCAATGCGTGTTTGTTATGGGCCCCCCTTCTCCACAAGGCTGTGAAAAAAAACCGGGCTGCGACTTTGATAGCGCAGTGAACGTGGAGAGCAAAGCCAACACAGGCATCGCTTTCAGCGTTCCCAGGTTAGTGTTCCAAGAAGCTTCGATGATTTACTAGTATGAGTGGAATGCATTCTTTCGACATGACAAAGCGTACCATAAACATGGACATTTGTACATTCTCTTTCTCGTGTAGCTCCACACATGTAACCAAAGTTTCCCCAGGTGTCTCAGTTCTAGACTACAGGACTAAACCTTGGCAGGGTCCCATTTCTGACCCCGTGCTTTCGTGTGCCCTCACAAAAGGAGCAACCAGCTGCCAATTTCCTCCATCACCCGAAAACCATAAAACACTGCACCCAGCCTAAAGACGTAAGCAATGCGCCGCTTATCAAAGAATAACGAGACCGTGTCGACCAAAGTTTTCATCTTTGCTTTTTCTCGCAAGCTCGCACGAAGCCCGTTGATCAGCAGCAGAGTGATTTGATGCGCCAGCCCCAACGCTCATTACATGGTCCAGGCATCAATGCTTGGAAAGTAGTTTGGCATTCCATGCAATTTCAGCAAAAACCAATCCAAAATGCGGAAGAAAAAAAACAAAAACAAAAAAAAGATAGAGCACTGTAGTTTGAGATTGTAGCATAAAGTTGCAAACCAAGAGATGGCAGTTCTAGTGTAAGAGCAGACGGCATTCACACGCAGGTGCATTTCTGCCAACAAGGCTTAGCAGACGCCATCGACAAGACCTGCAAGAGCCAGCTTTTGAGACCGATGAAAGCCTTGGGCCATCCAGTCATTCAACAACCCTGTGACAAGCAAGGATTGACTTTGCTTATTGTTTTACTCTGGGCTTCTCGAAACAAGAAGAAAAGGGCTGGACGGTTGGGGGGAGCGAGTGTCCGCTCCTTTAGGAGAAAGGAACGCCACTAGACAGAGGCAGCCGGGAGAAGGTTGTGACACAAAACCGAGTGGCACCTCTCTCCGTTCCCTTAGGCTTAGGCAGTCCAAGTGCTTTCACACACGACATAGGGGTCTGCGGACATTGCAACCAATATCTTGTTGCCCAGTATTCACCCGCCACTGTGGAAAAAAACTCGAAGAGTGCTGGCGACAAAAATCGGAATGCACCAAGAAAGAAATTCACCCACCAAATGACTGTCTCGGAGGTTTTAAAACAGCTCTCCTATTTCCTTGTTTCACACCAGCTGCCGGCGATTCAACAAACCGCACGATTCAACAAACCGCATAGTAAAGTGCGAGCAGAAAAATTTGTATGGCAATTGCCTTGCACGATTGCAACCGTAGGGAGATATAAAAGACCCCAATATGGGCGAAAGCACAATCTTTATTTCACAATGTCGGTTTTTCAATAATTTATTCATTGTGGGTGATTCGGTTAGAAAACCGCCAAAGCCGCGGCCTCCTTAAAAAAGAGAAAAAAAAAGGAAAGCAAAAAAAAGAGAAAAGCTGTTGCAGGTTTCGGCACTGCCTGCCTGCTCAACAGTCCCGCCATCATGCCTGGCCTCTTGGTGTTTCATGCGTACGTACACCACACCGTACCTGGGCAGCCCTAAGACGGCAAACAACGAACACTCTCTCGGATAAAAGCTGCCGTCCTTCTGTCATTTGCCCCAATCTCCGCACAGACCCCGAAACCCTGTCCGAAGAGGCGTTGACTCCTTGCACCGAGCGCGACGACGGTGGTGGTGCACTTGCCAACCGCAAATCCATGCCTCGGTTTGAACGCTCGATCGAGCCGAGACCGCTTCGAACCCACTTGCCTCGTGTATGTGCATGTGGGAAGAAAGAAAGAAGGGAAAAACAAAAACTAAAAGGGGTCCTAAAAATTTACAGAAACACAACTTTTTGGAAAGGCCTCCGGCGTTCCGGCCGCTCTTTTTCCGGCTACGTCGCCGCAGTCTTCGCCGGGTAGGTTGTCCCTTAAAGACGGAGTGCTGGCCGCGTCGCAAGACACGAGACGACGAATGAGGATGAGGGGGCCGTGTAGGTGGGCGAGGGGGCCTCCTCCGGCTGCTACCTGCGCTGCTGCACAAAGCCGTTGCTCGGCAGGGCTAGCTCGAGCTGCGCGAGCAGGGGCAGGTGGTCGGAGGGCACGTGGGGGTGCGGGCAGCCCACCACTTTGTTCTCCTCCAGCCACTGCTGGTCCAGGGGTCCCAGCACCCCCAGCACCGAAAGGTGTTGCCGCGAGAAGAAGATGTAGTCGATGACGCCCTTGAAGTCGAACCTGGGCGGGGGGGAGAGGAGTCAATACAAGAGGTCGGAAAAATTGGCTACAAAGTTGGAGACTGTTACTGCACTCCGGCACGTTGAACCTCTACATGCTGTTATGGTGATTCAATCAGTGGCATAGAGGACAGGATGTGATGAACGAAACAGATAGGTGAATAAAGGACACGCCAACGTACAAAACCTGGCCACTGCACTTTCACCTTCCTCAATACAATCGTTTCTAACACGTTTACAGTTTGTGTCAGATTGTGCATGCAAAATAAGAGAGGAAAATGAGTGTACACGTGAAAAATTGTGTTACGCTTAATTTAAAATTTTAAAACCCCACCGAAAAAAGTGAAAATTGATGTTGGTTCAAGGAACCGATACCCTTTTTGAGACCTGCTAGATACGTAACAAGATCTTAGTGCTAGGTTTTTTTTACGTGACCTGCCAAGGGAGGCCAGGGGCACAAATTAGGAACGAGTGCTACGTCAGCACTCGTGTTCGATCGGCGAGGGCACCAAGTCCCAGCAGTGACGTAGTACTCGTGTCCAATCTGCTCCTCATGCCGACTTCCCGACGCAGCAAATATACAACTATGGCCTCGTTATCGAGGAGGTGTCACAGCCAATCTCCCCAGTTCTATTACCTCTCTCTCGCTCTCTCTCTAAGAGATGTCCACAGATAAGTAAGGAACCTTTCTTTCTCCTTCCTCAGACTTCCCTTTCTTCTTTCTGCTCTGTTGTGGGCACACAGCCGGTGTTTGAATTCTTTCTACACTCGCCAAAACTTGAGGGTCCTCACGTATAGTTGGTGTAGGGCATGACTCCGTCGGCGTACGCCTCTTTGATCTTGAACGGGTGGGTGTAGGTGCTTCCGACAAAGGAGTCCGACTCAATGCACATCTTGCGCAGGCAGTCCTTGTAGCCCAGCTCCTTGAAGTCCGGGTGGTCTGCCGACACGTGGCCCGTCTTGAGAAACTCGATCACGCCTGCACGCACCAAGGGACGGCGGAACAGTGTCAGAAAAGGTGCCACCCGCTTGGGCCATTCCCAGAGGGCCACGTGTCTATGAGACACCCACCCAGCTAGTAGACAAGGTCAAGAGAGACACAGCAGAGATACGAACTTGCGCCGCCATAAAATTCCAGGTAGGCATTCTTGTTGGTGTGAGTGTGCGCCCTTTGTTCCTCATGAACTTCAGAAATGGCTAAGGCATGCATAAATTAAATCCAAACAAGTATCCAGCCCAAGTGCTCTCACAACTCCCTCAAGAGTGATGTCTTGACAACCTGCACTCATAATTTGTGCTTGTTTTATTGTTTTTTTTTGTCAAATTTTTAATTTAAGAAAGAACATTTTTACATAGCAAGCAGATTCATTATGCCCCACGATTAGGATAGCTGCCACAGTTTTGTTGTTTACATGTCAAAGTTTATAAGAATAGCTATACTAAAATTAGCTTAGCTTAGAAGGGTACAAGTGGAAGGTTGAGAACAACCCTCAAGAGTTTGGCAGAATTTTTGTTTAAAAGAGTCATGAAACGATTTTTCTACTTTTGCTAAACACTACTTAGAGTCACTCCCTAATGTTAATAACTGAAGAAACTTGTCTTAGTTTTCTTTCCAGGCAATGGCAGTCGCCAAAAGAAATTAGAGAAATGTGAGCATCGTTCATACCCTCAACTCGAAGCAAGAACAAGCGGCCACGTGGCCTGGTGCCTACCCTATGCCACCAACGTTAATCATAGCCACGCGCTGGGGTCGGCAAAGTAGAAAACGCGTGATGAGCTCCAGGCATTGTTAGAGTTCGGCTATTCTCGTCACCGCAGTGGTTGGACACGCATTATTTATGTGCTGCACAAAGTCATTCTTACAAGGTTTGGCTTTTGAAGAAAGAAACAATGCTTTTGGCATTTTAGACATGTATGTCTTGACAAAATAACATAAATCTAACCTATCATGCACTTACATATATCTTAACACATAAAGGGCAACATTGGTAACATTTTGGTAGGATCCCGACTTTTTTAACTACGGTTCTTGGGGTGAATACAAGTAGAAAAAAAGCTGCTTTTAGACGTTTTCACGTTGACCGGTTTTGAGAAGTGCAATCAGCATTAAGGCCTCGCTTGAATTGCAACACCCTCTATAAAGACTACCTGAGTGTCTGACGAGGCATTGATTGTTACGAGCCGAAGTCGAGTGCTCACGCAGTTCTTGTGTCCAATCCATGAGCCGTGCTCGACTGTCGACAGGCGGGTGGTTTCAACCCCACAATTACGTCATCAAGCTTTGCGAAGGCAAGACTGAAAGAAATAATCCCTTTTTATCATTGCAATTTCACCGCGACAAAGAAGCTTCTGAATCAGTGGCGGTCTGAGCAGGTATACTTGGGCCAGACCAGCATCAGTACGTCTCTGCAAAGTCAAATCAGGAACTTTCTAACCTGATATAGTTTCATTACCCCTTTAAGCACGGTGCATGGTAGTGAGGCTTGGAAAAACTATTCGATTAGGAAATATTTGGGAAAACCACTATTCGCTTCGAACTCAAAATTCACTGTTTGCACACGACCATAACAAAAAGATAGAGGTACACCTAAGCACTTCTTATGAGTTGTGAATGCGAAAGCGTATACATCAATCTGGCTCTACGCGTGTTGGCGCGCTGACTGGCGCTGACTAGAGTTCCTGTATAGGCTCCCTATGGAAGCCAAAGTTGTGTGTTTGTTTTCCACGTGCCACCGTGACGCTATTCGCCGAGATCCGATTAACTGAGGAGACGGATCAAATGCCGTGCAGAAAAGTAGACGTTGCGCGCTCCGGCGTACGTTCCCCTGCTTTTGAGTGCGCTGTGCGCCTCGATTGAGCGGCGCCGCTATTCGCCGAATTGAGTCTCGTGAGGAGCAGACTTGACATGCCGTGCAGCAAAGACAGCACTACAGGGATGAACGCAGAACTAACTCTAGCATTGACAGACACGCAGCGCCACGAGGTGGCCGGTCGTTGAAACTGACGCCCAGCGTCGGTTTCAACGACCGGCCGCCTCATGCCCCTGCGTGTCCAACGAATGGAAACCTGGTCGACACGCAATAGCCAATGGGATCGCAGCGGTGTAAAAGGTGCCGTTAGCTGTGGACGCGCACTAGTCAATGGGATCGAAGTGGTGTAAAAAAGCCGTTTGGCGTGGTTTCAAAGCTGATAACATCGGCTCGCTCCTTGAGACAGCTAATGCTTTTGCATTAACATATTGTAGTCAAACAGTGCTGAGTGAAAGGGCCTTAGCAAAGCCCAAAGTGGCAACAAACGACGTCACAAAATTCGGAGTGTTGTGCTGTCGAATGTTGCAATCCTGGCAACTGGGCGTACAAGTTCAGGAGAAAAAATAGTTGCCAGAGAATGCGAGTGTTGCTGTAGTTGCAACGTTTCGACCCCTGGCCGCCGAAACTTCCGCGGACTGTCTAGTCGGAGAACGAACTGCAGCAGCATAGGCGCCTGCCAGATTTACCCCCGCCGCCACGACACCACCACCAGGATCGCAGCCAGCAATGACATGACGGTTTTAGGATGTCGTTCGACGGAAATCGAGGGTAAACATTTTAGGGCTCAGCAAACGAACCAGTGGGAGATGCATTCTAGGCAGAGTAATAAAACCGAGCCTCCAGGAGCGCTCTGGGAAAGGGAAGGCCACTGACCGGAGTCCGGAAGGGAGTTCATGTCTCCGCAGAGCAGCAGGGGCACGCTGCCCGTGTCGGGGTTGCCCCTGCGGTGGGGTGCCGAGCGGAGCACCTGCACGGCCTCCTCGACGATGGAGCGCAGCTCCCGCATCAGCATCATGGTCTGGATGAGCTTCACGTCGCAGTACTCCGGGTCCCAGTGGATGTGGGCCGTGCACACCAGCAAAGGAGCCTGCTGCTGCAGCAGGCCTTTGCCCTCCAGGTTCGCTGTGACCGCGGGAAAAAGACGACACTGATCTTATGGCCGCGAGTTTCGACGGTGGTACTGTTAAAATCACATACAGCAGTGAGGCTTGTTTTTCTTTGTGAATGTGTTCCGACCCTGTGTGCGGCAACCCAGACCACTCCCAGGGAGGGACGGCATGCCCAAACCACTCCAACGGGGGCCAGCCAGGGTGTTTATAGCCAAACCGCACGAACTGGCAAGGAGGGGTGCTCAGACAGAAGAGGACGATGATCGGTTGCTGAGCGCCTGCTGCCGCAGGGCCTCGACCTCCCCCGCGCCCTGGGTGTCACCCGGGACAGTGAAAAAGTACACTCAGCTTCCAGGCACTGATAGAAGACTTTCATGTCTGAAACCTTTCAATGTACTCTTTGTCATTGTTTTAACCTTATCTAACCATAATAAAGCCTTTATTTTATTCGTTACTTTAAAACGGTGACTTCTTGGACTATCCAGTTAACAGTACGTCATTGGTCCCGGCGCGGAAGATGTAAATTTCCCCCATTCAATTTTGATCTAGCCCTTTATGTTCTAGCCTTAGACTGGTAGGTAAAAGTGCCACTAACCCCACATCCTCGACTGTGTCAAATTTGGAACCTCACATTAACATACCGTATTGGCACAAATATAACGAGTTTTTTTTTCGAAATTCACACCCCGTGTTAAGCAGGGAACACATGAGCGATGAAAACAGGCACCACGCGGCGCTATCATAGCAATTGGTGCTGGCGTCCCTACGTCACTTCAGCGCATTGCGGCATTGCTCGGATCTGGCCGATACAGATAAAGCTGCACGGTGCAACTGTGGCGCACCTAGCGGACTACATTGAAAGCCCTACAATACGCGTCGATTCCAAATTATATGGTTATAACTTGTTTCAAAGCGTGCCCGATATGTACACATTCGGATAAGACTCCTCTTTTTCTCCGCAAGCAAAGCCATCGCTTGCAAATCGCCGACAAGCACCCTTCGTCGACCCCTTCACTCGAAAGTCCCAAAAAGGGCGTGCCGCAAACTTTGAACATGCTTTTAACGAAGAAATAAGCTACGCACGGTCGTGATTTCAGGTTTGTTGGGAAGCTTAGAGTGTCTAGATTGAGTTGTCACCACAAAAGGACAATCCCAAAATCGACTTCAGTGGCCCCTGAAAAGGGAAACACAATAGCGTCATCGGACCCCGTTCGCATGGCCTTCTCACTCTCTTCTCATGCTCTACCTTCTAGTGAGCAGGAAGTGCGAAGGACATGGCCTAATCAAAAGCTTGTCTGGCTAGCAGCCGAAGGGTCACGAGTTTGAATCCTGCCTAAAATTCTTAAAATGTTTCTTCTCCGAGCAAGTGTAACGGGTGACATCAGCAACGTTTCCTCTCGGTGCTCAGCGGAGTCCACGTGACTGGCGCAACGCACCTGCGCTGTGCGCTTCTTGAAAACTGTCCGGTTGCCCCGCCGTACCGCTGTTTCCCGCGTCACAACTGCAGTCGTCGCCTCACCATTTGTGATTATTGTTTCTCGGAGTCTCGTCCACACTACAGACACTGCATGCACAGGCTTATGCCGTAGTTGTGCAGACGTCATTGAATGTCGTAGACATCAAAACATGGTGAAGAGTGCAGTGCAGACGACACTTGCGCCTGCCCCAATCCCACCCGTCATTGCGAAGAAGATCACGTGACATCTCATACCATGTGATGGCTTGAGGCCAATGTTGCCGGTCAGAGCTGAAGTTTGTGGGGGCGAGGGTCTGCAAACACTCCTAGGGGCCGCTACCGACCGCCCAAAAAGGACACAGTCCGAAGCGCACAACAGTGCATCAAGAATAGGCGCGAGAGCCTATAAAAGGAGGACACGCCCACAGAATGGGGGGAAATGAACTGAGGTCACGGAGGCGTGTAGGTCGAACGCTACGGAATTGTTATACTTTAAATACTAACAAACCTTTCCCGTTGCTCTAATAAATGTAGTTTCTTGTTATGAAAACCCCGGCTTCGTGTTGTTCCTCCCGGATGGGCATGCAACAAGGCAACCCTACCACAAGTTTCGGTTTCGATTTCACGACGTAGTGTCTTTTACTTCGGCTTTTTAGTGTGAAATCACTCATTATCCTGTCTTTTACTATGGCTTTTTAGTGCGAAATCCCTCATTATCCCACAATCTCTGGAATCGAGCAAGTTGCTTTTTAACCAAAAAGCCGCTTCTCCAAGCACCCCTGTGAGATGCTTTTTAGTCTTACGGCGATTGTGCAAGAAGGCACGAGGTGTCACTGAGTGGCTTTAGTGAGAACAAGTTCACACTTTCCGTGCTTCTTATTCCATACTTCTTTTTGGGATGTCTTTCTCAACATTTTAGCTAAGTAAGAATTGTTCCTGTTCAAAAGCCAGAAAAAATGCCCGTCACAAAAGCATTATGATACTAAATTGCAGAATTGTTCTGGAAACCAGCAAAGCTGATCTTGAGAGGCGATTTGTGCACGCGAGACAATGGTACAGGTGCTGGTACCGTTGTCGAGTGCCCCGTCCTTGATCTGCAATAGGGCAGCCAAGCCGATGTTGTCCTTGGTCATGACCCTGTTGAGCATGTCGTCCGAGCCTTCGGCATTGGCCATGGCCAGTTGGTTGAACTCCACCAGATGCTCCTTTAGCAGGATGAACCTGAGCAAATTGTGCAAAACAGTCAAGTGGTAGCGGCGTGCAAGCGTACAAATGGCCAAATATCACCATTACAAGTTGACCTCTGCATTTTCCTCTTTCCTGACTGTGCCCACAGAGCGTCACTCACCCGCGATAGATCGGAACGGGGCCCACTTTAAAAGCTTAGCAGAGCTTCCCAGAGATTCTTGTATCACTCAGACCCCCCCCCCCCCCCCTCTGAGCGAGTCGACAGAAATTTAAGGTTACAAGTAGCGTTATGAAAACATTTGTCAATTATTGGTATTCTGCTAGCCTGTAATTGAGCACTGCATTCAAAGACTGCTCACTTTTCATCGATCTCCACTAAAAAAACTTACAAGTAAGCTTTTTTCTGTTTGTTTCCAAACAAGAACATGCTTTCTTAAGCAAAAAAAAAGTCGGGCAATTTAGAGCTTAGATTTCAGTTCCAGCATAGCAAGCACTTTCCGCGGTGTTGAATGGTGGTGGCAGTGGGATTTTCTAGACAAGAAAAGAAAATTAAAGATGGTAATATTTTTAGTGAGCATTGCAGATAAGGAAGTGTGAGCAATTGATTGTGCAGAAAAGCCAAAGGCGCTTACGTTAATGAGAGACCCTTTCAGTGCGATGACGTGTTACCGCAGACATGGCGCGGCTAATCCAGAGTGGATCATGATTTAGCAGTGTTGTAAGCATTACCAAAAAGAAGCAACAAAATACGTTACTCGTTACTTGCAAAAAATAAAAAAGGAACACACTACCGTCTCACATTACCTCAAAATAAATGGAACAAGTTACCATTACCGTTATGAATGAAAAATAATGCACATCACTTTTGCATTATTTTCTCAATTATAAACACATTTTACTGTTTTGACGTTACAGGTATGCATAAGCGCCATACTTGTAAAAATTTAATATTCATGCAGAAACTGAACATAATTACTTTATCTTTTTTACAGTTTCACCTATATACTCACCAAAAAAAAAACAAAAAAAACCCGAAAAACTTGGTGCCTAAAACGTGGAAAAAGTTGAAGTGTAATCTTTTTAAGTTTTGAGAAGAAAAAAAAAAGTAACGTAAGTCGGTTACTTATTACTCGAAGTAAGTAACATGAGCATGTTACCCGTTACTGTTTGTAAAAGACAACGAGTATGTTACACTTTACCCAAAAAAAAAAAGTAACGCATTACCGGTAACGCCGTTACCTGCAACGCGTTACCACCAACACTAAATTACTACCACAATATGGCGACGGAAACATTAGGTTGAAAAGTCTCTAATCGTGGTTGCTAGACTATCGGTATGTTCAAAAGAACGCCAAGCTCTCCCAGTATACACGACTCTGGAACTTTCGGGCTCACTGCACTATCTTGTAGGTAGTTTGAAAAAAAAAAACGTATTTGATTTCTGTGGTTCTCTTTCCACGTGGCCAAAAATTTTTAAGCCAAGCGTCGCTGCTGACAGCCCTGGCCGCTTGCACAGGTCTGGCATGTGCTCGCAAGCGTAGCAATTCTTGTGAATCCTCCGTCGATTTTTTCGACTTGGATTGCAATGGTGGGTCTGATGATAAAGCCAGATTGCTACATTTTAGCTCTGATGACAAGTGCTTCACCACAGTGAGAGACCATCTTTGCCTACTAACATGTCAGCTATGATGGTCTAGTTGAGCTTTGGTAACTCAACTTTTCTGAGCTATAACTGGTTTTTGCAGAGCTTTTAATTATCAAAGTGAAGAACATTTGATTTATTTCAGATTTTGTTTGAAATTTCTTTTTAGATATAGACATGTTTTCACCAGGTTTGGTCAAAATTCCGGGGAAAAAAATGTTTGACAAATTAAATTTTGTCTTAGAAATAAAGTCTCTGTTATGATGTTAGCATCGTTCAGAAACACATTTATTTTAGCTTTATTTCTATGTAGGAATTTTATTGTGAACCTAATAGTTTCTCCTGGAAAAAAAAAAGAAGTAACAAAATGCCACACAAAATAGCTATTTTTGTCATGGCCAAAAATAATTAAAATGGTAAGATGGCATTTGGAGGCCCAGACGCAACGTGCCAATTTGTACCGACCCCTTCTTGCCAGATTGCTGTGAACAAGATGAGTTTGTTCGTCAACATTGATTCTGATGTCAATTCGTCAACTGATGGATCGACTGCAGAGACCATCAAAACTGAAACGACTGAGGGCCCAAGAAACAAAATGGGTGAGGCAGGGCTCATCTGTCGCCCTAAGCTTCCGTGACTATGGGAGATAAACAGCTTGTGGATGAATTTCTCTTCATTCCTGCTATCACATGTGATGTCACCGGTACAAGTGGCTTATGTATGAGTCATTTAATGATCAACTTGAAGAGCAAGGAATCGCCTGTTTGAATTGGAAACTAGTCTGCACCATCTGAAAAACCTCTGTTATGCATCTGAAATAGTGTCATGGAAATATTTAAATTTACGAATAGTACTTTCAATTAGTATGCTCTTCGATATTCATTTCAAGGTGAACTGCGATATTCATATTATTTTAAGTGTTGATCGCGGCAGGTTAGCCCTGCTGAGCGCACTTCTTGCCGAGCACAGGTGCACTGCAGAGAAGCATAAACCATAGAGCCTGCTTCCGCAGGTGTTGTTTCTCCACAGTGTACCAGAGCTCGGTAAGAAGCGCACTCAAAGGGGCTAAAACGCCGCGATCGACCCTTCAAATAATACAAATATTGTTGCCGCGCACTAAGGAGGAAAGCACACTTTCAAAGCGGGATGGTGCTTGCACACACCTGGTATATTTAGAAAGAAACAGATACTATCTAAATGTTGATACCTACATTGCAGTAAAATTTTCATAATTAAACTGGCCATTATGCGTGAATATGTGTTAGGCAGAGATGCCGAGAAATCCACATTAATCATTCATGACTAAAGAAAAGATTTGTGTATAGCATGGGCATCTCTATAAGGTTAATTTTATGTCAAATGCGTTCACTCGCCATCGCAATGTAGGCATTGGACTTTCTAAAGCCACAATAGAATAATATATATAAATTAATATTGGTTTAAAAAAAGACAAGTGGAAGCTTGGGAACAACCTTCACGAGCTCAGCTGGGTTTTTGTCTAAGCACGATGCAGTAGTGAAAGGCTTAGAGAAAATATTCAATATTCAATTCTAAAATATTAAATATTCAATTTTAAAATATTTGGCCAAAATTACTATTCGCTTCAAACTCAAAATCCACTATTCGCATAAGCCTAATCTAAAACCTAAAAAAAAAAAAAAAAATCACATCAATGTTTTTTTTTTAACTTTGAGGCCAAACAAGATGTGTACTCTTTTTCAACTTGGAAACACAAGTGATGCCTTCATATCTTGCTCAGGAAACTTGTAAGCACAAAAAAGAGGCAGACACGAAGGAGGGAACACAAACAAGTGCTTAGTGTTCGTCGCTGTTTTAAGAGCAGAAGTTTCCTCAGCACCATGCATCACTAGCCCAACAGCAAGTCTAGTTAAACTTTAATATATGTCCTTTGTGACCACAGAACCAGCCTTTTTTCCGGATAAAAGGTAGTCGGTTCCAGATTCTTAAAGTCTGTAAAAGACGTCAACAGCCAGAAAGTTTCGTAAAATAGCTCACTTGTTTGTACGATAGAAAATGGCGCAGCCGTCGACGTGTTTCCGATCACCCTCGGACATGGTCTTGGCCCTAGACTTTGGGGAGAAGATACCATCATAGCCGTCCCTTTTCAGCTCCGGAAGAAAGAATCCATGGAATTGTTCTGTTTCCACTTCCTGCAAAAAACAAAGAAAAAAAGTTGAAAGAACAACCTTGTTGGTGAAAGGACACGTCCTATCCTACTACTACTACAACACTCTGCTGGATTTTAATATGCAACAACGTAGCAGTGTGATAACAATAGCAGACTGTTGAACAGCATGCACTACACCAGCAAAGAAGTCCACCCAAAAAATGACAAAAGGCTTCAAGATAGTATTGGATTATATTGTTTATAAAATCTAACAACTGCTATGACTTACTATAGGCTGAAAGCCTCTACTAAATATACCAGCTACATATTACCTTGAAAGATAAGTAAATTTTAACAAAGTCTAATTTTTGTATTAATGATTACACTATAATGCTACAATGCCCGTCAAAGTCGACTTTATCTAAAAGGAAAGTATCTATCTCAAGTTGCTTTTTTTTTCAGGGAAAACATTTTCGAGTTTAAAAAGAAAACAACCCACATATGTAAAGAGCATGATACTATTTACACAAACAAGCAGTTGCCAGTATTTTCTATTTTTTTTTCTTAGAATTGAAAGACTCATCAATTCTTCTATTTGGTATGCTGTAAAATGTTCGTTTCGGGAACCAACCCTAGCAGTAAAATTTGGTGCTGCTCAATACTTGTCTAAGTAAAATGTGACAGAGCACCAATGTCGTGTCCGTTCTGTCTTGCACAGAGTACATTGCAAGACAAACTATACGGTGAATGGGCCACAACAAAACTTCACAGTCACAAAATCCCTATGTTTGCCACGCAAAAGAGGGGAAGTTCTGCACATTATTTTAGCGCTGCACAAAGCAGTTCTAACAAGATTTGGTTTTTGAAGAAGGAAACAATGCTCTTGGTATTTGAAACATGCAAGTCTCAAGAAAATAGCAAAGCAACTCTACGATGCACTCAACACACAAAGGGCGACACTAGTAACATTTCGATAGGATCCCGACTTTTTTACTATGGTTCTTGAGGTGAATATGAGTATAGAAAAAGCTGCTCTCACATATTTTCTTAGGGACTGCTTTTGAGAAGTGCAACAGCAATAAAGCCTCGCTCGAGTCGCGAAACCCTCTACAAAGAAAGAAGCAGCAGCCTGGCCCACCTGGAGTGAGATGATGTCTGCCGAGTAGTGCCGGATTTCGTCCATGATCCCTTTCCTCCTGTATTCCCAGCTGAGTGCCCACGAGGGACAGTAACCATACACTTGTCTCGTAGCATACTTGTCACACAACACATTGTAGCACATCACAGTGAACACGGCTGCAAGGCAAGAAGAGACAGCGAGGCAGCAGTGTCAGCAGACTACTTCCCACAAAAAACATTGGGGACGTACAGCACCTCGAAGGGCCATATTAATCTAAAAAGCCATTAATCCTGAGAGATAGCCCAGTCTTCGAAAGATAGCCTAACCATAAATTCACGCTGCCAGAGTTTAGACAATTTGTACAAGAGAACAGGCTTTGACAGCAATAGTAAGAGCTCCTTGGACAACTTAGGAGAGAAGTAAAAGAGTGCTCCTTCTGTCTTCCAAATAATATGATGGTTCCAGTGTGGTCTAGGGCTACTGATGTAGGCATCGGCAGGCGAGGAACCAGACGAGCAGCATTCCTTCCACCTTCTGCGAGTCATACACGGAAAGATAATCTACCCTCTTTTTTCGGGATGTTCCGGTATTCCCTGCAGATTACTTTGGGCAGAATCCCTTTTATTTTGTTTGAGCACCTGTCACCATTGCCGCCATTTACATAAAATGCACAAAACCAACAAATGTGAAAAGAAACGGCTTTGCATTTACCAAAGGGATTCCAAAGGGTATTACATGCTAAATTAGAAGCATGGTACAGCCTGTGTCCCTGGTGGAAAAGTGGTTAGGGGCAAGTCAAATAATCTGGTGACATCAGTTTCATTGGGACTGAAGATGTAATGCAATGAATGCCAAATGCAACGGATAGATCAGCTGACATGTAGTGTATGTTCAACAGCTTCAGACGAATCAAACTACTGAATGAGCCCAGAGAAGTTTGTTTGGCGACCCCTTACGGCAAGCCGGAGTGACGTCACGCCGAAGACAAAATGCTTCCCTCGCTCGCCCTGCGGAGGTTGTGACAATGTTAGTTGTAAACACATTCCTTTCTATTTCCTTTTTGTGTGTGTGTTTGTTGCAGGAAATGAGGATTTTCATATGTGGCTTTATTGAGGTATGGCCCGTAGCTGCAAGTGAAACTTCAACCAACATTTCAGGCATGGTTGACAGGGCAGGCAGCGCATGAATCACAGCTGGTATATAAAAAGGAAGAATTGCAGCCACAATTGCAGGAGCATCACAATATATTTACATCTCACACAACCAATGCTGCTGATGGTCCAAATGAATTAACAGGTTATGTATGCTATTTTTTTTTTGCTTTTAAACAAAAACTTATCAGGAGAAAAGCTGCATACTGCTCGAGCAACATGTTAAATTTCGGGCCATGGAGAGAGAATCGCACGTGAAACTGCCCATAGGCCTTTGATATAAGTTAAATTTGTATGCCCGCAAAGTGGGGTGTAATGTTCCCTTAACTCATGAACATGCAAGGAACAGAATTTCAGCGTCTTAAACACTTACGCCGCCACATCGCCGACCGCTCGCTTGATCAACTTGTGTCGTGTGGACTAGTGTGGACGGGCGGAAGCACCATGCAGATTTTTTTCAGTAGCGCACCAGTCACCAAGCTTTGTATGGAAGTTCATTGACAGAATTGCCTCAGCCGATAGCTTTCGGTACTTTTTTGTAACCCAATTATAAAGGCAAACGTGACAAGCACATTTATAAAAGATACAGAAAGGCCGTCGGAATAGGTCTCTCCCAGCATCTTGTAGAGTGGGTAAACAAAGTCCCACTCCTCAAAGTGCTTACGGCACACAACAGCCGACAATGACGGTGCCTTTCCTATTCTTAGTTTGATTGTTCATGTTTTCCTTAACCTCGACATCCTCGGGCAGGGAAAGACGATACCGGGTTCTTTTAAGATTCGCATTGAAGCACTGAACAGTAGGTCAGCATGATCACAAACCCTACGGTCATGAGGAAAAGGGTGCAGAGAAGCGAACTGGATGCGAGAACTCAAAGTGGAGTCCTTCGCCTGACATCAACGTACACCTCACCCAATCAAAATGCGGCGACCGCAGCGATGCTTGTGTTCGCTCTCGGGGCTAATAGAGAATAAAATGCTTTAAAAATTCCTATACATACATTTCCATCCATCTAACTCTTAGTGCCAGGGAAACAGGTCACCTTTAGGGCCAACCCAGACAGCACTAACAATAAAGGCATCTCCTGTAAGGTACATTTCCTCGAAGTTACCGACCAGTTCAAGTTCAAGTTTGTTTAACCCAAATAAATTGGCAAAGAATGCATTACATGAGGGGAGAGGGGTAAAGACAGCAAACAAAAAATCCCCAAAATGCTATAGAAACACACTAATCATAAAAAGGAATCCACAAAGTGATTGTGAGCGCCTTGATCGCTCCAATTAGCGTGGAAACTAACGCATATGATCAAAAAATCCAGAAAAAATGAGGCCCTTAGGGTGGACAGTAATATACCAAGTGTTTCAACAAAGGCTTTCAGAAATCCCTAAAATATTGGTGGTAGAAAAAAAAAGTATTTCCAGGGACAAATCGCCACCCACAACAAACGTCAAAGGTTGCAAAAAAACAAAAAAAAATTAGCTAAATAATTACCTAAAATTTACTAATAAACTCTGTGATTAGTCAAATAAACATATGGTTCCAATTAGAAACTTGATAAGCATAATCAAAAACCGTTATATAAACTCATTTTAAAAATACAAGCTGCCCGGGACCGCCTCTTTCTAAAATGAGATAATATAATAATTTTACGGCGTTAAAAAAAAAATATATATATATATATATATATTTGGGTGCATTTCTAGGTTTCGTTTTCTTTATCGGAGTGCATCTTCGCGCCCGCCGTCAGGCTCTCCGGTAACTGAGACACGTAACACCAACTGTGCCATACTTCTCTCCATCCTACGAGAGCTTCGCGCCTCGGCCACCGGGGAGCAGGACCAATGAGAAACCGAAACCTAGAAATGCGTCCAACCAAAAAGATTTTTTTTTTTTTCAGAACGTTGTAAAGTGTTTTTGTTTTGTTTTTTGCCTTGCAAGTGCAATCCACTTCTCATTATCGTTATAAGTGGATTGCACTTATCTAAGATTCCATGTTTTCAGTTTTTTTTTTTGTGAAAATCGGAGGGTGTTGATTGGATTTCATCTTTCGATAGAAATTCTGGGTTTATCGGAGTTGATTTTTTTTTCTTCAATCCTTTATTTTCACTTTGTCCTTTTTTTTTTAAAGATAACTATAATGTATGGACTAAAACACGCTAAATTCACGAAAAACTCATCAGTATAGAAAGATATTTCTGCAGTTGCATATGGCACTGGCACCTTTACGATTAGCAGTACTAACTGTACCACGAGAAATCTTGAAAACAAGCGTTACTTTAATAAACGTCGATATTTTGAAATTTCCAAACTCCTGGACGCATGAAAACCAGAAATACATCGTCCTATATTGCACTGAACAAACCTTGACGAGATAAACGGGAAACTCCCCTTTGTCAATCGCCCCCCTCCCCTCCAAAAAAAAATAGTGAATTGGCTTTTTTTTTAAGGACCACTTCCCCTGTGCTCTGAAAAACTTCAATTCGTAAAACATCGCCTTTTTTTTACCTTTTATTTTGCCATCGTGATCTCGAAATTCAGAATTTTACGGATAAATCCGAATTGTCGAAAATTTCGCCGGCGAGTGTCCTTCGGAATTTATTGAATTTATTCAGAAACACGGAACATACCTACTTAAATCTTTCTAAATGAGTTGATTTAGTGGTTTCAATGAGTGGTTGATTTAGTGGTTTTCAACATATTCACGAGCCTACGCAAACAACCTCAAGGCCACCCGAGGATGCAGGAGCGTCTAATGGACGCTGCTTCCTGATCGGCGAAGCCGAACCGGACCAGAAATAAATACGCTTCATGCCCTTCATTAGGCATGCCGAAGTCAGGAAGCGTTAAGAACTTACTCGACGGGTGCGATCGTGTTGGGTGGGCGACTTGTACCCAGGGCCTCTGGGGTGGTTGAGATGCAGTGACTGCAAAAACAAAGCGGAACCTTAAGTCAGACTACACTTTGAAAGAGCAAGCAACGCTTAGATAAGAAAGGAAGCCACTGGAATGAAATGCTTTGAAGACCACCGATGAAGTGCACGACGAAGTGTTGAGTTAAGATCGGCTAAATTTGAGCCGAGCTTGTTGGTTCATTACCTTGCGAGTGGGGTCGGCTTGAACGTGTACACAAACACACGCAAGGAAGAAGTGAAGTGGCGTCTATGTCCACCTTTTCCTCGCGTGCACTCGTGTTCGTGTTCCAACCGAAGTTCATCCGCAAAAATTGACAACGCTTTTAAGTAGTGACTAATGTTCATCAAAGAGACTCGATTAAGAAGGTGAGTGAGCGGAATATTATTCACCGCTCCAGACGGGATGACTCTATACTTGCTGTCACCCCAAGAAAAAAAAGCAAGTATGGCAAGTAAGCCATAGTTCTGGCATCAAATTTTACAGATTTTAGATACACATACAGATGTCCTAATTCACCGCATAAAATAGAGAACTAGCAACGCTCCGCAACTAGCTGACCTTTATTTCTGAGAGTTTTTGAAGGGAAAACAAACTCCGCAGCTAATGAATAAGCACCAACCACACAAATACCTTTGCTCCACTAGATACAGACCAAAAACATTACAATTATGCGCGCAAGTTTCTTCACCCTGAACAACAAACGCTAGATCCACGAAGTAAGTCCCCGAGTGCTTACTTTCACGCAAGTCATTGTTATGTAGCGCAAAACACTAGGAGCCTCACGTGCATAAGACCAAAGGTGAGATAGACACAGCATAGCTCATACACACCTATACCTGGCATACACAAACTATTGCCATTTAAATTAGGACAAGCAACTCCCGACTGTCACGAGATTGTGCCAGGTCGTTTGGAAATGATCCAACGACCATGGAGTGCAGCCCAAGCACAAAACAACCTGCCGAGCCAGTGACAGAGAAGCAGGGTGGTATATGACCGTCACTGACCGTCCGACATAGGCTCATGATACGTGGTATACTGTCACACTGCTCCTTTAACACCAAGAATAAACACGCCTCAGTCCGCAGACTGCCTTTTGTATGACGTATTAGCTTTGCGGCCTAACATTACAGTAGAACCACACATTTGAGCCCAAGTCAAGGAGGAAAGTTGTCTCCAAACAGGAACGAATCGCTGACGCGCGCAACCTTCGAGGCCACCGTCGCTCCCTCCCTCGTCAGAAAACGTCGTCCTTCGGCACCGACCGGGGGCGAGTTGGCGGCCCATCCAGTCTCTGGTCATTTGCGGGGCTGGCCAGACTACCCAACACAATTTAGACCTCATCTGCGCCACCCAACGACCATCCGCTTGGGCAACCCCCGGACGCGCTCGGTATTACCAGCCGACAATTACCAGAACCACTTCTGGGAAGGCATACCCCTTTGCTCCCCTCTCACACGGCAAAACTAAACCTAGCCGTACCCTAAGTGGCACAGGATGTACCAGCAGATAGCCCTTAGTCCCAGCACCTCCGGAAAATAAAATAAAACGAGCAGCGGCAAACGAGCGAGCCCTCCAATGACGCCACCAAAACGAAAGCAGCGCCCAAATCACAAGGCAGCGCGCGCCGTAACTCCAGGCATGCCTCCCCTCCTCCAACAGTTCCGGCGGCTGGATGCCAGGCATGGGAAGAAGCCGGTGCATCGTCGCGGTCCATTCAAGCATGCAGCCCCCCCACCAGCCGTGGCAGCGGGTATAAAGTTGCTCGCGTAATGATGCAAGGTCTCTCTTCTTCCCAACGGCAGCCTTGGCCTTGAAAGACGAGCGCCAAGGTCAAGGCGGCATCTCTGGTTTCGCGTCGCAGCAACCCTTTCCTCGGCTTGCCGGGCGTGCGTGAGGGAAGCCCATCTGCGCGTACTGGTGGAACAACCGTTTAATTAATGCTAATTGGAGACGGTTCGCCGAAGACGCGCACTCGCACGGCGCCCCCCGGGGGCGCACGCGCGGTGCCGGCGGCCTCCGCCGAACGGATACCACCTACAAGACGAGGCCCGAGCCATTTCCACGCAAACGTCGGCACTTGTGGATTCCCGCAGCACACCCTAGCTTGTGTCAGCGTCGCCACCAGCGCGCCTCGCAACGTTTCACGACATGCGCGACGCTGGCACGCGGAGAAGACAAGCGACGCCAAGCGTCGCGTCGACAAGGGGCGATCCGTCGCAAGGCGCGTCTCGGCGAAGTTCAGCGCGTTTGGCGCTTGGGGCGGGTCGGGGAGCCACGAACGATGACGTCACGTGCAGGCCTTGCATTCTACGTGGTATTGGTTGATCGTTCGGCAACGGGAACCCTCTCTCGGGTTTCTCAATGCGCGTGCCCTCAATGCCCGTAAACAAAGAAAAAAAAAAATAAAATAAATAAACTAACAGTAAACGGAACGGAAAAGAAAATAGTGATTTCTCAGAACCACCACCTTGGTCGTAGAAGCATTCCCGAGCACTAACGCAAAAATAAGTTGGGCTGAGGCAACGGCGTTGACGATGTAATAATTGTAATAGAAGTGTAAAAAAGAAAAAGAGTTTTGTGCTGTGTGTATGTTTAGACAGAGGGAAGTTGGTCAGTCCCAATGGGCGTCCGGGAAGTGAAACCCGAACGCAAACAAAGCGCGCAGTAGGGGCGAACATCCGCCTCGTTCGTATTCAGATTTCCTCATCCGCTGCTCTCGCAATGCTGTTGCGCCACGCTTTTTAGGCTTGGGCTAGATGGCGCAAGCTACCGCCCTTTATAGAGGGTATAGCTATTAACATCCACCCATCCGAACGACGGCCATTTCCCGCGCGTGACCATGGCGAATTAAAAAAGAAAGAAAGTGCAATAAAACCAAAGACAAAAAAAAAAAAAAAAAAGCGCCAATTTACTATTACAAAATTTTCCGACACATTTCAGATACATCCAGAATGTAGCAGAGTCAAGTCAATACATCACGCGTTCCTTGCACGTTCTCGACTCGGATCGCGTCCATCGCAGCTATGACAAACATGGCGGTTTTAAAACCGGCCTGGCACGCCATTTAGGCAAGTTTCACGCTTCTCGCGTTATTTTATTTATGCGCACTCTGAAAAATCACAAATACATAAATACTGTAAAAAAATCTGGTCAAAATCAAAACGCCGGCCATCGTTCTTGAAAACCAAAAGCCCTCGCCGCCCGCAAGGGTACTTAGCCACACGAAAGCAGAGTAGTGCGGTGAAGTACGCCCGCCGCCGTTTTCCCTTTTGCCTCCCACCTTCTTGTTCGTCCGTAAAATTTTGCGAAACTCCACAACTGGCGACTCCCCGCGTATCCCCGTGTCGTACGGTTGTCCCCACCTCAAAGCAGAAGAGAGCTGAGCGCGAGCCGACGCCTTCGCAAAACAAGAAACAAAACAAACTCACGATCCCCGCCGGAAAGAAAAAGGGGGGTTCGCCGACCGAAGAGAACGTCATTCGCGGGCGTTTTCTTTTCTTTCGAGATAAAGAGCCGATGTTTCGATAGCACCCGCCGCACCTTCCCTCAATGAAGCAAGAACCCTTTCGATGCCGGCCAGCACGGCGATGTGTGCGGGAGGCTAGGAAGCAGTCCAACTGCAGCGTGCCTCGAATGCTATAGAGGCCGAAGGCTGGGCGTGGGAAAGGGTTATGCGGGCCCCTAATAACCACCGCGTTTTCACCGGACGTGTAGCTGCCGCGTTAATAAACGAGGCAAAGCACGACGGAGGCCCGCGCGCCGATACTCGAGCCTGCCGCGCTTATTTCGAGAGGGAGAGGGGGAGATAAGTGGAGGTTCTCGTTCCGAGACGTTGTTTATTTGCTGCGTCTGAATTGGACGAATGAGGCTCTTCGAGATGTCTTCCGACTGCAGTGTACGAGGAACTAATGCGTCTCGACCGGAACAGAAGGGGAAAAAAAGCACCCGGGGTACACGCTCGAAACCAGGTTGGAAACTCGGTCCCTGAGCAACACGGCGTTTTAGATTTAAAGAACAGTGCAAAGTTCCGGGTGTCTGCAGGCTGCACGCAGTGCAAAGATTAACGCCCGGTCATTATCCTCGTCGATGCAGTCCGATAAGTGCGCAGTCTCGAGGTGAACACTTTTCAAGAAAAAAAAAATGGATACAAACTGCGCATATTGCTATGCCAGGCTGCTTTGCTAGAGCAATCATCTTTGCATTGTTTTCTTGCACGCAAAGAATCATGTTGAATTTCACATTCGTTTTAAAACAACTACGGGACGTTCATGGTGTCCGCCGTGGTCCCTGGTAGCGCGCGCCTTGCGTCAGTCAAAGTTCGATCATCACCGCAGGTCAAAACTAGTCCCTCACACGACGTTCTGGATTAGGACGCAAGTTAGGACAAATAAACGAGGCCTCGGTGAAACCCCTTTAGACACACTTGTAAGACGCTACGCTTGCGAAGGGAAAAGTGACGTCGATCGTCAAAGAGCGCACCAAATATGAGCACACCCAAAATACGCGGACTAACCGCAGAGGGTATACGAGCGCGAGCGATCAGCTTTTATAATACCGACGCTCCCGTTGCAAGAACGCTCGTGCAGCCGAGGTGAAGTGCACCGAAAGGAACTCGCGCTCGTAGCCTTGGCGGCTAGTCCATATCAAGGTTACTAGATTAGGTCAGTTACGGAACTGTCCACAGACGCTGCTTGCACTAGCGGTAGGTTCCTCTCCACCTACGGCTCGCCTCCCACCGTTCGACGCGCCGCAGTTCTGGGGGGACGGCTGCTATGGTGACTGCATGGGTATCGTATGGAATACGTATGTATCGAAGCACAGCGTCTAGCTGCCGTTCCAACATACTCTATACGACACACAGTTTTGAAACGAAAATCTAGATGGCGGTTCAAACGACGGGAGACTCTCCACAGATGAGGTAATCTAGCAACGAGAGTTTATGTTAAAGGTATCATAAAACGATATCGGGTTAGAATGTTCACGACTTTACAGATGCGTTGTGGTTCTA